TATGGCCCTCACTGAGAGTCTGGGTAATGGCATGTTTTTAAATTTTTTTAAAGAGAATTCTTTCAAGAAAACAACCACAGCATCTATTGTACCATAAAGACTGAATTATTGCTTGTTGCATTCAGTGTTCAAAGTAAACTTTATTAAATCCAGTTTACAACACTGAGCCTGGTTGCTTTTGTCTAGTTTTGTTCAGTGTATTCATAGAAATAGAATAAATTAGATCAAACTCATATTTAATAACAGTAACGATTTGGTCCAAACTCCTTTTATGATAAAAGTCACAGAAACAAACAATGAACTATAAAACTTATAGTTTATAAAACCATAAATGTTTGATTCTTGGTTTTCCTGTTAGTCTGTTTCGTTATAAACCTTAACCTTTACTTTCTCTGTTAATGCTAAAGAACGAGAAGGACAGTTTGAAATAGCGTTTATTATATTTATCTAGGAGCTTAACTGCGTGAGCAAAGTGAAATGATGTGTGCAGTTTGTGTTTGATTCCATCTCTGTGTGAGCATAGATCTGTTTGATGTTCATATATTCTGCAAACACACAAACCCATGATAAACCTAACCCTTAATGTGGCCTAGCTTTAACCCAGACTCTACCTCGTGCGGCCCCCATATAGACTGAGTTTGAGACCCCTGCTCTAGAGTGACGTGCCACTTTTAGCCTGTAGGGGCGCTGTGCCCAGTAATGAGCAGGCAGCGACCACAGCCGAGACTTGAGGACCAGGGCCTTGTTGGTGACCTACAGAAATCCACATATTTAACACACTACGGGCTGTAACGTAATAGTTTCCTTTCGTCGAGTAGAGGCTAGATTTGGCTTTTGCATTTGGCTTTTTAAAAGGGTTATGTCATTGTAACTGGTGTAAACTGAGAAATATATTGTCACACTCCTACTCATCACACATTCTTGTACATAAGGTGATGTATCATGATACTTTCCCACGCAATCGATTATTGATCTGCTTTTTCTAAGTATCAATTTGAATGTTTATTTTTTATTTTTTTATTATCAATACTTAATATATGGCTACATTACGCATTCTACAATTTCTATAGAATGTTCATATTGATTTTATTGGATGTAAGACAGATTACGTAAGATTTTAACTAAAATGTGCAGGTTAAAAGGCTTTTTTGCCTGTTCACTTTAATGTTACACATGACACTTTATCCATTTATATTGAAATAAAGTGTATTTTTTCACTTAATTCATGCCATACATATAATAAAAATAATATCGTAGGTATATTTCTGACCTATATATTGATAATCGCTGCATTGTCATATTCTGAGATAATCGTTATCGTGAGCGTTGTATTGCACATCGTATCGTGACGTTCCCACCCCAAGTGATGAGTGGGCATAGTTGGACCATGTGGTGCTCGTCTGTGGCTCTGTGCTAGGGATGTAAATCGGCGACCGGTTAACCGGTGGTTGACCGTCACAGCGTTAACCGGTCAAAGCTGTCGGTTAAAAAAGAGAAAACGGGGAGAGGGGAGGTCTCTTAATAACGCTATTTTAAGCCCTATTTGCACGGTGTGACGAGCGGGTCTGTATCTAGCTGTATGCGCCCATGTATTATAAACTCCGGGACGACTCTCACGCCGCACAAGCCACACACACACACGCACACGCGTAACGCACACGCGTAACGCACACGCGTAACGCACACGCGTAACGCACACGCGTAACGCACACGCGTAACGCACACGCGTAACGCACACGCGTAACGCACACGCGTAACGCACACGCGTAACGCACACGCGTAACATCCACACGCATCATCTCTCCCCTCTGTTACCGTCAAAGTTGCACACTGGCGCGGGTCAGAACTACATTGGAGCTTACATTTACACACACATATACACACACACTTACACACACATACCGGTCTGTCGCGCTCCTCTGTGTCACGGAGCCCAAAGGATTCGCGCAGATACGCGGCTCCAGTCAAACCACATGGAACATGTTTGTGTTTATGGTCCTCGGGATCAGCTCCACACACATCACTTGTATTTAAACTTTTGTGAAGACCTGTGAGACGCGTCACTCGCTGCTCTGACCATGTGGACGAGCCGTCGTTTGCTGCTAGAAAGTTTTGGTATTAACCCGCAGCACAGCAGAATGGGAAGACAGTGTTTCCCACAGGTTTGAAGGCAATGTGTGGTGGTCGTCGGCGGGGGGGGGGGGGGTACAGTGGTAGAGGGGGCTGGTGCTATGTGTGCCGGGTGGCATCTCTATAAGGTTTTAATCACAAAAACGTGTCTCCCAGACCCCAGCGCGCTTTCTGTTCGATAAAAATGGGTGACTCCGAAAGGACGTTCCGCTGTTACCGTAAGTTCTCAACAAAACGCGCACCGTCTTTTCCCCGATGCGGGCCGCATGTTCATAGAGCTGAAAGATGCGGGCCACTTTACCGCGGTAAATTAATAGACACAGCTGCTTACAGCGATGATCGCTGATGGAGACGGAGACACGCGGTGTGCACGAAGGGGAGGGGCTGTGTGTGTGTAGGTCTCTGTATGTGGGAGAGACGCGTAGCTTGAGTGAGAGTTACGAAGGGCCGCCACATTTTAAACCCCCCTCCCCGCTGTCAAATTGACCGCTGCGGCGGCACTAGACGATGCATGTTTTAAATAGCGTAACAAAAAAAATATATATATAATAATACGAAACGCAATTTGTGGCGGGCGGTCTCTAATCTGTGGCGGTGCGCCACAGATTAGTCTATGTGTGGGAAACACTGGAAGATTAAAAAAGCAGTTCTCTGTGCGCAAAGGTGCCGGAGCTGTTGCGGGTTTGGGCGCCGCTGTCTCAACTCTGATCCAGTAGAACGCAGAGCTGCACTTATGAAAAGTACGCGGCTCGAAATGGTTGTTATTTCAAAAAACGTGGACTATTTTAAACTACGCGGTTAACCGGTTTCAACCGGTTAATGAGGCTCGGTGGTCGGTCATGAAAATTCATAGTTTTTTACATCCCTACTCTGTGCCAATATGGCCGAACATAGACAGGGTTAGAGGTTGTAAGCTTTGAAACAGTGTATACCACGCATTATATCGGGCTGTTTGTTTTGGTCGTTTAATAAATCAAAATATGTATCTGACGACCTTTTATTTATTTATTTATTTTATAAATTGTAAGGACTAATCTAATCGCATTAGATGGAATCTTAATCGTGTGAAACTATAGTAAAACTGATGCTTTTGTTTCACGTGCGTTAGTGTTCGGACAATTACTTTTTTGGTCGACTACAGTTGGACTACACAATCTCAATGGCTGATTTTCTGAGACTTTCACAGTGATCAACAATGCATACGTAAAAATGAATCCAAACCTATTCATACAATCTTGGAAACAAAATAGCCACATCCAGATAAACACAAGGTTAGACATGATATATGTGGCTTAGATTGCATATTGTCAGTTTACAGTTTTTCATCATAAACAATTCATGGTGCAGATTCACTGATGGGCGGGAGCTGAATTAGACAAAACTTTTGCTAATGTGACTGAAATTGTCCGTCTGGACGAAGCACCTGCAAACATATCTAACACCTGCAGACACAATGTAAAAGGAAGTCTCACAGTCGACACACAATACAATTGAACAATGAAATGTTATTTTACTGTTATGTTACTTTTCAGTTGATTGAAAATCCCCAATCACTCATAGAAGCACAGACGCAGTAGCAACTGCTGTCCACTCATGAACACATGGCTTCTTCTGGCTTTGATTTGTAGGTCTTCTTCTCCCGTGCCTTTTGCAGCTACACATCACTAGTGCGCACTAAGACAAGGTGAAGGGACAGATGGAACCTGAGAAGTCCAGCTAGCTTCTGTGCACTTAGCCACATCATCTGTCCACAGCCTCTGCAGATTCTCTGCCTGACTCAAACCACAGATGTCTTAGGTTGTTTTAGTGGTGCAGATATGGGTAGACAGCCTGGGTCATTGTACCAGCACTCTGTGCGTATGTACACATGTATGTGTACATAGGTACAGCTGGACTCAGTGACTGATGTGAGCTGAGGCTGCTGTTTGACCCCTGCCCCTCTACTGTCTGTCTAGTGTTTAGACTCGTCAGTGGGGAAGAGGAAAAGAAGCGTGGCTGTTAGCTCTTCTCAGGAGCCATCTTTCTCAGGATTAAACCAGGTGTGACCTTTACCACCACACCAGCTGCCTCTTTGCAGCTGTCGCTTTGCAATCATAGCTAACACACTGGCCCAGTGACCATTCTGCTTTGAAAACATGCAACTTATACACGACAGATCCTGTCGCTCATGTGAAGTTTGAGATGAGTCAAGTTCTAGCATCCCCTCAGACTAATACAGTATAATGGGTGTAGAAGGTCCGTGTATTGTGATTAAACCACTTAAGGCTTGTGACAGGAACTGAGACGTAAAGATTGTAAGTGTTCACACACCTGCACTTCACAATGCTTACATTTATTAACATTACATTGAACCTTATGAGACCGTTCTCAGGCACATGCTTTCAGGAACTGGCTGCTGCTTTCTGTGCTTGTGCTCTCTACTCATTGACTTTAGTCTTCTGTTTAATCTGTAGCCTACTTACTGACCTGTGCCTTTGACTTGTGGTGCATAATGACACTGACCTGTCTGTCACTGTCCCCTCAGAGCTGGTATGGTCACATTTGGTTAAAGCTTGAGTCTAGTCCTGGGCTCCATCTTTAATGATGTCACCTGAAGAATGTAAATGAAGCACACAGTGTCTGTCCTTAGTCCTGTGTGTTCTGCCTTTTGAGCTTGTGTCTGGAGCTTGTTTAAGCGTGTTCGTCCAATAGGGGCCGTCCTTTGGTCATAGGGCTCACCTCACCTCTGAGACATCACACGGCCTCCCCCCACCACCCAACTACCATGCCTACAAAACAGATGTAGCATTATGATAAGGTTATTGGAAAAGTGTATGGAATTTGTGCCTGTGGTCATCTGGCAAAGTCCAACCTTTTCTGTTTCCCCTCAGTTATTCCTTATCGACTTTGGCCTGGCAAAGAAGTACAGAGACAACCGGACGCGGCAGCACATCCCATACAGAGAAGACAAAAACCTGACCGGCACAGCTCGCTACGCCTCCATCAACGCACACCTGGGCATCGAACAGAGGTCTGGGAACCATCACCAGTCTGTACCATGTAAAGCGTGTCATGGTCCTTAACCTGTGCCTATGTTTCCAGCCGGCGTGACGACATGGAGTCTCTAGGATATGTGCTCATGTACTTCAACAGAACCAGTCTGCCCTGGCAAGGTCTCAAGGTACACACCAGTTACACACCAGTAACAGTCTGCTACAAGCACTGTCCTGCCGGAGCAAAGATACATCTGCTCATAGATTATAATCCATGTTAAAACCAGCTGTGGATTCATAAAACTACAGTTCATAAATGTCTGGGTCCCTCTGCGTACTGACTTCAATAATGAAATGCTGCTGAAAAACAATCTTTCAATAATGTGAGCGGGTCCAGTGACTCTAAACCACGACCAGTACTGTCATGAAGACCGTGACAGGACTGGTTTGGACCATGAAGACCGTGAAAGTACTGGTTTGGACCATGAAGACCGTAGTATTAATGCCTTTATTTGTTTATCTTTAAAAGTTTTTTAAATTCACTTGACCAAATATGTGATTGACGGCGTCTTGGTGTTTTATTTTGTGTTTAGTGCTAGCATAATGTGTCCTTATGTTTAGTGCTAGCATAATAATGTGTCCGTATTCTTCAGGCCGCCACAAAGAAGCAGAAGTACGAGAAGATCTCTGAGAAGAAGATGTCCACACCTGTGGAGGTCCTGTGTAAGGTATGTACTGTACTGTAGTGTTGATGGTGCTACACCAGAGTCTAATGTTAAAGAGCATTTCAGTATAAAATCCTAATCTTTCCTTTAAGAGCGCACAATAAAGGATTCCTTTATCATTAAACTTAGAGCTGCTGAGAATCCTTAACTTTGGGGCAGAAATTGTATTGAATTATGTTTTATACAGAGCCAAACTGGTGTCTATAATGTCTGCCCACCAGCTCCTGCCTCCCCCCACAGTCACTACGCTCCTCCTCCCTCCCCCCCCTGAGTCACTGCGCTCCTCCTGCCTCCCCCCCCTGAGTCACTGCGCTCCTCCTGCCTCCCCCCCTGAGTCACTGCGCTCCTCCTGCCTCCCCCCCTGAGTCACTGCGCTCCTCCTGCCTCCCCCCCTGAGTCACTGCGCTCCTCCTGCCTCCCCCCCTGAGTCACTGCGCTCCTCCTGCCTCCCCCCCTGAGTCACTGCGCTCCTCCTGCCTCCCCCCCTGAGTCACTGCGCTTCTCCTGCCTCCCCCTGAGCCTGTGTGTGTTGGTTTCAGGGCTTCCCTGCAGAGTTTGCCATGTACCTGAACTACTGCCGTGGACTGCGCTTCGAAGAGGCCCCTGACTACATGTACCTGCGCCAACTCTTCCGCATTCTTTTCAGGTACACACCCAGCGCCGACCTCTGCTCACGCCTCACGCCTTTATCTGGGAGCGCAGACCAGGAAGCATAAACTACAGTCTATAGTGCGGCGTAGAGTAGGTTTGCAACAACAGTCGCGATTCTATTTGTCATTCAATAAGAAGCTCAGGATGGAAATATTCTGAAAATGATTGTTTTTTTTCCAATAAGTAAAAATAAATTAGATATGGAAACATTACATAAGACTCACTCAAAGGTTTAAACATATAATAAAGACATCATGAATCAAACCAAATGTAATATCCTGAATCATAACACTCGCATAAACTTCAGGGTAATGGTTTCTGTAAAAGGACTGTGCAATATCCGTTTAGAGCTTTAAAAACTGTTTAATAAAAGCATATTTTTTACTTTGAGGAGAATGATGTCACACGTCCCTGTCTCCAGTAAATCCAGTTGTTTTAAAACTCCTTCAGTCACAGGTAGCTGCAGCTAAAGTGAGAGCTGCTGTACTCTCTGCAGACCTTCTCCTAAACGAGTGGATTTACAGCTGAGAATATCTTTATCTTTTGAAGATAAGGGTCTAACACTGTCTTTTGATGTTACACTGGCAACCTGTCAATCAACAAGATGATGTGATTTGTCAGTTTTCAACGAATCAGAGGCAAACGACACAAGCAGACTTCAGACCAGTCACATCACATTATTTCACTTTGAGCTATAAATGTTGTACCAACCACTGACCCAGGCTTCCACTGTATTAGTATTGTGAATAATAATACAGTTGCATTAATAAGCACTTATTCATCCTGAACTATTGTAGGAAACCTACGCAGACATGGGGAGAACATGCAAACTCTACATTTGTTGTAACGCAGGCCTTTCTGTGTAAAGACGTAAATATAGAGCATTCTTAGGTGTAATGTGTGTTGTTTGTTTCTCCAGGACTCTGAACCATCAATACGACTACACGTTTGACTGGACCATGCTGAAACAGAAAGCTGCCCAGCAGGGGGCCTCCTCAGGGGGCCAGGGCCCGCAGGCACAAACCCCCACAGGCAAGCAAACTGACAAACCCAAGCCTAACATGAAAGGTTAGTAGCAAACAGCCAAGCGACGTTTGAGATCAAATCATCTACCAGCCACGTAGGACCATAGACATCAGTGTGCCTCGCCTGTAACACCCAGTTTGTTGGAAATCAGAACAGACTGGAGATCATCAAAGCTCTGCAGCAAAGACACATTGGCCTCAGTCTTCTCAAAGTGAACACGTGCTTGGGGAATTTGACTACTAACTTTGCCACAATGCTCTTCTGTTCCTTTGTTTGGGCTGGCCTCTATGGTTTCCTCTCTTCTCTGTGGACGTGTCTCTCTGTGGACGTGTCTCTCTGTGGACGTGTCTCTCTGTGGACGTGTCTCTCTGTGGACGTGTCTCTCTGTGGACGTGTCTCTCTGTGGACGTGTCTGCAGCCTTCACTCTGAACAAGTCTCACTTATGTCTTCTCCTTCATGATATGAGCACCACCTGATGACACAGGGCAGAGCTCGGGCTGTCCCTCCTGTGCAGCTCACAGGTGGTAGAAGACCTCATCAGGTCTATTGGAGCCCGCTCTGTGGTTGCCAGTTTGTTGTGGTTAGCACCTGATTGGTCAGTTGTCAGAGCAGGGTTCTCTCCAGGACCAGGTGGACAGTGATCTGGAGGCTACAGAACTGCCTCCTGAGCACTAACCACAGCAACACAAAGGTTTTCCATATTCATGCTGTGATAAAGTTAATTCCATGTTTTTGAGTGAGCGTGAGAAGACTGCAACTCCACACATCCCTGTGCCCAGCAACACACACACACATCCCTGTGCCCAGCAACACACACATCCCTGTGCCCAGCAACACACACATCCCTGTGCCCAGCAACACACACATCCCTGTGCCCAGCAACACACACATCCCTGTGCCCAGCAACACACACATCCCTGTGCCCAGCAACACACACATCCCTGTGCCCAGCAAAACACACACACACACACACACACACACACACACACACACACACACACACACACACACACACACACACACACACACACACCTGTGCCCAGCAACACTACAGACACACACACACACACACACACACACACACACACCCCTGTGCCCAGCAACACTACAGACACACACACACACACACACACACCTGTGCCCAGCAACACTACAGACACTACAGACACTTTAGACACTACAGACACTTTAGACACTACAGACACTTTAGACACTTTAGACACTACAGACACTTTAGACACTACAGACACTTTAGACACTACAGACACTTTAGACACTTTAGACACTACAGACACTTTAGACACTACAGACACTTTAGACACTACAGACACTTTAGACACTACAGACACTTTAGACACTTTAGACACTACAGACACTTTAGTCAGACACTACAGACACTTTAGACACTTTAGACACTACAGACACTTTAGACACTTTAGACACTAGACACTTTAGACACTTTAGACACTTTAGACACTTTAGACACTACAGACACTTTAGACACTACAGACACTTTAGACACTACAGACACTTTAGACACTACAGACACTTTAGACACTTTAGACACTACAGACACTTTAGACACTTTAGACACTTTAGACACTTTAGACACTTTAGACACTTTAGACACTTTAGACACTTTAGACACTTTAGACACTTTAGACACTACAGACACTTTAGACACTTTAGACACTACAGACACTTTAGACACTTTAGACACTTTAGACACTTTAGACACTACAGACACTTTAGACACTTTAGACACTACAGACACTTTAGACACTACAGACACTTTAGTCACTTTGGACACTACAGACACTACAGACACTTTAGACACTTTAGACACTACAGACACTTTAGACACTTTAGACACTTTAGACACTTTAGACACTTTAGACACTTTAGACACTACAGACACTTTAGACACTTTAGACACTTTAGACACTTTAGACACTTTAGACACTTTAGACACTTTAGACACTTTAGACACTACAGACACTTTAGACACTACAGACACTTTAGACACTACAGACACTTTAGACACTACAGACACTTTAGACACTACAGACACTTTAGACACTTTAGACACTTTAGACACTACAGACACTTTAGACACTTTAGACACTTTAGACACTTTAGACACTTTAGACACTTTAGACACTTTAGACACTACAGACACTTTAGACACTACAGACACTTTAGACACTACAGACACTTTAGACACTTTAGACACTACAGACACTTTAGACACTTTAGACACTTTAGACACTTTAGACACTTTAGACACTTTAGACACTACAGACACTTTAGACACTACAGACACTTTAGACACTACAGACACTTTAGACACTTTAGACACTACAGACACTTTAGACACTTTAGACACTTTAGACACTTTAGACACTACAGACACTTTAGACACTTTAGACACTTTAGACACTTTAGACACTACAGACACTACAGACACTTTAGACACTTTAGACACTTTAGACACTTTAGACACTTTAGACACTACAGACACTTTAGACACTTTAGACACTTTAGACACTACAGACACTTTAGACACTTTAGACACTACAGACACTTTAGACACTTTAGACACTTTAGACACTTTAGACACTTTAGACACTACAGACACTTTAGACACTACAGACACTTTAGACACTTTAGACACTACAGACACTTTAGACACTTTAGACACTTTAGACACTACAGACACTACAGACACTTTAGACACTTTAGACACTTTAGACACTTTAGACACTTTAGACACTTTAGACACTTCAGACACTTTAGACACTACAGACACTTTAGACACTACAGACACTTTAGACACTACAGACACTTTAGACACTTTAGACACTACAGACACTTTAGACACTACAGACACTTTAGTCACTTTGGACACTACAGACACTACAGACACTTTAGACACTTTAGACACTACAGACACTTTAGACACTTTAGACACTTTAGACCAGGGGTGCTCACACTTTTTCAGCATGCGAGCTACTTATAAAAGGATCAAGTCAAAATGATCTACCTACTACAAAAATGCAAATCATATATTTCGAAAAATATTCTTTATATCTACAATGTATGTTTATGTACATGAAAAACCGCATGAGCCAATATAGCACAACACAACACAATTACCGATGTACATTTTTTGTCATTACCCGAGTTTACTCTTATGACTTGCACTGAATTGAATCGGCCAGGGATGCATAGTCCGGAAAATTGGTGGTAACTCGCTGACAAGTTTGTCGTGGTTTAGCTTTCCTGCACTGAGCGCGGTTGTTTGCGCATGTGCAGTCACCTAAGTGTCAGTAAAACATTACTGAGTAAAACACAGATGTCATTTGACTGTGGTGCCATGTCCATGTGCCATGCCTGTTTTTTTTTTAAATCCAAATATTTCCCCTCCTCAGTTTATAAAATAATTTGCATCCACACATCTGCGTTATCAATCACATTCGTAACATTCCAAACATGTGCGTCTCTTACGTCCTGTCCTGCTTTGGGGAAAAACACAGAAGTGGGCGGAGCTTTGATGCAGACGCCGGTAACGGCACTTTTACAGTCATAGAAGACACTCAGAGTAAAGAGTAAGACGTATGTTTACAAGCACTGACCCCGTCCTCAGCCCTGATTTAGTCCTGGTTTAGTCCTGGTTTAGTCCTGGTTTAGTCCTGGTTTGGTTGTTTTTCGAGCGTGAGTCCCCGCGATCACTTTGCTGCTCTCTGATGTGGAGCGAGGATGTTCGCTGCTGCGAGCATCTCACAGCGGACAGTTTTTAAGGTAGTATGATCCATGCTTCAGTGATCAGAGGAATTTAGGGGGGTACTGTGGCGTGCGAGAACGCAAAACTCTGGTTATCTCTGTCTACACACAAATGCATTAACGGAGTTTTCAAAAATCTCCACTTTGCCCGGAGTTTTTTGTATATATTCGTTTAGAATGTGTAATTTTTTATTTATTTAATGCGATCTACCAATACTACCTTTGCGATCGACTGGTAGATCGCGATCGACGTATTGAGCACCCCTGCTTTAGACACTACAGACACTTTAGACACTACAGACACTTTAGACACTTTAGACACTACAGACACTTTAGACACTACAGACACTTTAGACACTACAGACACTTTAGACACTTTAGACACTACAGACACTTTAGTCACTTTGGACACTACAGACACTTTAGACACTTTAGACACTACAGACACTTTAGACACTTTAGACACTTTAGACACTACAGACACTTTAGACACTACAGACACTTTAGTCACTTTGGACACTACAGACACTTTAGACACTTTAGACACTACAGACACTTTAGACACTACAGACACTTTAGACACTACAGACACTTTAGACACTTTAGACACTACAGACACTTTAGTCACTTTGGACACTACAGACACTTTAGACACTTTAGACACTACAGACACTTTAGACACTTTAGACACTACAGACACTTTAGACACTACAGACACTTTAGACACTTTAGACACTTTAGACACTTTAGACACTACAGACACTTTAGACACTACAGACACTTTAGACACTACAGACACTTTAGACACTTTAGACACTACAGACACTTTAGACACTTTAGACACTACAGACACTTTAGACACTTTAGACACTACAGACACTTTAGACACTTTAGACACTTTAGACACTACAGACACTTTAGACACTACAGACACTTTAGACACTACAGACACTTTAGACACTTTAGACACTACAGACACTTTAGACACTTTAGACACTACAGACACTTTAGACACTACAGACACTTTAGACACTTTAGACACTACAGACACTTTAGACACTTTAGACACTTTAGACACTACAGACACTTTAGACACTTTAGACACTTTAGACACTACAGACACTTTAGACACTACAGACACTTTAGACACTACAGACACTTTAGACACTTTAGACACTACAGACACTTTAGACACTTTAGACACTACAGACACTTTAGTCACTTTGGACACTACAGACACTTTAGACACTTTAGACACTTTAGACACTACAGACACTTTAGACACTACAGACACTTTAGACACTACAGACACTTTAGACACTTTAGACACTACAGACACTTTAGTCACTTTGGACACTTTAGACACTTTAGACACTTTAGACACTACAGACACTTTAGACACTTTAGACACTACAGACACTTTAGACACTACAGACACTTTAGACACTTTAGACACTTTAGACACTTTAGACACTACAGACACTTTAGACACTACAGACACTTTAGACACTACAGACACTTTAGACACTTTAGACACTACAGACACTTTAGACACTTTAGACACTACAGACACTTTAGACACTTTAGACACTACAGACACTTTAGACACTTTAGACACTTTAGACACTTTAGACACTACAGACACTTTAGACACTTTAGACACTACAGACACTTTAGACACTACAGACACTTTAGACACTACAGACACTTTAGACACTTTAGACACTACAGACACTTTAGACACTTTAGACACTACAGACACTTTAGACACTTTAGACACTACAGACACTTTAGACACTACAGACACTTTAGACACTACAGACACTTTAGACACTTTAGACACTTTAGACACTACAGACACTTTAGACACTTTAGACACTACAGACACTTTAGACACTTTAGACACTACAGACACTTTAGACACTACAGACACTTTAGACACTACAGACACTTTAGACACTACAGACACTTTAGACACTTTAGACACTACAGACACTTTAGACACTTTAGACACTTTAGACACTACAGACACTTTAGACACTTTAGACACTTTAGACACTTTAGACACTACAGACACTTTAGACACTACAGACACTTTAGACACTTTAGACACTACAGACACTTTAGACACTTTAGACACTACAGACACTTTAGACACTTTAGACACTACAGACACTTTAGACACTTTAGACACTTTAGACACTTTAGACACTACAGACACTTTAGACACTTTAGACACTACAGACACTTTAGACACTTTAGACACTTTAGACACTACAGACACTTTAGACACTTTAGACACTACAGACACTTTAGACACTTTAGACACTTTAGACACTACAGACACTTTAGACACTTTAGACACTACAGACACTTTAGACACTTTAGACACTACAGACACTTTAGACACTACAGACACTTTAGACACTTTAGACACTACAGACACTTTAGACACTACAGACACTTTAGACACTTTAGACACTTTAGACACTACAGACACTTTAGACACTACAGACACTTTAGACACTACAGACACTTTAGACACTTTAGACACTACAGACACTTTAGACACTACAGACACTTTAGACACTACAGACACTTTAGACACTACAGACACTTTAGACACTACAGACACTTTAGACACTTTAGACACTACAGACACTTTAGACACTTTAGACACTACAGACACTTTAGACACTACAGACACTTTAGACACTTTAGACACTTTAGTCACTTTGGACAGTGTCTGCGGTGGGTGAGTGCTTCACGGGGACAGTGGGAGATCCGCTTCCTGTGCCTCCTGTGGATGTGTTGTGGTGCTTCCCCATAATCGTGAGGCAGTAACGTGATGGAGAAGCCTTTGTCTTGTGTTTGCTTTGCCTGGAGGTGTGCGTCTGGGCAGGCTGTTCACAGCCTACGCAGAAGACCTGATGAGGTCTTCTGCGTAGGTTTCCTCCGGGTACTCCGGTTTCCCCTACCACTAAAAACATGCACAATAGGTCTGGCATGCGTCTCCTGTACTGGCGACCCCACTCCCTTCTCTGTGGAGTGAGAGGACAATTGCCCAAAAATAACAATTGTAAACCGCTTTGTGACTGGTCTGTGAAAGGCCAGTATATAAATAAAGATTACTTACTTACTTACAGCAGGGGCAGTCATGATTCGCACCTTTTGTATTATTTCCCTGAACATTTAGCATGTGACAGTGTGAGTTCTGTTTGTGTGTTTATGTCCAACAGATCTGTGGCTGTCAGTTAAAAACACAAACCTTAGAAAAAAGGCCTGGTGCTTAAAGAGCGACTAAACACCTGTGCCCAGCCTGACTCCGCCCACATGAAGATTTGAAAATTTTCTCTAAAAAGGGCGTTGCCTGGAGGACTAAGGGACAAGAAGGGGGGCTTAGAGTTGGGCGTGGTCTGGGCTGTGATTGACAGCTCACTAGTCACAAAAAAAAAACCAGACAGTTGTCATTGCTGCGACCAGAAAGTCTCATTCCAATAACGATATAATTGTAAAGCTACACACCTGAACCTAATCACACTCAATAATCTCAGAATGACTCATGTAATTTAATTTTAATCCACTAGATGGCGCCAGAATACTCCAAACTGCAGCTGGGGGTGTGTGAGAGTTGAATGGGTTCATATCACTGGCTCTGACAGACTGACGTCACACAAAACAACTGATGTCATAGAGAACTTCAGAGCCAATGAGAGGCCAGAACCAAATTCAAATGTAGTACCACCAAAAAGGTTGAGAGGGCGCCACACAGACGTTTTTTGGCTCAAAAGTGATATTTTATCTAATTTGAACTAAAATGTCAAAAAAATGACCAGGATATGTAGACAGCACTACAATAAACATACTTATGCAGTTTATGAGTTAAAAAAAGTTGATTTGGTGTTTAGTCGCTCTTTAAAGGCTTAAGACTGTCTTAGGCATTTTAACTCGGAGCCTTTTAGATCGGGCAAAACGGAGAATCAGGATAAAACGAGGAGAACAAGCAAACTGGCCCTGCACTGCGTTTAAACCCAAGACCCTCCTGCTGTGAGGCGAGAGCGCTCCTTGCTGCACCAGTGTGAACATGAGTCTGATGCAGGAGATGGCCACACAGAGACGGTCTGGGCCTCCTCTGTGCTCCTCTGGGGGAGACCTCAGCCCCGTGCTCCTCTGGGGGAGACCTCAGCCCCTTGCTCCTCTGGGGGAGACCTCAGCCCCGTGCTCCTCTGGGGGAGACCTCAGCCCCGTGCTCCTCTGGGGGAGACCTCAGCCCCGTGCTCCTCTGGGGGAGACCTCAGCCCCGTGCTCCTCTGGGGGAGACCTCAGCCCCGTGCTCCTCTGGGGGAGACCTCAGCCCCGTGCTCCTCTGGGGGAGACCTCAGCCCCGTGCTCCTCTGGGGGAGACCTCAGCCCCGTGCTCCTCTGGGGGAGACCTCAGCCCCGTGCTCCTCTGGGGGAGATCTCAGCCCTGTGCTCCTTCGTGTTAGACCAATGGATCATGCGAAGCTCCTCCTCTGTCCTGATCCTGTCTCTGATCTGGGGTTTATTTATTAAGTGTGAGCACAGACAACAACACACAGACTGTGTCTGTGAACACATGGTGGTGTCTGTGACCACATGATGTGTCGGGGACCACATGATGTGTCTGTGAACACACATGGCGGTGTCTGTGATAATCAATATCTTACTAAATGAGCCTCAGATCTCTCTCTTCAGGTCCTGGTGTCTGTTACTGTGACTGTTTTTCTTCTGTCATCATTGTTCACCTCAGGACATTATGAGTCAGTTGCAGGAATCTGATCTCTGGGTGCAGTCGAACACGCAGAGTCGACCTGTTGAGACAAACTCAAACGTGTCTGAAATAAGACTTTAATGCCTGTGATCAGTCTTTGAACACTTTCTTTCAAACCTGTTTTGTGACATTTCTCTTTTCAAAGACTTTTTAACTTCCATTTCATTCTGTGGATGTGGTCCTGGAGGTGCACAATAATAATGAATGTTAAGAAACGGGGTGTCAGACTGGTTCCAGAAAGGCCGGTTGGTTCCTCGGGGCCGGTCTGGCGCCCAGCGGTGGCGTCTTGGCTCCGCCTCTAACAGTGTGATGTCATCGCAGGTTTTTAGCTCCAGAGAAGGCGGCACCATGACCAACGCAGCGCTCTTCTGGACAAGCACCCAACAGAAAGTCTGTGTCTCTCCTTCCATATTATTATCTATGTAACGGAAATGTATAGATCTACAGACACTGTCCGCTGTCATCTATATATTCATATGTATATAATAAGTCTCTCCAGTCCTCGCTGCACACGTAGGCAGCCGCTGGACGTGGACTGTAGCCCCGCCCCATCTGTTTTTCCGCCTGTCTCTGTCCTGTCATTGTAGACTTTTGTAAGGTTTATTTTTGACCTCTAATAAGATAGTTGGCTGTTTTTGTTGGGGTTTAATTTTTATTTTGTTTTTGTTTTTTTTGGTGAAAGCCACAAATGTTTTGCTCTATCATAATTTTACTTATCAAGCAAATGTACAAAAAGATGTAAAACTGGTTTCCCTTGATGATTCAGCCCTGGATGAGCTTTGAGAGTTAAAAATCACATGTTGGACTTTTCTTTTGTTTTGTGCTGATTAGGAGTTTGCCTGTTGAACAATGGTTGAGGTAGAATGACACTCTGGCTCTCTCCCTTTCTCTTTAGAGTTCTGGATTACTATAAATCTGTTGTAAAACCTATGGACTTCTCCAAAAAATCCAAATAAAAACATTATACAAGCCAGGTCTTGTTAGCACGTCTTTATTGTCTTCACGATGAAGACGACCGCCGCTTTAGGACCAGGAGCCGCACGTCAGCAGCACAGAAGGACCATGGATCGGCTCATGGTTCAGCACCAGGGACGTCCTAACCATATTCATGTTATTGTTCCTCACTAAAGTAAAACTCTTCATGATTTTTGGGAAAAGTGAAACAATAATTTGAACCAATGAAACTGAAAGGCTTGTGTACGCTGACATCTGGTGGTCATTATCGTGTACTGCAACACATCCTTTGTCAATGGTGTATTGTTGATTCATTTGCGTTCTGATAATAAATAAAACTAAATTAAATTAAAAGAATAATAAGTTTCTAAATTTCCCTTGTCTGTTTCGGAGGCTCGCCTCGTGTTTTGTAATTTGTACATTTTATATCTCAATAGCACTGGACACCACTACACGTGTCTCACACACAGCATCATTGGAAAACTGGTTTGAAGAAAGCGACGACAGATGCTGAGGTCTTTATACCAAGGTTAGAAAACGACGTCTGGCATCAGAGCCGTTTGCTTCGGCCTCGTCTGGAAAAGCACCGCATCTGAACGACCAGCTCAGGGGGAACTCATCTGTTTGGTTTGAAAAGACTTTCTGTGGCTCCTGTTCGCTGCAGCATGTTCTGAAGACTGGAGTTAGTTCGGGAACACTTTAGTTCAGCGCTCATGCATTAACATCTGGTTCTAACGGGACAGTGTCAGTTACTCAGATCCTGAATAATGTTGAAGGACTAATAACTACTTAATACAGATTAAGAGTTAATTAACCATAAGTTATTAGTGAGGGCTGAACTACAGTGTGACCAAAGGTTTTAGTCACAGTCGGACTCTGTCACAATAAAGGAACATGGATCTTCTGCCTCTGCCCTTTGACCCTTTGTCATGTGTTTTTTTCTATTTACCTTTTATATTGATATTAAAGGTACTCAACCTTTCTGCTCCTTGTCGTCATGGAGATGGAATGAATACTTGTAAAAACATAATCAGAAGACGCACAATTACATGATGTACTTCAGCTCGTTATGAGGTGTTACTCAGTCACTCGTTTATGGGGTTAAAGTTTAAAGAACATTCCAGACTTTATATGTAAATGTGTCATCTGTCACCGTGACGACCACTTTGACTTCTGAGAATATAACCTTGATATATTCTATTAACTTCTGTGGTTTTTTTTATTTATTTTTATGAGACCTCTGAAGCTAAGCAGGGCAGGGCCTGATCAGTACTGTGATGGGAGACCTCTGGGAACACCCGGTGCCACAGTGGGGCTGCTGTAAACTGCCAAACTGTTGTGTCCTTAGGCAAGACACTTCACCCACAACAAGTGGTGTGTGTGTGAAATGTTGGTGGTGGTCGGAGGGGCCGATGGTACAGACTGGTTGCCTCGCTTCTGTCAGTGTGACCCAGGGCAGATATGGCTACAGACCTGGAGTACATAAAAACTATGCATGAAGATTCAGCAGATTCAAACAAACTTTAGTAAATCCTGAATTTATTTTTTCAAATCGTAACAAGGGTTTCAGTTTCTTCATTTCACAAGTTGATGACAAAATACAGAGGCAAGTTTATTTGTATAGCACAGTTCATACACAAAAGAAGATAAACAGACATTAACAATAAATAATCACAGAACGTTAAAAAGAGTGAAGATACAGTCCTTCAGTTGCAGAAGCGAAACAATTGTGGAACCTGTCTCACATTTTCAAGAATAAAATCTCTAAAACCAGTGACGAAGGATGGAAATGTGACGTGTGATTGTTTTCATAAAGTCAAGCCTCAAACCTCCGGAAGTTGGACCTCATCTAAAGCTGCAAAGGTTTGTGCTGCGTTGGTTTTGAAAATGAAGAGATCCTCGTTAAATATGAAATCAAAATGTTTCCATTATTTTAAACGTTTTTATCAATACATTTCTTCTGAGTCCTGACGTCATTGAGATTTTTTTTATTTCTACAGAAAACAAAGTAACACTCGTTAATTCAAACACGATACAAACGAAACAGGTAAAAAAAAAAAGAAAAAAAAAACCTTAAGACAAACCAGGGCGCTGTCGATTTTTATCTGTTAACGTTATCTGTAAACGTTAAGGCCATGCATATACTTATTTATTTATTCGATAGGCACAAGTGGAAACCATCAACATTTATAGCCGTTTCTCCAGAGCAGTTAGAGGTTATTTAAAAACGACATTTTAGCAACAACAGCTAACACCAAAACACGTCTTGTTTGTCAGAGTTTAAGCAAAACATCAGTTTTAACGATACAGACTCAGTTTGACTCATGTTAGAGCTCAGAGAAAGCACTAGAAAGAATCATTGTTAATCTCAAAGATGCTTATCAATTGATACAGATTTGTGCGCATGCGCGATAGAAGAGAGACCGGAGAGAAACCAGATAGATAACCGAGAGACTTCCAGCTTCCAACACACAGACTGAACGTTTAAACATTTTATTTTTAAAAACACTTTTTAGTATTCTATCGGTACATCGTCCGTGTGTTCTGATTTCTTCTGTATGTAGCAAAGGAGTAGGGAAAAAAAGATCTTTATTTTTTTATTTATTTAGACGTTTAAGCAGAAACAATAATGTGATAAATATTTACATGTTTACGTCAGAGCTGCCAAGCCCCGCCCCCAAGGACAGTGTTTCCAGGAGTCCCCTTCACTCAGTAGTTAGGGATTCCTGGGAAAACTGGACACCGGGAGAGAGGAGGAAATAGGGAGAAAGGAGGGGACAGAGGGGAGGAGAGGGAGGAAGAGAGTGGGAGGGGGGTGGGAGGACAATGAGGTGAGGAGGAGATGTGCAGGAGAAGGAGAGAGGAGAAGAGATAAGGAGAGGAGAGGGAGAGAGAGGAGTAAGGGGGAGGAATTCTGCAGAGAGCTGTCCTCAGGTAGTTCTTGCCCTTTGTCCCGAGCTACAGTGCTTCATCTCAGACTCCCAACTGACCAGAGATGCAGCACTGCACCAGGGGCCACAGGGACCACACCAGGGACCACAACAGGGGCCACAAGGATCAGGGGCCACACCAAGGGCTGCAGCTGATTTACCCCAACAGAACAGTAGAGCGATACCACAGTCTGCCACTAGAGGGAGGAGCGCCCTGAAACACACAGATTATTCATCATTTCTTCACACAAACTTTACCACGTGTTTATTTACGGTCAGCACTAGGTCATATACGGAATCGGGACGGAAGCGGAATTAAATATAACAAACTACCTATTCATGCCTAAACTTAACCAGCCATTCCCATAAAATAACCACAACCCAGCGTTAACCCTAACATTAACCATCTTAATCAGACGCCACTTAAGGACTTATTAGTCTAAAACTAGTATGATCGTTACTTCCGGTTTCGTCCCGATTCCGTATATGATCTAGTACCGACCGTTTATTTACAGTCTATGGTTTAATGTTGGAGTCCGGGCTCCGGGAGACACCTGCAGCGCCCTCTCCACACTGACCTCTGGTGGTGACGTGTCAGTACTACAGTTCACGTGATGTCATAATAATTATAAATCTTTATTTATAAATCAAAAACAGTGTTTACAAAGCGCTGCACTGTCAGCATATAGCAATAAAACATAACAGTCATGAAAATATAATAAATCCAAAAGTACAGGAGACTAAAGCAGACAGACAACAAGGAAGATAAAACAGACAATGTGGAAAAGTGAAATGTGTGTAGACTTTAAAACAGGAAGTTATGGGAAGGCCATTTGATAAAAGTGGGTTTTAAGAAGTGATTTAACAGAGGATACTGATGGAGCAACCTTATCTCCTTGAGAAGGTGGTTCCAGAGATGGTTCCAGACCCGAGGAGCATGGACAGATGTGGGGGGCTCGTAGGAGGTTAAAGGTTCATAATATAGTTGCTATATCACAAGCTTTAAAAGTGATCAGTAAACAGGGGCTGTTGAGAGAGTAAAATGACCCACGGGGACTGCAAAGATTCTGTCTAAAAGTTAAAAATAAAACCAAGTGGAGTAAGCAAGGCAAGGTTAGTTTATTTGTAAAGCACAATTCATATACAAGGCAACTCGAAGTGCTGAACACAATTAGATTAAAATTAAAAGACCATTAAAATAATAAATAATCACAGTAAATTAAAAAGAAAAATATAAAATCCCTCAGTTGTATGCACAGCTAAACAGAACTGTTTTTAACCTGGTTTTAAACATTGTCAGAGAGGAGGCCTGTCTCACATCTTCAGGAAGATTGTTCCAGATTTTAGCAGCATGAATCTGAAAAGCAGCCTCCCCATGTTTAGTTCTGACTCTGGGCACTAACAGGAGTCCAGTCCCTGTGCTCCTCAGAGTCCGGGCTGGTTCATATGGGACTAACATGTCACTAATATATTTTGGTGCGAGGCCATGGAGAGACTTGTAACAAGCAGAGCTGTTTTAAAGTCTATTCTCTGAGCCACAGGAAGCCAGTGCAGAGACCTGAGGACTGGACTAATGTGGTCATACTTCCTGGTTCTAGTCAGGACTAATGTGGTCATACTTCCTGGTACCTGATACTTCCAGTATCTCACGTTTTGAGGCCTGTAAAATCCTGTAAATTATTACTTTAAATACTTGAAATGTATTACGTTAAAGTCTAGAGTTCACCAATATAAACGTATCTTAGAATGTCTGCTCAGTGTGCGTGTGTGTGTTTGTGTGTGTGTGCGTGCGTCTGTGTGTGTGTGTGTGTGTGTATGTGTACGTGTCTGTGTGTGTTTCTGTTTGTGTGTGTACGTGTCTATGTGTGTGTGTGTGTGTATATATATATGTATATGTGTGTGTTTCTGTGTGTCTCTGTGTGTGTATGTGTGTGTCTGTATGCAAGTGTGCGTATCTGTGTGTATCTATGTGTGTGTATCTGTGTGTGTGTGAGAGAGAGAGAGGGAGGAATGCTTGTCTGACCATATAAGGAGACGATTCACTGTTTATTTTTGGAATGATGGAAAATGGCCTTGTTGGATAAACACACGACTTTTCTACTTGTTCTGGGGCCGCTGCCGTCTGTGATGGCTCACCCTGATGCCCCACACCCTCCCCCTCCTCACCCCCTCCTCACCCCCTCCTCACACACATTGCCTTTTCTAGTCAAAGCGCCTGTGGACGGGAGCTTTTTCCTTAATATGGTGCTGGAGGAGCATCTCTGAGCAACAGCACGAGTGCAGAGTCCAGTTCAAAGTTAGAAGTGATTTATTCGGCCGCTGAAGAACCTCAGAACAACTTTGCCAAACACTACAGAGAATAAGGCGAAGAAAACACTGTAAAAACTCCAGTAAATGTATATTTCCTCGTTCAAAGTGAGACAAATCAATACTTTATTTCTCTCATCTCGTCTGACAATTAGGTTTTAAAGCGGACAATAAGTATTATTTAAATGTTACTAAGCCATTCAACTTTTGCTCGAACAGACCAAGCCTTTAAGAGGGCCTTAAGGTCAAGGTTATCCAGGGGTAGTGTAGAGTAGAGTAGGAGTAGGAGTAGGAGTAGGAGTAGGAGTAGGAGTAGGAGTAGTAGGAGTAGGAGGAGTAGGAGTAGAGTAGAGTAGAGTAGGGCTGGTGGAAACAGGGCCACAGACCTGCATGTGTTCATGTTATTGTTGTGTTTATTAAAAACAGTCTGAAGTTTGGTCCAATAAAGAGGTTCATTTGTGTATTTCATTTATTGTCGTTGAGTCTAGAACCTTCTCTGACGCAGAATCAGAAGTGTGTGATATTAGTCCCCCACTGCCCTCCCCCGTGCCTCCCCCATGCCCCCCCTGGGACCCCTGTGTCCTGTTCCCATGCTCCAGGGGCCCCGCCCGGAGGCTAAGGCCCCTGCACTCTATATAAGGAAATGTAGAGCTTCACACACGTCACACAGAAACACACACCAAAACACTAACACAAACAAACACACACAAACGCACACGTCACACACACACACAAACAAATGAAAACACAAACACACATGAATACACACAAACACACACGAGAGAAGGCCATTTACAAACCATTTGTATCGTTTATCAAAAACAAGGTCTGTGTACGTCTGTCTGTCTGTGCCTGCTGGTCCTGTCTTTGCTGGTCTTGTCTTTGCTGGTCCTGTCTCTGCTGGTCCTGTCTCTGCTGGTCCTGTCTTTGCTGGTCCTGTCTTTGCTGGTCCTGTCTTTGCTGGTCCTGTCTTTGCTGGTCCTGTCTTTGCTGGTCCTGTCTTTGCTGGTCCTGTCTTTGCTGGTCCTGTCTTTGCTGGTCCTGTCTTTGCTGGTCCTGTCTCTGCTGGTCCTGTCTTTGCTGGTCCTGTCTTTGCTGGTCCTGTGTCTGTAATATTATTGTTATTATTTAAACGTAAAACACAATGTCCTTTTTACAGCTGGTTTATTCAGTGATAATAGATTCATCCTCTCTGCTGACACACACTTCCAAATAAGGACACACACATTGAAAGGCGCACACACACACAGATTGAAACACACACACACACTCACATAGAATCGCACACAGACAGAAAGACACACACACACATACACACATTGAAAGGTGCACACACACACACACACACAGCATGAAACGCACACACACATACACTCACATTGAAACGCACACATACAGAGAGACACACACACATTGAAATGAACACACACACACATACACACACATTGAAAGGCACACACACACAGAGAGAGACACACACACATACACTCACATTGAAACGCACACAGACAGGGAGACACACATACGTTAAAACACACACACTCACATACACACACATTGAAAGGCGCACACACAGAGACACACACACACACAGATTGAAACGCACACACACATACACTCACATTGAAACGCACACATACAGAGAGACACACACATACACACACATTGAAAGGCACACACACACACACAGAGAGAGACACACGCACACACACACTCACATTGAAGCGCACACTCAAAGAAACACACAGTGAAACAAGTCACTCTCACAACAGTTCTACGGTTCTAGCTCTAACTTTCACATGCAACAGACACACACCCTCACTCACACACCCTCACCCTCCCTCACTCACACACCCTCAACCTACCTCCTCACTCACTCACACACCCTCACCCTCCCTCACTCACACACCCTCACCCTCCCTCACTCACACACACCCTCAACCTACCTCCTCACTCACACACCCTCACCCTCCCTCACTCACACACCCTCACCCTCCCTCACTCACACACCCTCAACCTACCTCCTCACTCACACACCCTCACCCTCCCTCACTCACACACCCTCACCCTCCCTCACTCACACACCCTCAACCTACCTCCTCACTCACACACCCTCACCCTCCCTCACTCACACACCCTCACCCTCCCTCACTCACACACCCTCAACCTACCTCCTCACTCACACACCCTCACCCTCCCTCACTCACACACCCTCACCCTCCCTCACTCACACACCAACCTACCTCCTCACTCACACACCCTCACCCTTTGAGGGAAAATGCAGAGAACTTTGTCCTCTGCATCTGACCCTGAGGCCACTCGGCGTCTGTCAGGAGCAGTGGTCGCCATAGTAACAGCGCCACCTCCAGATGTTGGTGCTCCTGGTTCAGGACCAGAGCTGGAGGATTTACCTATCGTACAGAGGAGGAGTCCCAGAGGAGGAGTCCCAGAGGAGGCGTCCCAGAGGAGGCGTCCCAGAGGAGGCGTCCCAGAGGAGGCGTCCCAGAGGAGGCGTCCCGTGTGAGAATGCCTCTTTTCCCAAACTTAAACTAACTTCCGCTCGGCCCCTCTGACCTCTGACCTCTGACCACATCTCAGTCTCTCACGGCAACAGTTTTACAGAACCAGGAGCAGATCACATATTTCTCATAGAACAAATTCATGGAGAGGGTCTGATTCAGGGGCCCCCACCTCTCCCCCAACAGCCCCCACCTCTCCTCCAACAGCCCCCACCTCTCCCCCAACAGCCCCCACCTCTCCTCCAACAGCCCCCACCTCTCCCCCAAGAGCCCCCACCTCTCCCTCAACAGCCCCCACCTCTCCCCCAAGAGCAGTGATAAAAGGACACTCCGCATTGAAAACATTTATGGACGTCATTGGATTTGTTATTGCTGCATTTCCTGTATTTGAACGGTTTGATTCTCTGATCTGTGTTGGCGTATCGACAGCTTTGTAAAGTCCTCTGCGATAACTGCTGTTGTGATTTAGGGCGATACACAAATAAATTGAATCTGGACTTTCTAAATCCTTATTGGACGATTTACGTTTGAGAATGAGATGAAATAGCGTTTAAAGCTGGCCAATTGCGGCCAAAGGCAGAGGCTGGTGCCATGTTGTCGTGTTTGTTTGTGTTAATAAAGAAGAATAAAACAATAAATTAAACAAAATTCTAACTAATTTTTGAATATATATATATATAAAACATATGGAGTTCCCTCCACTCCCTCACTCACTCACCCTCACCCACTCACCTTCACCCACTCACCTTCACTCACTCACCCTCACCCACTCACCTTCACTCACTCACCCTCACCCACTCACCTTCACTCACTCACTCACTCAGTCACCCTCACCCACTCTCTCACTCACCCTCACTCACCTCACTCAGTCACCCTCACCCACTCACCCTCACTCACTCACTCGCCCTCACCCACTCACTCACTCACTCACTCAGTCACCCTCACACCACTCACTCACTCACTCACTCAGTCACCCTCACCCACTCACTCACTCATCGTCATTCACTCACTCACTCAGTCACCCTCACTCACTCAATCACTCACCCTCACCCACTCACTCACTCACTCACTCACTTATTCACCCACTCACTCACTCACTCATTCACCTACTCACTCACTCACTCACCCTCACTCACAATGGAGCTGAAGTTGGCTGAATGACAAATGTTTACGACCTCTATCTGAGCCCCAGCGACCAAAAATGGTGTTAAATCAAATGTGAATCTATTGAAATAAAGTCAATGTCTGGACTCCAGAGGTTCAGAAACATATGTTTGTGGAGCTGAAGTTGGCTGGATGACACTGACACTTATGTCTACGATCTCAGTGGTTCTTTATGTTAGCGGCAGAGGGCCACATAACATGACACGGAGGGCCCCCATCTGCCCACGGGCCTTGGTTTGGACATGATCAGTTTGGTTCATCATCATGTGTTAGAGCAGTATTTAAGTATTGAGTTTTGAGTATTGAGTACTTAAGCATTTAAGTAATTTATTTGTTAATTATTAAAGTAATTAAGTATTAAGTATTGAGTAGTTAAGTTAGATAAGTGTTAGATAGATACTTTATTGATCCCCAGTAGGAGAAATTCAGGTGTAGTATCTATCTATAAAGTATTGAGTATCAAGTATTTAAGTATTGAATGTGAATAATTATACTCAATACTCATTACTAGTGAATTATACGGCCATGTTTATACCGTGCGTTTGTTTATACTGTTTTTTGTTTGTGTTTTGTCCGTTTGTTTTTTTTGCATTATATGATTTATATTATTTAACTGCATTTAATTACCTTGTCTACTCACCTCTGCCATTGCCCGATATAAATAAATGAATAAAAAAGTATTAAGTATCAAGTATTTAAGTAATAAGTATTTAAGTAAAAAGTATTAAGTATTTAAGTATTAAGTATTTAATTATTAAGTATTTAATTATTAAGTATTGAGTATTTAAATATTGAGTATTAAAGTAAAAAGTATTAAGTATTTAAGTATTAAGTATTGAGTATTAAAGTAAAAAGTATTTAAGCATTAATTATTGAGTATTGAGTATTTAAGTATTGAGTATTAAAGTAAAAAGTATTTAAGTATTGAGTATTTAAGTATTTACAGATGACATGTGTTCATTCATTCCTTAAAATCCACAACTTGGTGAAGTCCTCGACTGCTGTGATTCAGGGCGAGACACAAATACATTCTGTCTTTATCTGTTCATTTAAATGTATTTGAGTAAACCCATGACAGCAGCAGCAGCAGGAGGACTTTACAAAGCTGTCGATTCCACAACAACAGATCAGAAAATCAAACCGTTCAGAATCCCACAGGAAACACCATAAAAACAAACACACAGAGCCTTAAGGAGCGGGATGAGACCACTGTCCTCAGACTCTATCAGAGAAACCTCCAGAGGTGAGAGAGAGATCCGCTCCCACAGATGTCAGACTGTAGAACGAGGACTCAGGTCTGGGTCTATAGCTTTCTATCTTTTACATATAAGTGTCCTGAGAGTTTAGGGACATTTGTCGTGTCTTAGTGGAAATAAAAGTTTAATTCTAGACCAGTCAATGAATCGTTACCTTTACTTTTTCTACTTGCTCTTTATGTACAGTATATAACTCTGCACTGTATTGAAAGACTGGTATTGCAGCATTTACAGCATTTACAGCTAGCTAAGAAACATAGCAGCTACTACTTATTTTGTATATTGTGTGTGCTCTTACTACTGTCTGTGCGCTGCAACAGTGAAATTTCCCCACTGTGGGACAAATTAAGGATCTTTTATCTTATTTGTCTCTTACTCCACACAGAAATGGGAGCGGGGTCGTCTACAGGAGGCACATGCCAGGTCTATTGTACGTGTTTTTAGTGGTAGGGGAAACCGGAGCACCTGGAGGAAACCTACACAGACACGGGGAGAACATGCAAACTCCTGATAGTGTCCTGAGAGTTACTATTTGACACTTTGGGCTCAGTGCTGCTAAACTGAGTGAGGATGGTCTGAACGACTGATAAGAACCAGGAACTAGTCACATCAATGAGTTCCATAAGTTCTAGCTCTAGACAACGCGCACATGCACACGTATGACCACACATGCACACGTATGACCCCAGACCCTGAAGCTTACCTCCTCGTCCTGCTCCCGTCCTACGTCCACCGCAGAAAAGTCACTTAACCACAAAACAGTAGAAACAGATGCAGAGCTGAGTGTGAGGCTCCTGAAGTCTGTGCAGAGTCTTAAGAAGCCTCCAGTTTGTCTGAAGCGTCTTCTGTTTCCTTTTATGGTCATCAGGGGGCGTGGCATGTTGAAGGGGGCGTGGCCAAAAGCAGGGGTCAGACCATAGACAGAGCACATATTTGAAACAGAAGAAAAACATAGAATACCCTTTCTTCGAAGGCTTCTCACAGATTTAAACAAAACATTCTTATTAAAACCGTATTCCTCATCAAAACCAGACCCGCAGATGTGTTTAGCTTCATCCATGCTCATATTAGGGTCTGGCACAGTTTCGAATTGCGTTTGCAACTGTGACATAGTAGTAAGTAAGTAAGTTTTTATTTATATACCGCCTTTTCACTGCAGATCTGAGTCTCAAAGCGGTTTACAATTGTTAATTTTTTTTTTTTTTTCATCATCGCAATTTCTAATCTAATTTTGATTTGGGAATTTTTCTGTCATCAATCTGTGCTTTTAATGTAGATCCAGGACTGAGACTGTAGATCCATAACTGAGGCTGTGGATCCAGGACTATGACTGTAGATCCAGGACAAAGACTGTAGATCCAGGACTGAGGCTGTAGATCCAGGACTGAGACTGTAGATCCAGGACTGAGGCTGTAGATCCAGGACTGAGGCTGTAGATCCAGGACTGATGGCTGTAGATCCAGGACTGAGACTGTAGATCCAGGACTGAGGCTGTAGATCCAGGACTGAGGCTGTAGATCCAGGACTGAGACTGTAGATCCAGGGACTGACTGAGACTGTAGATCCAGGGAGGCTGTAGATCCAGGACTGAGGCTGTAGATCCAGGACTGAGACTGTAGATCCAGGACTGAGGCTGTAGATCCAGGACTGAGACTGTAGATCCAGGACTGAGGCTGTGGTTCCAGACTGAGACTGAGGACTGAGCTGTAGATCCAGGACTGAGACTGTAGATCCAGGACTGAGCTGTAGATCCAGGACTGAGGCTGTAGATCCAGGACTGAGGACTAGAGGACTGCTGTAGATCCAGGACTGAGGCTGTAGATCCAGGACTGAGCTGTAGATCCAGGACTGAGGCTGTAGATCCAGGACTGACTGACTGTAGATCCAGGACTGAGGCTGTAGATCCAGGACTGAGAGCTGTAGATCCAGGACTGAGGCTGTAGATCCCAGGGACGATGAGGCTGTAGATCCAGGACTGAGACTGTAGATCCAGGACTGAGGCTGTAGATCCAGGACTGAGGCTGATCCAGAGATCCAGGACTGAGACTGTAGATCCAGGACTGAGGCTGTAGATCCAGGACTGAGACTGTAGATCCAGGACTGAGGCTGTAGATCCAGGACTGAGACTGTAGATCCAGGACTGAGACTGTAGATCCAGGACTGAGACTGTAGATCCAGGACTGAGACTGTAGATCCAGGACTGAGGCTGTAGATCCAGGACTGAGACTGTAGATCCAGGACTGAGACTGTAGATCCAGGACTGAGGCTGTAGATCCAGGACTGAGACTGTAGATCCAGGACTGAAGCTTTAGAGCCAGGACTGAGGCTGTGGTTCCAGGACTGAGGCTGTAGATCCAGGACTGAGACTGTAAATCCAGGACTGAGACTGTAGATCCAGGACTGAAGCTTTAGATCCAGGACTGAGGCTGTAGATCCAGGACTGAGACTGTAGATCCAGGACTGAGACTGTAGATCCAGGACTGAGGCTGTAGATCCAGGACTGAGACTGTAGATCCAGGACTGAAGCTTTAGAGCCAGGACTGAGGCTGTGGTTCCAGGACTGAGGCTGTAGATCCAGGACTGAGACTGTAAATCCAGGACTGAGACTGTAGATCCAGGACTGAAGCTTTAGATCCAGGACTGAGGCTGTAGACCCAGGACTGAGGCTGTCGATCTGAGGCAGAACAAGAGTGTTGTGAATGTGTTTTATTCATGTGGGTTTTTTCAGTGTTTTTGTACTAAATATCTTCATTGTTGGTTTTGATCTGTGTTGGGACGCACACTTTCTAATCCACCATAACTTCTGTTCTATTCACTTAAAAATTGTTTTATTTTTTGAATGCCAGTCATTCTTGTCCATGTGCATTACCTGTGAAGTCTCAATCATCAATCTATGAGGTCCTCATACAATTCAAACACACAGTTTTAAATGTAAGTCATGAATAAACCAGAGAAATTAGTTGGGTCCCAGCACGGATCCTTGTGGGACTCCTCACACACCAGTGACGCATTGAACCATTCGCACAAACTGAACATGTGTTTCCTGTTCGTCAAATACGACTCTAATCCTTCGAAGTATTGTGAGATCCACTGTGTTAGGCTTTCATCAAAACTGTGTTAGGCTTTGACTGCCAGCCCATTTCAAAACAGGTACTCCCATATTGCCAGCCGTTTCTGGTGGTTTTTACTGATTTTTCAAGACCCACAGAATATTGTGTACTTTGACTATCTGAAATCTAAAACTAGATTCTGAAAGAATGGGCTGTCTACTCTCACCAGCAAAAAGAATTTTGTTTCTATCTTGTTTAGTTCTTCTGTAATCCCCAGTTGAGTAGAGGGAAGTTTTATTGAAATCACCAGAAAGCTGAGAAAAAAGGGCCACAAACAGTGCATCTAGCTGTGTTCAAACCATTCTTAGCGCAATGCTGCCATCTGCTGGCTCCATAAAGTATTGCCTCAAGCCAATCTCCACATATTAGATTCAATGGACAGCTGGGAACGTAAAAATAGCGGGAAACGCAATTGACGTGTTAACACGTCATTGGCAGACAACGTTACTATTTAGTTTGACGTGTTAACACGTCAATGGCAGTCAATGAGTCAAAGTTGCACTAACTGACTTTGGGATTTTGAAGCCGCGGACTCGCTGGCCACGCTCTTTCTGCTCCCCTTCCCGCTCCCACGAAGCTATCGCCCCCCACACACACCCACTGTTGTTGGAGCTAGCGTCTCTCAATATGGATAATACATGGATATGGATTTGCACGTGGATGGCGTGACCATAGAACGATAGAACCGGGAAGCGCGGAGGAACAATACTTTCTTTTGGATGGCTGTTTCGCTGTGTAAGCAGTAACCGGTGTTCGGGTTAGCTCCGCCGCTTGTTGTGCTAACTCAGCCGTCTATGCTAACAGGGACCTGTAGATTTCTCACAAAAGTGGGAGCTAGTGGTGCGTTGTGATTGGTCACAATCTGCGACCCGAAACACATTCTCTTCCTTGTTTCATCAAAACTCGATCTAAAATATAATGTCACGCCAGCACAAATCAGCGCTACTTTTTCTTCAAAAGGAGGTATATTCCAACGCACTACATGGACAGCATTTTCGTAATGAATACGAAAATAAAGTCAGTTAGTGCAGCTTTAAGTTTAAAAGGTTCGGTCAAGTGTTTGTGGCCATCATCGTAGACAGTGAAAGAGTTCAGGGTTTAGGCTAAGTTTAGTGATTTGGCTGTTGTTGGACAAGTGGTCTGGACAGCAGGGACAGGTGAGGACTGGGTCCTGAGAAGGAGACAGTGCAGTGAGCCTCCACATTGAGAGGCCCTGCTTGGATCCATGGACGTCACACTCTTTAGTCCAGATGCAGATGGAGGGGGCCGGGTTCAGGGGTCCCATCATCATCCCACGAAACAGACAATGGGACAGCAGGTGAACAGCAAGGAACAGACTACAGCTGAAGTAATAATGATGACAGATAAAGTAGAAAGGAGAGGATAGTGCCGTCACCATACTTCTAGAAAACTGACTCCATGGAGCTTGACTGACGATCTGTGTTTCTTGAATTAAAGGTTGTACATGTTTTAAGTCTTACCTTCCTAACCATATACTACATTAAAAAGGACTCTAATGTAGAGGCCGTGGATGAAGCTGATTCCACAGTAAAGGAGCTTGGAGCTAATGCTCTGCTGCCGACAGAGACTTTAGGACCCATCAGACGTCTGGCGTTTTGTGAGCGCAGAGCTTGGTTTGGTTTGAACGACACTAACGTGTCTCGGAGGTAGGAAGGAGCCATTTATGGCTTTGTATGTTAAATGAAGGATTTAAAACTTAAGTCTATTCTCCACAGGACCAGGACCTTGGAGAAAAGGGGCTTGTCATAGAAAGAAAACAGCTCAATTTGTATTATATTTAAAGGTAGAACTCGTCACATTTAAAAGATAATTTCACGAAATAGTGACAGAAATTATCATATAAATGTACACAGCCCTCAAACTGACTGATCTGGTTCTGTGATAACAGAAGTTCTCAGTGTGGATGGAACTTCTGAAGCTCAAGTGTAATTCCAGCTCCAGTGTATTATCTGTTTACGTTTATTTCTTAAATATCTTAAATATTAGATGTTTGATGTGTGCGAGTGCAGCACTGTCACTGGGATGACCCCAGGGTTCTCTCATCAGAACTAAGTTTCTTATTCTTGAAGTAAAAGTATTTGTTCTTGTGCAGAGTTAGAGTGAAGTGCTCATGTGTGAAGAGTGTCCCACACAGGAGCAGGAGCGTGTCCTCATAAGGTAATGTTTACAGAGATGTCAGACTGAGGCTCCGCAGCTGCACAGAACACACTGGGGCCGAGCGCATGCAGCCTGAAATGGAAACATCACTGAAGTTTAGCTTTTGTTCAGAAAGAACAGAGGAAACACCAGATATGAGCCATAAAGCAGTCAGAGGCTAACCACTCTGCCGCTCAGATCAAGACCTGGAGACAGAACACAGTCAAACATGATCAATAATGAGGTGATAATTGCTTTAATCCAGGGGTTTTTAATCTGAGCAGATTCTGACTGTAACATGATTCTCCGACGGGACAAAGACATTTAGTTTTATTCCAAGAACTGTTTTATTTTCTCATTCCAAGGAGACATTTGTGTCTTTTTTAAAAAAGATTATTTTGTTTTGTCCCATTGGCAAATCTTTTTTTAGAGATGACAGAATGTGCTCAAATGAAGATGCATTTTGGAAAGCACAGTGGCGCAGTGGTTAGCGCTTGTGTTTCACAGCAAGAAGGTCCTGGTTTTGATTCCACCTCCAGACCTTCCTGTGTGGAGTTTGTTCTCCTCGTGTCTGAGTGAGTTTCCTTCGGGCACAAAAAACAAATTGTAAAGCTCTTCGTGCTCTGGTCTGTGAAAGGCGCTTTATAAATAAACATGACTTACTTTACATTTTGCCAAATCTGAGCAATATTTTACTTATTTCTCATGACTTTTTGCAGTGTACACAGTCAAGAAATTGTGTGTTAAAGTTTGTTGTTTGAACCCAGAGTATTTCCAATGAGTGGAGTTAAAAAGTGAGTGTAAAGAACTCATTTTTACACAATAATGAGTAGAATTAAAGGAGCAGTATGTAAGAATCTGGCCAAAAGTGGTACTGCAGCCTCTTCCACTCTCCCTGACTCAGGTTGCCAGATATGCAGACGAATCCAGCTGGGACCATAACAGCTGAATAGACAAGAGTTTTGTCAACAACAAATCTATAACCAACACCTTTTTCACAAAGATAGAAATCCTGGTTTGATTCATTGTTTTGTCGTTAATGATTTGAGAATCATAACGAGACCTTTTTTAGTTCTGTGGCCACATGGTACTTTACCAGTGAGATTAGCTCGACGCGGTGAGTTTTGGCAACCCAGAGAACGGACTTGGAGGGCGGGACATCGAAATGAAAAAAAAAAATAAAAATTTAGAGGCTGTAAAACTAATTTTGAAATCCGAATACCTCTGAACTACTGTTATCAGTTAAAGAAGAATTGGAAAGAGCAGTTTATTTATGCCTTTTGACAGATTAGGACCATTTTACACTTTACACTTTACAACAGGTGTCTCCAACCTTTTTCACACAGATAACTACTTTAAGCCTGGTTCACAGGGCAGGATAATTAGGCCGATTTTGGAGCCAATTTACCCCCACGACAATCGTCTCGTGTGAACCAGGCTTTACCCGGACGATAAAAGCAGAGAGCTACTCCTTTGAGGAAAAATGTTGTGATATATTGATGTGAACAAGTCTGATATCGGGTACATTCATCATTTATCATCGCACATTTGTTACTAGTGCAAAAGGTGAGTGCTTTTCCAACAATAAATAATAATGAACAATACAATCTTGAACATTAAAGTGATTGTCTGGAGTTTGTCAGAGAGACAGAGAGGTACTTGATTTGAAAAAAATGATGCAAGCTCCTCCCCCTTCCTCTCTGATTGGTCTACGCCTACGTTTCCGTAACACTTTGAAATGTTAATCAGAGAACACATTATACAAATACATTATTAATACACATGCATGGAGGTTTTCAGAATTATTTGTTAACGGTTTAATGAAAAAAATAATGTTTTTATGCACAAAAAAAGCGATCGCGGCAAACCAGGAAGTGCTATTATCATGAATTGAACATTATAGGACACATCTGCAGAGGATCTGATTATGGATATAGGTTCAGTATATAAATAATTATGGATATAGGTTCAGTATATAAATGATTATGGGTATAGGTTCAGTATATAAATGATTATGGATATAGGTTCAGTATATAAATGATTATGGATATAGGTTCAGTATATAAATGATTATGGATATAGGTTCAGTATATAAATAATTATGGATATAGGTTCAGTATATAAATGATTATGGATATAGGTTCAGTATATAAATGATTATGGATATAGGTTCAGTATATAAATGATTATGGATATAGGTTCAGTATATAAATAATTATGGATATAGGTTCAGTATATAAATGATTATGGATATAGGTTCAGTATATACATGATTATGGATATAGGTTCAGTATATAAATGATTATGGATATAGGTTCAGTATATACATGATTATGGATATAGGTTCAGTATATAAATGATTATGGATATAGGTTCAGTGTATAAATGATTATGGATATAGGTTCAGTATATAAATGATTATGGATATAGGCTCAGTATATAAATGATTATGGATATAGGTTCAGTATATAAATGATTATGGATATAGGTTCAGTATATACATAAGTACCTCAGCGCAGATGTTCAGAATTCTTTGTTCAGTTTTCATGTAGTTCCAGAGCCTAATAGAGGCTTGATTCGGAGGCTCCGCGAAAACAAACAACTGATCATGAGCAGCTGCGAGCATCAGCGCCGATGATTGACAGCCCTTGGCTGTCAATCTCGATTGACTCGATTGGTTAACCTCGACGGCACCGTGGATTGGGAAGGCGGGACTTACCTGTAATATTAGAATCAATAAAATGACTTATTTTATATCAACATTTAAGGCCAGGAGGTCAATTTAATACAATTCCAAAAAAATTGTAATTCATTTAGAGTTACAGACTATCACTTTAAGTATATTATTACATGTTGGACCCCTGCTGTACAATATACTGATCCTGTTTACATCCACAAAGATTAGATTTTTTTTTTCTGAAAAACCAAACCACAACAAATCAATCAAATCAAGTCCAAGGAGCCCAGACGTCAGGGAAAAACTGTGGGGAATGAAAGAAGAAGCAATTGTTAAAGGAAACTTTTGAGAAATCCCCTTTGTCCAAATCTCGCTCAAGGATCTTGATGGGGGGGGGGGGGGGTTGCCTTTCTTCAGCAGGGATAGGGACGATTTTTAATAATAGATGGAGAAAAAACAACTTGTGTTATTCATGAAAAAGAAAAATGAGGAACACCAGCTTTAAGTAGTTCTACAGATCCTAAAATACACCGTTTATATTAAAGTATAACGTTGTTCCTCTGTCTCTGCTGCTTCCTGTCTTTGGCTCCAGATGTTTATGTGAGTCCCATCCTGGTGTCACTGCAGCCGCTGGTCCTGACATGAAGCAGACCCTCATCCAGGGCCTTCACTGCGGCCGGGATCTTACAGTCTCAGAGCAGAAGCATCAACATCAACCCCGTGTTTCTATTGGAAGATGATGTTGAGGACAGTCCAGACTCTTCCACTCTGCACTCATCTAACGCTCAAAACGTATTCAAGTTTTTAAATTAATTATGCCATATATATAATATATATATATATATAATATATATTATATTCATACTAACTACGTATTTGCATAAAAAGGAAGCTTCCTAATGGTGGACATTGGGTCCTGTGTTGCCATCTACAGGTCAGGGATGGGACTGACATCAGACATCACTAAACGGAGAACATACATTTGGTACGAAACCCATTCCAACAGGTGTTCATGAAAGAGTCATATACTGCTCACCGTGTTTGAGATATTTGTGAAAACATCAACATCTCACAAATGTTGCGTTAGAATGAGAGAGAATCCTTAAATCCTGAGAATAAACTCATTTGGAGACATTTATAACAAAGGCTATAATGAGTTTTATCACATAACAGGACATTCTAAATATGATATAAATAAGTGAAGCAGCTCTCTGCTGAAGCACATTATGAACAAGATCTAAACACAGAATGATTCAGTTTGTAAATGTTCAGAGCAGTGTTTTCCTCTTTATTAGGACACATCAGAACAGAGGACAGAGGCGGAGGTTCAGTCACAGCAGAATCTGTTTCCACCGCAAACAAACAAAATTTATCCTGAAAAAAGGGAACGACCTTTAATAACATTCAAATATTGAATATAAAGTGTGTAGGTCTCTGCACAAAGTGGCACATGACTTTAATCACTGTAGTAACACAACTGTGTGAGAGCAGAGGCAGGAGCTCTCACTCTGCAGACCATAGTCCAAACACACATGTGTGTTTACACATGTACACACACACACGCTTACACACGTATGTACAAATGTACACACACACACGCACACACACATGTATGGATGTATGTATGTAGACACACACACACACACACACACAAACAAACATAGATATGCACACACACACACACACACACACAGTCCTAGATGTAGTCGTCCTCCACCGGCTCCCCTGGAGTGTCACAGTGATGCAGGAACACGACCACGACTCTCTGGAACAGACCGATGCGGTTCTGTCTGCGCTCAGAGATCTCTTCCCCGATGGTCTCCATGCAGATGTCTGCAGACAGCTGGCCCTTCCTGCGCGGGGCGTAGATGGTACCTGCACCAGCAACAGTAACAACACACCATTCAACATTCAGTGGTGTTATTTTCTACAGTGTTACAAATAACAACTTTAAAGAAACAGTTCAGGCAGAAAGTCAACACTTTAGTTTAGACCCAGACCCAGACCTTGTGACGCTCTCAGAGAGACGCCTCGAAGCTTCCACTATGTATGTCACAATTTAAAACTTACAGCTTGGATTAAACCGTGTCTGAATTCTGTAGAAAGTGTCCTTTCTTTTCACATCTCACGTGATATTGTATTAACTCATTAACGAGCTCGAGCACATTGTGAGATCGTACATGTGTCTCTGTGGCCCTCATGCTGCCCCTTTAAAGTCTGCCTAGGCCCATGAAGCATTAGATCTGGGCTTTAGGCAACGTGTGACTGCAGCAGCAGTTATTGGCCCGGTTCCCAAAAAAAAAACCTTCCGACCGAGGGCCGTCTTCTCCTGTGGCGACGATCCGGACCACTAAGCCTGGTTCATTTGTTAAAACTCTTGTGGCCCACAGTCATCTCAGGCAGAATGCAGAATAAAAGTTCACAGGGAAATGTGATTCCTCTGTGTAGAGCTTGTTGCCACTTTTAATTAGAGAAGCTTAAATGCAGAGGCCTACAGGAAGTGATCTTCAACCTGTTGTTTTCCAAAGGACTGAGAGTCCTCGAACCTTTGATGCAAACACATGTGTCTCACTGTGAGCAACACTCACTCGTCTCATCGTCCTCAAAGTCGAAGCGAGCGTAGTTGTTGGGGTCCGCGGTTCTCAGGGTCCGCAGCCACGGGAAGTCTGTGATCATGCTGTAGGGGGCGCCATCCACTACACCTGTCAATCACACAGTCTCACTCAGTAAATCAACATGTTGTGAGATTCAACAGGTAAATAACACATAAGCACGCGCGCACACACACACGCGCGCACACACACATACGTGCACACGCACGCACGAGCACCTTCCAGAGTGTAGATGTCCCGGCCCCAGGGGTAGCGACAGAAGTTCTTCACGTCCTCCTCTGTCCTCGTGGCCTCAGGGAAGAACTCAAACTTGATCAGTTCTCTGACAGACACAGATAATATTCATGAAAATATTAGAGCTTCACATTAACAGGAGTCAGAGCTGGAGGAGCAGGACACTCACTGACTGATGTTGGCGATGGTGTCCATCCAGCTGCGGATGCGCACCTTGTTGCGCATGTTGGGGGGGTTGCTGAACTCGTGCACCATGGCGATGTGGTAGGGGTACGGCCCCTGGAACAACTGCTGCTCCAGAGCCACCGAGTCGATCTGCACAAGAGCAGAGTCTCAGGACAAAGACGGAGGAGGAGGACGCTTCTGTGTCCTACACACCTGGTGCATGGGTCGCATGTAGATGATGCGGTTCCTCTCTGGAGGAACCCTGAGGATCTGGTCCAGGACCTGAGACATGTTGAGCTTTTTGCACTGAGCAAAGTCCATTCTGTTGATAATGGGAGCACTGTCCACCTGCAGCTGCTTCAGCACACGGCACCTGGTGGCTGCACACACACTTAGCAAACTCTGGCCAAACTCTGGCCAAACTCTGGCCAAACTCTGGCCAAACTCTGGCCAAACTCTGGCCAAACTCTGGCCAAACTCTGGCCAAACTCTGGCCAAACTCTGGCCAAACTCTGGCCAAACTCTGGCCAAACTCTGGCCAAACTCTGGCCAAACTCTGGCCAAACTCGGCCAAACTCCGGCCAAACTCTGGCCAAACTCTGGCCAAACTCTGGCCAAACTCTGGCCAAACTCTGGCCAAACTCTGGCCAAACTCTGGCCAAACTCTGGCCAAACTCTGGCCAAACTCTGGCCAAACTCTGGCCAAACTCTGGCCAAACTCTGGCCAAACTCTGGCCAAACTCTGGCCAAACTCTTACCGTGTACAAACATCATCTTGGGACAGTCCTGCAGGAGCAGGTCTGTGATCCCACAATTAGTGAGCGTGATACCCACAAGGTTCTTGCTCTTTAGACTCAGGACCTGCACACAAGACTAAACCTTTACATGCATGTGAGAGAGATGAGAAAGGGGAGAGAGGTGAGAGGGGGGAGACGGGAGAGGGAGGTGCGAGAGAGACATGAGAGGAGAGAGAGAGGTGAGAGGAGTGAGGTGAAGGGAAAGAGATGACCGGTCTGAAAGGAGAGACAGGAGAGACACTGCTGCAGTAGAGTCCAGCCTGTACCTGTATGTGGTCTTCCTCGGTGACCGGGTCAGACGTACTCGTGGATTTGTCCACATTTCGTTTCCTCTTCACAAACACTCGAGGTCTTGGTTGAGACAAGCCTGGACACAATACGTTCATGAGAAGAGCTTGGTGCCTCCGGGAACAGTAAAGATACAGTCACCTCACAGAAATTCATTATTTCATTTCTCTGCTTGTTCTTCTGCCACTTTAACATGCACTTTATTTGGAAGAGAGTGTTTTAATGAACAGCAGAGCTGTAAAGACCAGAGCTTTTGGAAATCATTTCCTCCCACAGTCGCACAAACACACACACCCTCTAGCTCTTTTGTGGATGAAGTTAATGACAAGACTTGGACCAGACAAAGCTCTGTTGCCAGAACTTTCTGACACTAGTGTCTGTGGATCTGAACCTTTTGAACCTTAAACATGAGCCAAATGTTGCTTTAGGAGTAAACTCACCGGTGCCGGGCAGCAGGACCTCAGAGGACATGCGAGAGTACGAACGGGTCACTGGTCTGCGGGAGCTGGACGCCTCTGGTCTGTGTGTCCCAGTGTGTGTCCCAGTGTGTGCTCCAGTGTGTGCTCCAGTGTGTGCCCCAGTGTGTGCCCCAGTGTGTGCCCCAGTGTGTGCCCCAGTGTGTGCCCCAGTGTGTGCCCCAGTGTGTGCCCCAGTGTGTGCCCCAGTGTGCGCCCCAGTGTGTGCCCCAGTGTGTGCCCCAGTGTGTGCCCTGGAACATTCTAAGCCACTGGCCCCTGTCCCACTGGCCCCTGTCCCACTGGCCCCTGTCCCACTGGCCCCTGTCCCACCGGCCCCTGTCCCACCGGCCCCTGTCCCACTGGCCCCTGTCCCACTGGCCCCATGTTCTCCTGTTCTTCGTGGGTCTGCTCCTCCTTCCGCTGCAGTCTCTGTGCTCCTCCCCACACCTCCTCTGTGGCCTCCTCTTCTGTTGGTGAAGTATGTCGCAGCCTTGTACTTCCTCTTGTCTGCTGCTGCCTTCATGTCTGCTTTGATCTGTTCACTGCTGACCTGGCAGCTCTTCTCTGCGGTGCTGCGAGCGTGACTGTGAGCACTGCGCCGAAGAGGGGCCTTCCCTTTCCCTGCAACACACACACCAGGTCACAACACACACACCAGGTCACAACACACACACCAGTTCACTACACATACACACCAGTTCACTACATACCAGAGCAGGTCAGCTAACAGGAGCAAACTCCACTTCTAAAACACTAGTAACCATATTTCAAATATAACTCATTTAATGGTTAATCCTCACTCATCACTCATAGAACAACTCCTAATGAAGAGTTCAATATGTTGTGCATCTCGCCCAGTATGGCACAGCCGAGGTCTACAGGGCCTGGGGTCTACAGGGCCTGGGGTCTACAAGGCCTGGGGTCTACAGGGCATGGGGTCTACAGGACCTGGGGTCTACAGGGCCTGGGGTCTACAGGGTCTGGGGTCTACAGGGCCTGGGGTCTACAGGGCCTGGGGTCTACAGGGCCTGGGGTCTACAGGGCCTGGGGTCTACAGGGCCTGGGGTCTACAGGGCCTGGGGTCTACAGGGCCTGGGGTCTACAGGGCCTGGGATCTACAGGGCTTGGGGCCTACAGGGCCTGGGATCTACAGGGCCTGGGGCCTACAGGGCCTGGGGTCTACAGGGCCTGGGGTCTACAGGGCCTGGGGTCTACAGGGCCTGGGGTCTACAGGGCCTGGGGTCTACAGGGCCTGGGGTCTACAGGGCTTGGGGCCTACAGGGCCTGGGATCTACAGGGCCTGGGGCCTACAGGGCCTAGTGGCTCAACACCAGCCTGAACGTCAAATTCATAGTGCACTAGATCACCATCATTGTAAATTATCAATATAAAGTCTTCTTCGACTGCTGTGCTACCCACGACACTGGACTGTCCTACATCACTGGACTGTCCTACATCACTGGACTGTCCTACATCACTGGACTGTCCTACATCACTGGACTGTCCTACCTATGACACTGGACTGTGGTTGAGGAGAGCAGGAGGCAGGAGGTGCTCCAGGCCGGTCCTCCTCTTCACTGTCAGAGTCGGAGGAGACCATCGCTGCTTTCTCGGCTCTGGTTGGTCCTACACCACTGGGACCTGCACACAGGACAGACAGGACCATGAGGCCGTTAGCGTCTCTACGTGAAGGTTTAATGCACATCTGTTGTAAAGTCAGAATCAATGCTTCCTCGAGTCCAACTTAGATCAATTATTCAAAAAGATGAAAACACAAAACAACAGCAACACGAAAAAACTTAAGTTAGCGTAGTACAACTTAAGTACTTGTACCTGCTATCAGTACCTGTGTACCTGCTCTCTGTACCTGTGTACCTGCTCTCTGTACCTGTGTACCTGTTCTCAGTACCTGCTTGCTCTGGATCCATGGATGGAGGTGGTTTGTCTTCAGCAGGACTCTGCTCCAGCAGCTCTCTCTCAGGCTTTCCATTCACCTCCTGAACTGTTCACACACAAACACTTTTTAACCAGAGTGTAGAGAGTGTTACATTGTGTGTAGAGAGTGTTACATTGTGTTTAGAGTGTGTTACATTGTGTGTAGAGAGTGTGTAGAGAGTGTGTAGAGTGTGTGTACACAGAAACAGAACTGTTGACATTGACTAAAACACTTCTCTCAGTCGCCACGGTCTCGGTGGGGGCGCTGTTCTGCTCGTATGGTCCTGAAATAATGTGATAAGAAACAGTGCTTTATGTGGGTCCAATATGGAGTATAGACTCAATTTACAAACTCAAGAGGGACCATCTTCAGTGAGCTGGACGTTACATACTCCTCAGTAACTGAAGACCAGTGGCCCTGACCTCGATCGGATGCAAATGCATGAGAGAGAACTGAGGTGTCTGAACAGACAAACCCTAACCCTTCTGAGAAAAACCAGGTAGAGAGGATGCTCAGCACTGTTCAAGTAAAAGCTGCCACAGCAGAGGCCAGAACTATGATGTTTGTTTTGGGCATTAGGAGGTTCTGCAAAGGTTACTCGGACTATGTTTGTCCTCGACTGTACCTCTGTCCTGGTCGTTGTGGTGGAGGTTTATGGAAACTGCTGAAGGAGCCTGAGCCTCTTGGTCGGGAGGAGCTGCTGCCTCTGCAGGAGCAGCTTCTGCCTCCTGTTGAGGGTTCTCTCCAACTTCTGCAGCAGGTGCCTGATGCTCCTGCTGAAGGTTCACCTCAGCTTCTGCAGCAGGCGCCTGTGCTTCCTGAGGGATGTTGTTGTTGTCATCATTGGAATTCTGATTACTGACCAAAGCTGAAGACACACCAATCCCAGTGCCAGCGCTGAGCCCCACACGAGCACAGCCCTGAGGAGAAAAGGAAGCAGTTATCTCCTGAGGTCACTGCTGAACATCAGGGACGAGGCCGTGTCCTTTTTCCTGGGATTCAATGGCTCCCCTCCCTGTTCTGTTTATCTCCTCTACTGTGTGCGCATGTAGGAGACCTGCCAGAGCCCCTCCAACTCCATCCTTGTCCTTGTGAATGTATGTTTCTATGCTGTTGTCTCTGTCTGCATCCTGTAGCTGTTTAGTGTTATTAAATGTCTTCTTATGTATATGTATGGTTTGTGTCTGATGTATTGAGCCTCAATATAACAGGTCTGATTATTTCTATGTCACCATGGCCGCAGATAAACAGTATGAATGTAAGGAAGACTGCAACATGAGCAGTTATGGAAAGAAACTCGTGAGGACTTCTGTGTGTGCTGTACCTTGGGAGGCTCCCTGAACATCTGGTCGAGGCAGATGAACTCTAAGCTGGGCAGAAGCTCTATGAACTGACAGAACGACTCCAGTTTGATGGCATGACAGCGCACCAGAGTCAGGTCGACTAGGCGGTTCCAGCGGCACTGATCTGAAGCACAGAGAGCGTTACAGAGATACACACATTCATGCATTGAACGGGAAAAACGACTTGTTTGTGACCAGACTGTGATGCCATAGGACACATGGGAGAGGTGTAGCGGGGACTTTTCTGAAGGAGAAAAATAACGTTTTCTTAGTGTTCAGAGTTAAACATTACTCCTTAAGCTAGATAGAAATCCATCCATTCATTTTCTTCCGCTTCATCCGTTGCTGGGTCGCGGGGGCAGCAGTCTGCAGTCTACTTCACTTCATTTCAGATAAAAATCTTGTTTAGATTGTGTGTCAGTTTTTCACTGACTGAGGTACAATCCTTTCCAGACACATGAACAACTGTGTCAGCTGCATAAGTCTGCAGATGGATTACGGGCAGACATTGGGGAGATTGTTAATGTACAAATGGATGTACCTTGGATGGGACCAAGGATTGTTCCTCGGGGAATACTTGTTTATAATTTGCAAAATGAGGATTTGCAGTTATTGATGATGGCAGATTGTTCACGGTTCTGGAGAAAGGATTGAAACCAGGTCACTGCACAGATTTGAGTTTTGACATAAGTAGGTTGTGGTTCACTGTGTCAAAACACTTTTTTAAAACAAGGAACACCGCACCAACAACATTGCTTTTATCCAGAGATTGTTTAACTTGCCCAAAGCCCCCACTGAAAGATCAAGGCTATGCTCACACTCAGAGAGCAGCCGTCCTCCTGTGGACTCACCACCTGCAGAGGGTCAGTGAGGGGCTGGTGCTATGAGACTTGGGTGGCATCTCTGACTGTCACCCCCCTGACCCAGAGATGGATTAGGGGGTAGAAAATGGATGGATGGATGGATGTTTAACTTGCAGTCTCTGTTGAATGATTTTGTCGAAAACCAAATTGAAGAGGGTTTGAGAGGTTTTTTCTTTCCAGGTGTTTTAATAATTGCTCACTAATATATACTGTAGACCTTTAATCTGAGATTCTCAGAACTTGAAGAGGCAGACACTGCTCTCCAGGTTCAATGAACGACACAGTGTTAGTTCATTATAGAGATTTTAAATGTTCAAAATAAGTATGAAATACCGAATCATAATTATTGTTCCGACCGGAGCAGGTCTCACCTGTGATCCAGCTGTGGGGGTTGTGCAGGTGTGGGCAGTTATACACCACCAGATATTTGATGTTGGTGAAGACCTCGTTGACGCCTCTGAGTCCGATGTCGGTGATGATTCCCGGGTTCTCTGTGACGTCAGCCAAACCGTGCTTCACCAGCTCGCCGTGGCTCATCTTACCTGGACACACACACATCAGCAGGGCTGGACTGGGACAAAAAAACGGCCCGGGCATTTTTGCCTTCTTGGCGGCCCAGGCATGTTTTTTCACGTTTTTTACAGTTTGTTTATACCAGGCGTCTGCAACTCAAAAGGTTCAAAGAGCCAAAAACAATATCTGTCTGGAGCCGCAAAAAAAAAACAGCCTTGTATAAGGCTTATATGAAGGTAACACAGGCTGCAGCTGTATTAGCTACATTAGCTTAATATCTAAATGACAAAGTAAAGGCTACAAATGCATAATAAGCATTCATGATTATCAAATGTGTATTTTCACTGCAGCGTGTCCTGGAGAGAATGACGCACCACGTGACGACTCTGGTTTAACTTTAACTTCCATTTTTTGTCTTCATGCAACTGTAGAAATACAGTAAATAAATCTGCTTTTTGGCTCAGAGTTCACATCACAGGCTGAAGTTTGCTGGAGCTGAATGTCCTTAATGGCCTTTTCTTTCACCGTTTTTGCAAAGGTATTTGAAGTCTGAAAATAGGTGCTCTGAATTTGCGATGAATGAATCCTTCACGTGATCACCGTGAACAGTGTTTAGCGCATCATTGTTCCTCGTGTTGTAACAAAACTTCTCAATACAAACATGAAGCAGTCCTTCCTCATTGACTGAAAGCAAATGTTCATACTTATTCTTAGTACAGACTTATTATCGACTCTTTCTCTTTTTAGCTTTGGGATCCGTGCGCACATGCCGGTTTGTTTACAGCAGCAGCCGCCTAACGCGGGCCGCTTCACAGGATATGACGCACTACGTTGACAGAAATGTCGAAATTGAATATTACTTACGCACATTTTTGCAGCATTTAAAAACGTTAAGAATGTTTTTCATCCTACAGAAACCACATTCAAACTAGAAATAAAATATAGCCCTCCCACTCCATTTCAGACATTTTTTAAAAGACTCCAGCCGCAGGTTGCCGACCCCTGGTTTATACAGCATGGAAGAAAATACTAGAGGATCAGGATATGTGCAGTTTCAACAATTGAAATACAGTGCAATAGTCTACATTACAAGAGAGTAATAAACATGTCTCAGAGTGAAGGAGGTGGACACAGACAACACTATTGTTTATTACAGGGATGAGAATTGGTCAAAAAAGTCTGAAATTCATAATGCCAGCCATTGTCTGTCACTAAATCTGTTTGATTTGTTCACAACATTTTACTACATGGGCTCAAATATTAACTTTTAATGCAATGGAAAATTTAGGTACCTGAGCTTTAATTTAGTCGCTCTTCGAGAGGAGAGGGGAGACGCGGACTGTTTCCTGCAGCGGTGTATTTATTGGGTGCACAGATTACACAAAGAAATGCATGGTCCTGTGCGCGTTTATGGTCTTGGGTATATGGTCACGTTGAGGCTACGCGCTCGCCGTGTTGTGTTGTGAGCGGATCTCGTGGTTCCCGCGTCCAGCTCAGAGCCGCTGGATGCTTGAACCGCTCATTACAAAGCGGCCGCAGCTGTCTCGGAACACTGCGGCCGCTGAGGTGGCGGAATCCCGTTCGGGTATATACAGCAGTTGGCCGCGGACATGCGCGCCCCCCCTCAAACATTTTTCACAAACATGTTTTTTGTATGAAGCAGACAGACCGGCCCAAATATGGGCATCGGCCCTTCGGGCATTGCCCGGTATGCCCGATGGCCAGTCCAGCCCTGCACATCAGGCTCCATGAGGTTGGACTGTGTCTCTACAAAGCGAGTTTATAGTTCGACTCCTGCCCTCAGCCCTGTGCGGCTGAATCTGTGGGATGCGTGTTCCTCTGCTCAGAGTGACTTGTGGCCTTTGCTGAGCGAGTGACCGTCAGATTTAGAGTCACTTTATCTGCCATTTGCAGAAAACCAACATTGGAATAAATGTGCAAAAGTCCCCAGTGTGCACCAAACAAAAAAATTAAAAAGTACCAGATTTTTGTTTGTTTGTTTCTGAGACCAATAAACAAAAATGCAAGATCAAAACAAGTTTTACTGATGTGTGCGCTTCCCGACAGGTAACGGAAACATTACTCACATTGAAGCAGGAAGTCGTCCACGTAGCCCAGGTGGAGCGTCTCAAACTGGGGGAACTCCAGCTCTGCCATCTTCAGGGCAGAGAACACCCCGTCTTTGGTCAGAGACGGCTGGATCCGCAGCTCATGAAGCCTGCGGCAAAACAAGAAGGACACACAGCGATCACCAATGGGAGCTGCTTTCACACCTGTCAAACTGGAAATCTCTCAACCAAATATGTTTATGTCAGGACTCAGGAGCCGGATTGCACAGAAAAGGCCATTTTGAATGTATAATTTTAAATTCTTAAACATTTTTGTTCATTCAAAATCCTTTGGGAGCTCCTGGTTACTACCCCTGGTCTACAGAGTAATCGGCCAACTATCGATTATCAAAATAATGGTATATTACAGCGCTACACGCATGCAGGACATAAGGGGCATTGTGTGAGTGTGAGACCTGCGTGCTGCCGTGATGATGAGGTAGCCCAGGTCCACTTCCAGAGCATTCTTACAGGCGCCAAACACGATGGTGTGAAGGTTCCGGAATCCCCCTGGACACAGGAGCAGAGAGAGGTGTGAGCACAGAGGCTGAAGCTGCTTTCTTTCTCATTGAAAGTCCACATTCACAGTAGGCTCTGAATGTTGCTTAATTAGAAGCATTTCATGGTTCTGGAGTCTCAGTCTCCAGATCTCTACCCCAAAGAAAATCTTTTGTCATTGACTAAATACTTATTTTCCACCATCATTTTTATATGTTTTTTTTTCATTTTGTCTCTGATAGTTGAGGTATGATGAAAATTACAGTCATGTCTCACCTGTTTAAGTTGGAGCCCCTGCACAGTGGCCGACACAATATTTTTTGCCACACTGTAAGCGGTAACAAACCAGCCTGATGCATCAGCAAGTTTCATTTTGTGTGAGTTTTTTGCTCTTCGGTTGCAAATAAATAGTTCAAAAACAATATATTGCCCAACTCTAAGACACACCTAAACACACACAGACATGTTAGCGTTGGTGAAGTAGAGTACATGCAGCCCTCACCTGACCTCCAGCTGTCCTCCACCACATGTTGGATGAGTCCTCCCAGAAACGGCACCCTGACCAGCTCCAGCTGCTCCAGGCTGCGAGCCGAGGCCAGCCCCGTCACCAGAGGCACGTATTTGAGCGAGTTTGTAGGCCCTGCACAGTTCTTCATCACAAACGTCTTGAGGTTCACGCACAGGAAGTCCTTAAAGGGCTGCGGTTTGGTCAGACGAACCCATTTTAAAGACAGGTGGCGTAACATGGCCACGCAGGGGATCTCCGGAACATTCACTCCTGCATCAAGAACATAATCAAACACACGTTAGACACACAAATTAGAAACATCTCTCTAAAAAGCACATAACAATCAAATGTTTCAGATATTTTTACAGTGAACAACAATGAGTGAAAAGAACGTATGCAAAAGGTTGTGAGTAATAAAAAAGCTTCAAAAAGTGGACTAAAAGTTGTTAACGTATGCCAGACATGTCCACAAGCCAAATGCAGCTTGTATTATCCAGCCAACTTCAGCTCCATGCTACACCTTGTTCTAAAGATCAGGACCTTAGGAATCCAGTTGTTAACATTATTTTTGCTTGTGTCAAAAAAATCCATATATTTTCAATGTAGCTGTGGTGTGAATCAATATGGATGCTTCAAAGCCCATTTTAAGGTCTGATGAACTAAATTGGCCCGCTTACTAAAAGTGTGGACACCCTTGACTTATGTGTGTCCCCATTGGCTGCTTGGATATGTGCTTAAGTTTGCACGGACAGAATGCGTTTGTGGCCGAGTTGAAACCTCTACTTCCAGTGATTAAACCTGATAGTTACTATATTCAGTAATCGTTTGACAAGAGAAGACTGAATAAATGTGAGGTTGGTGTTCTCTTCAGTTATTTGTGGTGGGGCATAGACCTGACAGGGAACAATAAAGTATGTATCTTTGGGACAGGACTCACCCACGAGGTGCAGGCTCTGGATCTTGGCGGTCACAGGGAGGGTCAGCTTGTTCTCAGCCGGGATGGGGAAGGCTCCATTACGGTTGCGGAACTTTCCCAGAATATGTACTTGCGGCATGTAGTTCCAGATGGCCTCCACTAACTCCAGGTGAGAGGTCTCTACTCCCTGGACAGAAACAGGAGCTAGAATCATCATTTGAACCTGGCAAACAATGTAATTTCTATTTTACAGAAAAGTGAGAAATAGAGGTTCAAATGTTTTTTGACACGGACACATTTACAACACATCTGTTCAGACTATTGTCCTGATGTGAGAGACTTTTGGAAAATCCCTTTGGAAAGGATAAAGTTGAACCTTGAAAAACGTAGCAGAGTTTGAAAGCGGGTATGAAAGCTTTCCCCTGCAGAGGGCACTGACCATGAGGTTGGGGCAGGCCTGCAGAGCCTCCAGAAGCCCAGGGATGCTGAAGGCCTCGTAGCCCCTCACCCTCCTCCGCTCCAGGATCCGAGGGTGGATGCCGTACAGCTGCTCCACTTCCGGCATCTTCTTCAGGAGCGTGTGGAAACTGCTGTCTGTGAAGCCTGCGACACACAAGATAAGATCCTTTATCGTTTCCTACAGGACAAATGTGTGTTGGGACTCGCAGGTTTTACACAGACACAACTACATTGGCATAAATAGATTTTAAACAGATCAACATAGACACAGGGCAAAGCACAATCAGAGACCTCTAGAACCAGCACCATCAGAGATCTCTAGGACCAGCACCATCAGAGACCTCTAGGACCAGGACTCACCCACAAGGTGCAGGCTCTGGATCTTGGCGGTCACAGGGAGGGTCAGCTTGTTCTCAGCCGGGATGGGCTGAGAACACCATCAGAGACCTCTAGAACCAGTACAAGAGCACCATCACAGACTTCTAGGACCAGTACTAGAGCACAATCAGATACCTCTAGGACCAGTACCAGAGGTATGAGGACCAGTACTAGACTGTGTGAGCTGAGAGTAGTGGAGGATGAATTTTATTTTTTGTTTTACTGTATAATGGCCTAAGAATGGTTTTGTTCACAAAAATTCAATGTAAAAATCCTGATTTGTTTTGGCTTTCTGATGGAGATAGATTGTGCTGGATATTTGAAAATTAATGTTTTGCAGTAGCAAACTTTGTAGAAAAGGCCTGGACACGAGACAAAGGACTTTATATCCGGAGAGATAGTAACTGTGTATTTTGTGTTTTGATGTGGCTTTATCTTTGTTTATTGTTGATAGTGTCATATAAGCCCATGTGGGCTGGGCACATACTGTTTGTGTATGACACTTAAATACACATGTATTCATTCATTCACAAGAGCACCATCAGAGACCTCTGGGACCAGTACAAGAGAAGGCACCATCACAGACCTCTGGGACCACTACTAGAGCACCATCAGACCTCTGGGACCAGTACTAGAGCACCATCAGAGACCTCTGGGACCAGTACTAGAGCACCATCAGAGACCTCTAGAACCAGTACAAGAGCACCATCAGAGACCTCTGGGACCAGTACAAGAGCACCATCAGAGACCTCTGGGACCAGTACTAGAGCACCATCAGAGACCTCTAGAACCAGTACTAGAGCACCATCAGAGACCTCTAGGACCAGTACTAGAGGACCATCAGAGACCTCTAGAACCAGTACAAGAGCACCATCAGAGACCTCTAGGACCAGTACAAGAGCACCATCAGAGACCTCTGGGACCAGTACTAGAGCACCATCAGAGACCTCTAGGACCAGTACTAGAGCACCATCAGACCTCTAGGACCAGTACTAGAGCACCATCAGACCTCTAGGACCAGTACTAGAGCACCATCAGACCTCTAGGACCAGTACTAGAGCACCATCAGACCTCTAGGACCATAGAAAAACACAGGTGAAAACAACAGACAACAGAGAGTAGATGGGGAGTGAGGCAGCTTCTGTGGCCCTCTGCTTTGCTAACCTAAAATTATTCATTTCAATCATAAACGTACATTCTGTGTTTGTGATCCGAACATCAGTTAGCAGAGTTACAAAGTAATGGAGATTTGGAACATCTCACGGTTCATTCATCATCTGGGAATTTGTGCCACAAACATATCAAATTGAGATGAGCAGTACAGGAGAGAAAGCCTGATGAGAGTTACCTGAGGGCATGTACTTCCACCAGCGGCCCGCGCACAAGTCCACCACCCGCAGCACACGGAGGTACAAGGACACGGCTTCACGCAGCTTTCTGGACAGACACTCCATGGAGATGATGTCCTTCAATGGGAGATACCTGACAAACACACAAACGCAGTGTGTAACTATTAGGAACCTCTGGAATGTGACAACCGTGAAGCGAAAGTGGTATCCACTCAGCCACCCTGCCGCAAATGTAATGTGAGTGAGTGTGCTAGTGTGTGTGCGATTGTGTGTGTATCTGTGTATGTGTATGTGTGTGTGATGCATGTATGATTGTGTATGTGGGTTCTCGGAGCCGGTATGAAGTCATCAAAATGACCCGCCGCCAGATGATTGAAAGTATATAAACTCAGAGGGTCTAAATGACCCAGGGCTGGTCAAGCCAGTGAAAATAATCAAAAACATTATTTAGGGTATTTTTTAATAACTGTGGTGGGTTCATTTGACCCAAGGATAGCAAGGAAGGGAAAAACAAATATTTTTTTATTTATTGATTTGTTTTTTGTGTGTCATGCCCAAAGGAAGCATGGAGCCACTGGACGAGAGCGCACACTAGGGGGCGCACTGCTGGGAATCTGGCAAAATAAAATATATTCCAGTGTTTCCCACACATAGACTAATCTGTGGCGCACCGCCACAGATTAGAGACCGCCCGCCACAAATTGCGTTTCGTATTATTATATATATATATTTTTTTGTTACGCTATTTAAAACATGCATCGTCTAGTGCCGCCGCAGCGGTCAATTTGACAGCGGGGAGGGGGGTTTAAAATGTGGCGGCCCTTCGTAACTCTCACTCAAGCTACGCGTCTCTCCCACATACAGAGACCTACACACACACAGCCCCTCCCCTTCGTGCACACCGCGTGTCTCCGTCTCCATCAGCGATCATCGCTGTAAGCAGCTGTGTCTATTAATTTACCGCGGTAAAGTGGCCCGCATCTTTCAGCTCTATGAACATGCGGCCCGCATCGGGGAAAAGACGGTGCGCGTTTTGTTGAGAACTTACGGTAACAGCGGAACGTCCTTTCGGAGTCACCCATTTTTATCGAACAGAAAGCGCGCTGGGGTCAGGGAGACACGTTTTTGTGATTAAAACCTTATAGAGATGCCACCCGGCACACATAGCACCAGCCCCCTACGATTCCTCCGGCAGATTGTGAGTCCTCAGGAGGATAGCCACTCTATTGTTTACATATATAAAGTACACAATTTGGTCCGCTAGTGCAATTTTCAAGTATTGTAACTATTTACTGGAATAAGGTGTGCGACTAATTTCACTTGACTCATGACCTTATTATTGCCCTCTGCCACTGTACCAAAGACCAGAAACTTTTACTGTAGAAATATTGAGAAATATTGAGGTAAAGTAGCCATTTTGGTCCAAAATACCTCCAAAATAGTCAAAACATGTCACTTTTGATCTACTGTAACTTTTTACTGTAAAAAGGTGTGCGACTAATTTCACTGGATTCATGACCTCAAGATTGTCCTCTACCACTGTACCAAAGACCAGACACTTTTACTGTAGAAATAATGAGAAATATTGAGGTAAAGTAGCCATTTTGGTCCAAAATAGCCTAAAAATGGTCAAAACATGTCACTTTTGATCTGCTGTAACTTATTACTGTAAAAAGGTGTGCGACTAATTTCACTGGATTCATGACCTCAAGATTGTCCTCTACCACTGTACCAAAGACCAGACACTTTTACTGTAGAAATAATGAGAAATATTGAGGTAAAGTAGCCATTTTGGTCCAAAATAGCCTAAAAATGGTCAAAACATGTCACTTTTGATCTGCTGTAACTTATTACTGTAAAAAGGTGTGCGACTAATTTCACTGGATTCATGACCTCAAGATTGTCCTCTACCACTGTACCACTGTACCCCACTCCCCCCCCCCCCCCCCCCCCCCCCCGCCGACGACCACCACACATTGCCTTCAAACCTGTGGGAAACACTGTATTCCTATAGTAAACAATAAAGCTATCACTCAGACAAAACAAGTATGAGCACGTGAGATTCTGCAATAAACAGTTTGGCTCAAAATAGATGTATATATTATCAACAACAAAAAGAAAAATTGTTATTTTAAATTATATATGATTTATATACAGTACAGACAAAACGTTTTTTATTTTCATGATTATGAAAATTGTAGATTCACACTGAAGGCATCAAAACAATGAATTAAAAAGTATTAAACAACTGAAAATATGTCTTATATTCTCGGTTCTTCAAAGTAGCACCTTTTGCTCTGATTACTGCTTCACTCTTGGCATTCTCTTGATGAGCTTCAAAAGGACCTGAAATGGAAGTGGCAGCGTACCTGAAGATGTGGCACAGCAGCTCGTGGGACAGCTGGTTCACATAGTCCTGGTCCTCCACATAGTCCTGGTTGTCTTCAGGCTGCAGCTGCTGGACGTCATGGCTGCGTCTGACTGGCTGCAGCCTGCACACTTTCCGCCTTGGAGCCATCTCTGAGCTCTGCAGGTGCCCGGCCGTGATGTTAACACATCAGCTGTCAATACAAAACACTGCATTAGTAAACATAAAAATAATGGCAATACATTGAGTGTCCAAAAGCACCATACAAATACAAAGACGCTTTACAAAAAGGACATGTTAATAATTAAGTATGCATCGCATGGCCTTGGTCGTCATTCTACAGCCTCAGTTCTGGATCTACAACCTCAGTCATGGATCTACAGCCTCTGTCCTGTGTCTACAGCCCGTCCATCTGTGGGTGCAGATCCCTCCCTCAGTGCGGACCTCCCCGGGGTTTCTCACTTTCTTCCACTGGGTTTTTATGGACTTTATCAACATTCATGGACATCGGCCTCTGCTCCTAATGGACCAATGGCTCTATGTGTTTGTTATCATCGCATTGGCAAATTAACGGCTTTATAAAGTCCTCCAAGTTGACTACTGTTGTGATTTAGGTCTATACGAGAATAAATTGAGTTGGATTGAAAGTGTAGGACTTTTTGAACAGGTGGGTTTTGAGCAGCCACTTGAAGACCTGAAGTGAGTCCAAGTTCCAGAGAGTGGGGAAAAAAAAGATTGTGTAATAGTAATCAGTATCAGAATCATTTTTATTGCCACGTAAGTAACAAAGTTACCACTTGGAAATTGTTTTGGCAGATAGCGTGCCACTTCACCATTATCTGTGCATTTTATTCCTGAGAAAAGGGGATGTATTGTATGTTTGATTAAAAAATGTCATCACTATACCTATGAGGCGATAGCTGAGGAAATGACAAATATGAATATTAACCATGAATAAAATACTTTAACACAGACCTGTGTAAAATACTACATAAAACATATTTAAATGAATGAACACTGTTTTGTTAACAGGACAATGATAATAACAATGTTTGCTTTATCATTTAATAAATGCAATTCCGCATGTTAGTTCAGTTTAATAGTTACAAAGTATTAAAAAAAATATTGAATCCGAGTTCATTGCTAAATAGTTGATCCTTTGGTTGATGTGTCTTAGGCCAGGTTTCCACCAGCCCTACTCGGCTCAGCTCTACCTGGTTTCCATTACTTGGTAACCATGGCTTTCAGCAGCACTCTGGGAAATCACTGTAAGTTAGAACATTTTAGTACAAGCTTGGCCTGATTAGAACCAGGACCAAGAGGGACTAAAAAAGTACCTGGTGCTGGTGAATACACTCCTAGTCAGGGTTTAGTGGAACCGAATCGAGTACAGTGGGGCCAAGAAGGGATGGTGGAAACGGGGCTTCTGTTTACAACATTTTTAGACTTAAAACAATGACAGGAATGTGAATCAGAAAACTCCAAAAACAAGAACGCATAGTGGTTGAATCAGTTAAAGGTTGTAGTTTTGTGTTCACATTTAAGCCAATACTCATACTCGTAGGTCTAAAGCCGTTTTCAGAGAAATTAAAGATAAAATCAGATACACTTTATTGAGCTCACAATGGAGAAATGTCACTTTAGGCATTAGACTCGCTCTTAGGTTGTGCAAAAAGACGTGTGCAAACATGTTAAAAAGGTTAAAATAAATCGTATATTTTGTGCAAGATATATTATGTACAATAAAAAAATAAAAGTGACTGTTTTTTCAGTCCTAGTGCAGATATGTTTAAGTTAGATATTCAATAACCTAAGAGCTATTGCCCATTTTAAAGTCAACTAATCGATCGACAGGGTATGACTTTATAAGTATCTATAGTCGGACAAGAATGTCTAGTGGAATACTGCCCTAGTTAGCAGCAGTGTTTGTGTTAGCATGCTAGCCTCAGTTAGCAGCAGTGTTTGTGTTAGCATGCTAGCCTCAGTTAGCAGCAGTGTTTGTGTTAGCATGCTAGCCTCAGTTAGCAGCAGTGTTTGTGTTAGCATGCTAGCCTCAGTTAGCAGCAGTGTTTGTGTTAGCATGCTAGCCTCAGTTAGCAGCAGTGTTTGTGTTAGCATGCTAGCCTCAGTTAGCAGCAGTGTTTGTGTTAGCATGCTAGCCTCAGTTAGCAGCAGTGGTTGTGTTAGCATGCTAGCCTCAGTTAGCAGCAGTGTTTGTGTTAGCATGCTAGTCTCAGTTAGCAGCAGTAAGCAGCAGTGGTTGTGTTAGCATGCTAGCCTCAGTAAGTAGCAGTGGTTGTGTTAACATGCTAGCCTCCGTTAGCATGCCGGGCGGCTCTCTTTAGCATATGCTCCTGTAAACGGACTTTGCACCTCGCAGGAACCGGTCGCTGACCTGTGTGTGCAGCCCGCTCCGCTGTTATCTCCTCCCGGCGGTGATCACTCCCATAGGGGCAGGGAACGCAGCACAATCACGCTCCTGAGATCGATTGTTTACAGGATCTGTGCTCTTCTTCTTCTTTTAGTTTCCGGCAGACGTGGCGCATAGCTGCCTTTCTCGGTCAGGTGGTATATTTTCAAATTCATACTGCTAAAATCTGGAACAATCTTCCTGAAAATGTGAGAAAGGCCCCTTCACTGACAATGTTTAAATCCAGGTACAAAACAGTTCTGTTTAGCTGTGCATAGAACTGAGGGATTTTATATTGATCTTTTTTTAAATGCCCTCATTCAAAATAATTGCAAAAAAAAATTGCCCAAACATGTGGGGTTTCCTTCTGTTTGAAAAAGCTCAGAAAAAACTGAAAGAACTTTTGAAACTGAAATAAAGGCCCACGCCTCAGACTCAGTTTGTTATTACGTATCATTGCGCTATTGTTGAGGAATATGCATTATTTCCTTTTGCACACTTAGCTGGGATAAAAAAAAAGCAGTTTGTTTATTTGTTTAAATGTTTTGCTCTCGTTTAATGAAGAGGCTTTAACCTTTACTTACTATTTAGTTATAAATTATCTATACTCAAAACAGTTTTGTGGAAGGATACCAAATGAACATTGTGTTGCTATGGTAACTAACACTGTGATGGAAAACCAGCTGACTCAACTCAGAAGCAGAACCAGTCCAGGGCCAGACCAAAACTAGTCCAGGACCAGTGTGGGACCAGCATCTTAAAGACCTTATGACGGGTTTGATTTATTTAGAAATACAGTTGTAATACCATTTTATATTAGAAGAGAACTACTAAAGGTTTCAAAATCAGTTGTTGTTTTTTTTGTCTGATCCCCCCAAATCGAAATAACCCCATAGCAACGCCCTTAGAAACGAAAAAACTTCACAGCCCTTGGTGACGTCAGAACGGGTACGTTTCAACGCTGTAATGGGCTAGACACACGGGAGGCGACATCGCATCGCCTCCATTCATTTCAATGGGACGTGCGCGACATAGCGTCAATCGCTAGCGAGCCTCCTGCTCAGCGACGGGCGAAAAACGTGCGTGTGAAATCCTCCTGCTCGTGCATGTATCGTGCACGCGCAGGTCAGCGACGCGATCCCAGAAAGTTGAAATCGGCTCAACTTTTCTACGCTGTCGTCAAGCCGCATCGCGCCCCGTCTGTCATGTTATCTGAGCGACAGCGTTGAGTTTCGCTGATCGCTCTCATTTGTCGCCTCCCGTGTGTCGAGCCCATAAGTTGTTTACAATTTTGTATTCGTTCTTTTTTCGCGGATATTCAAGATGACAAGGCCGTGTACAGCGAGTCTAATATAACTACTAGAATATTTTATTTCGTTATCACTGAGATAGTCCAGTGGTTGTGTGGATGGACTGCCAATCCAGAAACTGGGGTTCAAATCCCACTTCGGACACTTTTTCACACTCAAAACGGCAATTTATGTGTAGTGAGCAATTGTCACCTGTAGAGTGCAGTATTGTGTTGGGCACCAGTGGAGAGAAGAGAGAAAAGGCAGTCCTGTGGCATAGATCCATGGTTTTCAATGCATGGGCGTAACCCGCTATGACGTCACACACAGGTTAGAGCATAGACAACTTAAATTCATGAAAAACACGTTCTTTTTATAAAATATAGGATTTTTTTTGCCGGAATCTCTTTCAAATTGATATTGTCATGCAATTTTGATATCCACTATTTTTTTAAAAAAACCCGTCATAAGGTCTTTAAAAAGGCTAAATGTCTGTTGCCTAGCGACCAAAAATGGCTATACTTGAATTTTACATTCAAATAAATGGAGTTAAACTAAGAACTTGTCACATTTCAAAAGTAAAAATTTGATACAAATAATAACAGAAAAAAACGACATAGAAATATAAAAAGTCATGAAGACTGAACATGTACATAAAATTAAAACTAATATCTGTCAAATTCATGTTAAATCTCTGCTTAATAACAAATGTGGGTCTGGGTAAAATTCTCTGAAAGCTGCCCCTACAACCCAGCAACCGATTAACCAGAAGAAAATGGTTGGATGGATAAATCTCTGTCCATGAGGTCTGTAGAATACAATAATAATAATAATAATAACATGGTTTGGACAATTGACTTAATTTGACCTGCAAGATAGTATAAATATATAATAATAATATTTTAAATAATTCACTCTTGAAAATGTCTTGAAATGTGACTTACTACTGAGAAAGCCAGATCCTGTCAAACTACTCTTCTAACTACTACCTCGATCACGAGGGTGCAGTGCGTGAGCGTGGTGCAGGGGGCGCTGTGGGGCGGGCGCTGCAGAGGACGGTGCAGACAGAGGCGCAGACGAAGACAAGTTGTCATGTCCAGAATGTTGTCCAAAGAGTTGAAAGTGTTGTGCAAAGTTCTCCTGACGTTGTGTGTGTGCGCGATCCTACAGAGCCACGGTGCACATGGACAGAAGAAAAAAGAGGTGACACGCACAAACACACGCGCACACACACACACACACACGCCCTACACAGCGTGAAGTTCGAAGCTTTGGAAGTTCACGCATAGACTGAATGCAGATGGACAGTGCTAACTCGCTAGTCCAATGAAGCCTTGTGGGAAGTGCTAATGGAGAAAGTTTTGCTGCAACTCGCGCTGACTCCTGTTGACTTAACGTACATGTACATTAGTCTGTGTGTTTATATGTCGTTATGGTCTTTGTAAAACCAGATCAAACCATACCTAGCTTACCTATCTACCACCTTATGACGTCAGCACACCATCAGTCCACTCCAAATATACAGTATCAGAAGTATTTCTTTCTAAAACATGTGCAGTTAAGTGACTAGATTACGGTTCTTGTTTAATTAAAGGCAATAATCGATAGAAGTCAACAGCTGCAGCTATAGTTCACTAGGTAATGTAACATTATTAAAGTTTCACACAATTATTTCAATCATTTGAATGTATCTGCAGGACTGGAACTCTTTAGTACATTTCTGCTCTGGACAGTGGTTATCTCCTTATGGACCAATGGCTATATGTGTTTGTTATTGTAATTGCATTTCCTGTGTTTGAACTGTTTGATTCTCTGATCTGTTGTTGTTGAATTGATAACTTTTGTAAGTCCGCCGGGATGACTGCTGTTGAGATTTAGGGCTGTTCAAAATAAATCTAATTAAATTGAGTTGAATTGGTTCTGGTAAACCAGGCTGTTTGAGGCTGTAGTGCAGCATTCAGCAACTGCATATGTGTTTTTTGTCTTTGAACATAGTTTGTTTTGCTCACATTCTCAGTGTGTTCTCTGTGGTGTGAATTGTAAAACGTTTATTACGTCTTTTATGTTTAAGGCTGAAAAGATTCTTTTTAATGAGACAAAAGTGCAAAGAAGCTAGTTCTGCTTTATTACAACATGTTTGTGTGTCACCTCTGATGAAGGCGGAAGTCGACCGTCCAAAACATGTGCTAATTAAGATGAACTACAGCTTAGAAAAGAACTTTCTAAGCCTTAATCATGTGTGTGTTCTCTGTGGTGTTCTCTCAGACCCTCATGTGTGTGTTCTCTGTGGTGTTCTCTCAGACCCTCATGTGTGTGTTCTCTGTGGTGTTCTCTCAGACCCTCATGTGTGTGTTCTCTGTGGTGTTCTCTCAGACCCTCATGTGTGTGTTCTCTGTGGTGTTCTCTCAGACCCTCATGTGTGTGTTCTCTGTGGTGTTCTCTCAGACCCTCATGTGTGTGTTCTCTGTGGTGTTCTCTCAGACCCTCATGTGTGTGTTCTCTGTGGTGTTCTCTCAGACCCTCATGTCGGACAAGGTGTCTCAGCTCATGGAGTGGACGTCCAAGCGCTCGGTCATCAGGATGAATGGAGATAAGTTCCGACGCTTCGTCAAAGCTCCTCCTCGGAACTACTCTGTGGTCATTATGTTCACAGCTCTGCAACCACAGCGGCAGTGTGGGGTCTGCAGGTACGACCACCAGCCCCAGAACAGCCCCAGACTCAACATCTTAGTATATTTAATAATTTATAAAGACAAATATGAAACTAATTAAGACAAATATGAAAATAAACATGACAATATGAAACCTTGGGATGAATCAAACTTTTTTTTTTGAAGACAAGCTGATGAAGAGTTCCAGATCCTGGCAAACTCGTGGCGTTACTCTTCAGCTTTTACAAACAGAGTCTTCTTCGCTTCTGTGGATTTTGATGAAGGGTCTGATGTTTTCCAAATGGTGAGTCTCTGAGCCAGAATATGACACACACATGTACTTACACATACTTACACATTATACACACATACTTACACATAATACACACATGTACTTACACATAATATTTACATACTTACACATCATACACATATACTTACGTACAAGTAACAATATATCAAATACAACACATAATACACACATACTTACACACACTTACACATACTTACACATACTTACACACACTTACACATAATACACACATACTTACACACACTTACACATACTTACACATACTTACACACACTTACACATAATACACACATACTTACACACACTTACACATACTTAACATACCTCATTTACACAGTGCATCACATTTTCTCTTTTTTAACAATTCTTCATTGCAGTGTTTTGTCTGTTGGATCAGAGGCCAAACCAAAAAATGCCAAAACATTTGTCCGATAATAGTAATAATGCATAATTTTTATACAGCGCCTTTCTGGATACTTAAAGAAGCTTCACAACATTATTCAGTCGCTCCAAACACGGTGGTGATAAACCCTGTGACAGGTGCTTCTTGTGTTTTCAGCTCAACATGAACTCCGCCCCCACGTTCTTGCACTTCCCGTCCAAAGGGAAGCCCCGGCGAGCAGACACCTACGAGCTGCAGGTGCGAGGGTTCGCGGCGGAGCAGTTGTCGCGCTGGGTGGCGGACAGGACGGACGTGCTGGTGAGTTTCTGAAACATAAAATGACAAAGTAAACAGTCTAATTGTTAGTTATATTTGTTATGTTGTTACTCTTATAGTAGAAATTAAATAATGCGTAACACTTCTTCAATAAAACTGCGTCATCTGCAGTCTGACAGAATCCCAGCTGTGTGAGAGTAAAACAGCCCCCTCGTCCCGGTTTATAGTCCTGGGGTCATGTTTATGTATTTCGATTGGTCCTTTGACCTTGTTGTCCTCAGTCCCTTTGATATTTGCTTTGTTCCAATCCATAGTGTGTTTTTTTTTCTTTATTGATCGGGGTTAATTTTGATCACCACCATGTTCCAATAACAGGTCTGCATCATCTATTGCTCTATCCATGTGTGGTTAGATGTGCGCTTTCATACTTTCATATGAGAGTGAGAGACAGAGATAGGGAGACCAGCGAGAGAGAGACCAGCGAGAGAGAGACCAGCGAGAGAGAGACCAGCGAGAGAGAGACCAGCGAGAGAGAGACCAGAGAGAAAGAGACAGAGAGAAAGATTTTGATCCTTTTGACTAGGGGTGTGACGATATATAGATTTTTCATTATATCCCAATACTTTCTCCCGCAATTCGATTATCGATATGCATTTGCCAAGTATTGATATCAATTTTGAAGAAAAAAAAAAGATTTTTTTTTTGTTACAATAAAAAAAAAAAAAAATTGGTATCAATACTTAATATATGGCTACATTACGCATCTCCATTCCATTTATCATGAAATAAAGTGTATTTTTTCTTATATCTATGCCATAAATTGGCATATTGTATATTTCTGACCAATATATCGATAATCGTCATATCGTGATAAAATCGTTATCGTGAGCTTTGTATCGTATCGTATACCCCTACTTTTGACCGGTCTCTACAGCTATAGTAACTATAGACGGACGCTGTGTTTGTCAGATCCGTGTGATCCGGCCTCCAAACTACGCCGGGCCTCTGCTGTTGGGTTTGCTCCTGACGGTGATCGGAGGACTGGCGTATCTGCGCAGAAATAACCTGGAGTTCCTCTTCAACAAGAACGTGTGGGCCTTCTCTGCTCTGGTAACTCAGCCGACCTTGCACTCTCTGCTTTTGTTTATGAGAAAAACATTTCAAACATTGTCTTTCTTTGATATTTTAACCACTTTATTCTCCTCAAAAACAGACCTGAGATTCTTCATTATTGATACAGAATCAGCAGTGTCCATGTTTTTAGTCATCATCATGTTTATATTTTTTATTTTTTTCCATATATTTTAAACTTTTTTTTAACATTCTAAACAAATAAACGTGTTCTTTATGTGAGTGTGACAGCTGTGTTTGTGTCCAGTGCTTTGTTCTGATCATGACGTCAGGACAGATGTGGAACCACATCAGGGGCCCGCCCTATGCCCACAAGAACCCCAGCACCGGCCAGATAGTGAGTGTGACATCACCACTGTGACATCAGCTCTGTGACATCACCACTGTGACATCATCACTGTGACATCACCACTGTGACATCATCACTGTGACATCATCACTGTGACATCATCACTGTGACATCAGCTCTGTGACATCATCATTGGGACATCATCACTGTGACATCATCACTGTGACATCATCACTGTGACATCAGCTCTGTGACATCATCACTGTGACATCATCAGTGGGACATCATCACTGCGCTGTGAAATCACTGATGACATGTTTTGTAACTGCTGTGTTTCCTCAGAGTTATATCCACGGCAGCAGCCAGGCTCAGTTTGTGGCAGAAACTCACATCGTGCTCCTCTTCAGTATCCTTTCATGTAATAATACCTTTGATGTAATGTAACCAGTTCACAAATGTGGCACCTTTCATTTGAACACACTGGTACAAGGCCATGGAGAGACTTGTAACACACAGAGCTGCTTTAAAGTTTATTCTCTGAGCCACAGGAAGCAGAGACCTGAGATCAGGACTAATGTGATGCTACTTCCTGGTTCTTGTCCACAGAGCAGCCACAATAAAGAACTAAATAACACATAATTGTAATGACATGGCTTTGTTTGCCTCTTTCTCATCTGACATCAAAGAGTTTAAAGTTCAGTGTTTTCTGTCCCATGATGCTCTCTGCCTTGACTCTTCCTGTCAGACGCAGCTGTGACTCTGGGGATGGTCCTCCTGTGTGAGGCCGCCACGGCGCCCGTAACCAGCGACAAACGAAAGAGTAGGTTTCTGCCTCTGGTTCTGTCCCCTGAAAGAAAAAATAATACTTTAGTCTCTATGGCAGCTGGAGGAGATTGTTAAAAGACAAAGCGATCAGGGTTTCTGCTATCGCTTCATCAATGCGGTAAAATTAATCTTGTTTCTTGACGTTGATTGGGTCGCTAACATGAAATTTCAGGGGGTATGAGGCGACTGTGGGACAAGGAATTATAATGAACTGTGAGCTGTGTCCAGAAACATGCTCTGTCCCAACCACGTTTGACATGTTTGTCTTTTGTTCTGTTGTGTGTGTGCAGTTATGTGCGTGGCGGGGATTGCCCTGGTCATGGTGTTTTTCAGCTGGCTTCTGTCTATATTTCGAGCCAAGTACCATGGATATCCATACAGGTCTGTGTCCCAAGGAGTGCTGGTTTTAAATAATAATGCCTGGTGTAAAGTCTGTTTCTTGTGTTGCAGTTTTCTAATGGGATAGAAGTGACGAGCGGCGGGACCTCAACGCCATAATATAAAGCAAGAAATCACACATTTCCTCAATTATTTATTTGACTCAAGTGCCTTAGCCCATTTTAAATTTTTAAGACAAGAAGATTTTAACACGTTTGTGGCTACTGCGTGTTCTTTATGCAAATCAAATTAAACAGATTTTTATACTATCGTTACGTTTGGTTTGGATTTTGTTTTAATGAAAATATAGTTTCTTGTTTCATAAACCAAATGGATATAAAAGACATCTAATGACATTTAACAGCAGTGTTGGGTAAGTTACTTAGTTACACATTTCGCGTTACCTCTAAAAACAAATTACTATGTAACAAATGACTTTTGGTTCAAGACCCTGAATGAAACCATGAAGTTGATAAAGAAATACAAAACCAATGGTTGACTGCGGAAGGTTCCGCAGTCAATCAATTAAAGCTTCAAGAAGCGTCTAACGGCCCTCGCGAGGGGTTCTGATCAGTGAGTGTGGCCATCGAATATCACGGGAACTTTCATGTGTGTCTATTGAAATAAGCCGACATTGGAGTCTACTGGGTGCACACCATTTACACCGTTTAACCAATTACAAATGTGAAACAGATTCTACACTTGTTTAGAGGATGTGGATCGGTTTACAGCTTTGTAAGTGAAACGACTGAGGCTGGTTTGTTAAAAGTGCAGGGGAAAAATTTAAGGGATTTAATGATTTTCCCAATGACACCGGCTACACGGTGAAAAATAAGTCATACACCTAATTGACTTTTTAGATCCTAAGGCAGTATAAGCAGTGGCCACTGGGGGCAGCAGAGCCCGCATTCTGCCAGACGTGTCGCACCCGGAAGCATCGTGTTTGTTGTAAGATGGCAGAGTGCGAGTCCAGTCCACAGAGCACTCAGCTGGTCCTGCCGCGGCCCGGTTCCGAGCCCAGCACCGGGGAGGAGCGGGAGGAGGAGGAGGACAGGCAGGACGGGGACGCTCTCTCTGCGCTGTTTGAACGCGGATGGAGGACGCTGCAGGAGCTGGACGTGACGCACGAACCTCTGTCCGCGACCCGGCTCCAGGAGCGGGTCCGAAGGGACATCCGCGGACTGGAGACTGCGTCCAGCAGGGTGGCCCAGCTCGAACTGTTCAGCCGCAACGAGGAGCTAGAGGAGGTGTGTGTGTGTGTTCTGTGTGTGTGTGTGTGTGTGTGTGTGTGTGTGTGTGTGTGTGTCCTATGTCCTGTGTGCTCTTCTGTGTACTGGTCCCTCACTCACCTCTGTCATGAGGGTGCAGCGTCTGCAGTCAGAGCTCTCCATCCCCTCCCTCACCTTTGTCATGAGCTTTGGGTAATGACTGAAAGAATGAGATTGCAGATACAAGCTGCCCATGAGTTTCCTCCACAGAGGAACTGCTGTTCCCCTAGAGATAGGCAAAGGAGCTCAGAGTAGAGCTGCTGCTGAGGAGCCAGTGGATGTGGCCTGGGAACAGAAAATGGATGAATACTCAATCTGTAGCTTGTAACCCAGTTCAAATGGCGCCCTGCCGTGTTTGTAGAACATACCAGTGTTTATGTAGAAACAGAACCTGCTTGTGTGTCTCCATTGACCAAAGTGCCATAGACAGAGAGTAGCATGCTAACAGTGGTGTTTGCAACATGCTAACAGTGGTGTTTGTAGGTGTGCACCTCGGAGCTGAAGTACCTGCTGCTGCCTGCTCTGCTGGGGGCGCTCACGCTGAAGCAGTGCAGTCTGGAGCGCCGTCTGGACTTCCTGAAAACTGCCAGAGTTTACTTTGTGGATTTTCTGCAGAGATGTAAAAACTACAACATCTCCCAGTTCAACATGCCCAAAACCCAGGAGGCTGAGGCCGAGAGCCCAGCCCCATCTGCCCCGGTAAGCATCGCTGTGAGCAGGGACAGGGCCCTCCTGCTCTGAATGTAGGACTCTCCCGCCTCCTGGTCCCAGTCAAGGAGGTAGGGGGTGCATATAAAAGATTCAGTGGTCCCACCATCACATCATGTAACAGACAATGGGACAGTGGGTGAATAGCTATGAACAGACTACAGCAGATGTATTGAAGGTAACGCTGACACCTGGTGGACCAATGTAATCATTGCAGATATACCCGCCTTGACGCATGTTCAGATTTAACTGGTGCTTCTGTGTTGCAGCCTGGGCAGCCAAACCTGGTGGCCATGGCAGCTCAGAGACAGGCCAAGATCGAGCGCTATCGTCAGAAGAAGGAGGTGGAGTCTCAGTTGGAGGCGGTGAAGAAGGCCGTGGATGGTGGGCAGGCGGACGAGGACACCACCCGGCGCTACTACCTGCTTCATCTGCGCCGCTGGATCAACCTCAGTCTGGAGGAGGTGGAGAGCATCGACCAGGAGCTCCCCATTCTCAAGAACATGTCTGTCCTGAAGAACACTCCGCCCGCCCCCCCCAGCAGACCCCCCATGAAGCCCTTCATCCTCACCAGAAATGCCGTCCAGGTCAGAGACGGTTTAGTATTTACTGCAGAGCTGAACAATCGCTCACACATATCAACATATGCAGACGAGTGCTCATTGGTGCATGCTCGCACTATGCCCATGTGGATTTAACCTGCAGGGCGAGGGTGGCCCCTGGAGGCCCAAGTTGAGGCCCAGTCTCAACTCCAGGCAGTGGGGGCTGGACCTCATTTACAATGTTTTTCTCAGGCTTAATTTTTACACATAAATGTATTATTTATGTGTAAAAATGTGGCTCCAGAGCTCTGCACATAGAAGAGGGATTTTAATGTCTTTATACTATATCTATATAAACAGAGGAGGCTCAAGGGCCTGATGGAAATGTCCAGAAGGCTGCATCTGGCCCACGGGCCGGGGTTTGCCCACCACTGGTCTTTCAAAGATCTTTTTTCTTCATGTTAAGTAAACACTTTCTGATACAAGTTCAAAGAGCACAGCCTCTTTGATGCAGAGCTGCTCTATGCTGTTGCTATAACGACAGCTCTGTGTTTTCAGGCAAAAGTGTTCGGAGAAGGATACCCCAGTCTGCCCACTATGACCGTGGACCAGTGGTATTCAGAGCACCAGAAACGCGGCATGCTGCCAGACCAAGGCATCCCCCGCAGTGCGAGTGGGGACGAAGACAGAGACCCCGCCTCAGTCCAGGCGGAGCAGGAGGAGAGACGCGCCGAGCGGGACGACCCGGAGAGTCTGCACAAAGCCCGGTCCTGGGACGATTACAAAGACACTCACCGACGAGGCTACGGGAACCGCCACAACATGGGCTGAAGACGTGTGTGTGGTTCTATTAATGCCAAATGTCCCACCTCTTTTCTTACATTTCACTGAGTAGCATTAGGAACAAACTAAAGACCTGCATTTGGAATCAGAACTCACATACACTGCAAAAACTGAGAAATAAGTTAAAAATTGCTCAAATTTGGCTAAATGTATCTCAATTTGAGCACATGCCTTAAAACAAGATTTGCAAATGGGACAAAGCAAAATAATCTTGTTTTAAAAAGATGCAAGAAATGTCTGCTTTGGAATGAGACAATAAAGCAACAGTGAGGAGGAGAGAGAAGGAAGGAGGAGAGAGGAGGAAAGAGGAGGAGAGGTGTAATTGTGGCGATCTGAAACTGAAATGATGATGGTCTGAGCATGTGCAGAAAAACGGCGGCTGCGACAGAGGAACTCGACAAGCTTCATCCTAACTGTCCTTTCTCACTTCTGACTCGGGGTTGTCACTGTAACCGGTGGCGACTGTAACCTAAAACTTGTTGTTATGATGACAGCTGCTGCGATCAGATGCATTAAAGCTGGAGTACCTATCTTTTTTTGGTTTGTTTAATAAATACACATTTGACCCAACAGAAAGAGTCGTGTGATAATAACATCATGTGATCAAATCAGACCAGAACATTCTGCATTCTTCGATTTAGAAACCATTTTATCTTTCACAGACTGCGAACTGATTGGCTGAGTGAGGGTGGAACTTGAATTAAACAATGTTAAACCCACAAATACAAACACACGCCTTGGTAGAACAGTTTAGTCTCAGTCGAGCTCTTGAGGCTCCCGGTGTGAGGGCCCTGGTTCCGGTTCATGGATCTGTATCAGCACTGACTGATGTTTTTGTAGTTAGTTGTAGTGTGGCTTAACTATTTTATATGATTATGTAAATGTTAATTATCAGTGTCCTATCACAACTATGCAGACGACACTCAGATCTATGTCTCACTGACTGCAGGAGAACATGGACCAGTGGACTCACTCCTTCACTGTATCCAACAGATCAGTGAGTGGATGCAAAACAACTTCCTTCAGCTAAACGCAGACAAAACTGAAATGATTGTCTTTGGTCCCCAGAAACAAAGAGAGCGTCATCTGTCACCTACAATCTCTCTCCCTAAAACCTTCAAACAAGGTCAGAAATCTAGGGGTAATACTGGACTCAGACTTAAATTTTAATAGCCACATCAAATCAGTAACATCAGCAGCTTTTTACCATCTAAAAAACATTGCCAGGATCAAAAACATAGTGTCTAAAGCAGACTTGGAGATTCTTATCCATGCATTTGTCTCCAGTAGGTTAGACTACTGCAATGGCCTGCTCACAGGTCTGTCCAAACAGGCTGTAAAACAGCTGCAGTACATTCAAAATGCAGCAGCTCGAGTCCTGACTAGAACCAGGAAGTACGACCACATTAGTCCAGTCCTCAGGTCTCTGCACTGGCTTCCTGTGGCTCAGAGAATAGACTTTAAAACAGCTCTGCTTGTTACAAGTTTCTCCATGGCCTCGCACCAAACTATATTAGTGACATGTTAGTCCCATATGAACCAGCCCGGACTCTGAGGAGCACAGGGACTGGACTCCTGTTAGTGCCCAGAGTCAGAACTAAACATGGGGAGGCTGCTTTTCAGATTCATGCTGCTAAAATCTGGAACAATCTTCCTGAAGATGTGAGACAGGCCTCCTCTCTGACAATGTTTAAAACCAGATTACAAACAGTGCTGTTTAGCTGTGCATACAACTGAGGGATTTTATATTTTTATCTCTCTTTTTAATGTTCTGTGATTATTTATGATTTTAATGCTTGTTCAGCACTTTGAGTTGCCTTGTGTATGAATTGTGCTATACAAATAAACTTGCCTTGCCTAATTTGACTGGACCGATGCACCTTACAGTCTGGTAAGAATGCATGTTTTTTTTTTCTCCTGCTATATTTGAGTAATAAACAATGTGAATATTTGAATTGTTGCATCAATATAAAGGTGATTAAGAATATTGAGAATTTAAAATGACATGAGTAGATATAACACATGTGAACATACTGTATTAGAGTTCTGTGGTGTCTAAAGTAGCAGTATCAGGGTTGGCTCATATCTGGGGACAGCGACAAAAGTTAGAATATTTTCTTTCTCGGATTGTGCCTATTCCGAACTCAGAATTCAGAATATTACGAAGGCTCGGGGTATGTCCGTGAAATTTTGTGGGATCACTTCAGAATTCTTAAGATATACTTTATTGATCTCACACAGGAGAAATGTACATGTCACATCTGGCATGGATAGAAACACTCAAGATTGTGCAAAAAGAAGAGAAATGTGAAAACATGTTAAATGCAGGATATATTATGTACAATAAAAGTGGCGATCTAAAATAGTTAATGACAAAATAAAAACCTTTCATACAATATGTATGTATGTAATAATAATTTACATACAATGAGAAGAATTTACACTGCTGCATATTTTACATCATGGCTGCTCTATTCTGAGCTGCCTTGATCTTTCAGCGGGGGCTTCAGGCAAAGTGGGGTTAAGTGTCCAACGACACGACTTGCCCAGTGAGGCTACATATTTCTAATTTATCTTTTACTTGTGGTTAATGACAAAATTACTACATGTAAAAGCTGCTCCTGAGAACACTCCCAGAACCGTCATTTTGACTGCTCTCATTCAAATCGATGAGATTCTGAAACATGTGTAAGTTTAACATCAGTTTTATTCAAATGTACATTTAGTCGCCTTTAAGTGCTAAAACTGCTAAATATAATATATAAAGATCATTTGGAAACTTGTGAGGGAGGGGCGGTCGGAGGAGACACGGAACTGTCATTTATATAAAGTCGGTTGGACCAGGTAGAATGAATGAACCGCGTGCCCTTCCTGTTCCGGAAGTAGAAATTCTATTTTGTTTCGTCGGGGGAAAAAACAATATTAATAACTGACATGACGAAGGGAGAAAATACGATGGTGAATAAATGTGTAAATCTCTCTTTCATCTACATCTTTTAATGAATTCGTGGCCAAATCTTTCTCCGCTTTTGCCACAGACTGTGCTTTACTCTGCCGTGCGGCGGAAGTAGTCAGTCTCGGGTCACAGTGTGAGGAGCTGAAGCTCGGCTGTCCTGCCCGGTCCTACCCGGTCCTTCTCGGTCCTGCTGCTCCGTGGTCACCGGTCAGTCCTCTCGGTCCCCCCCAGCAGCTGCCGGACCCCGCGGGCTCTCCTGTTGCCTCTGGCCGCCTGAGGTACGGGTCGCTGTGGTCGTGTGTCGGTGAAGGACAGCGTTGTCCCCGAGCTGACCGCGTCCTCTCTGGGTGTTCTTTGCTCTTTGACACTTGTACGTGTACGCGTACGTCAGACAGGACACGTGTGTTATGATCGTACTGACAGCCTCATAAGAGATGCAACAGTCTTCCTTTATTTTGGATGTTTTCTCTTTATACACTGTTATTATCCATGTTCTACTCACACCACACTTTTGGTCCTATCGTTATTATTAACTCTAGGGCTTCCACAGTAGTCATTTTGACGGCTCTCCTTCAAACTAACTTAGGGACTTAAGAAAAATAAAAAAAATCCCCAAAAAGTAGTTTTCCACCAGTTTTATTAGAAACTAAGTATTTTAGTTACTTTTTGTCAGTGCTAAAACCTGTTCATATAAAATACAGAAATATCAGTTTGTTGAAAGGCAGCAGTTTACTTGCTGCAAGTAAACTGTGTTGCTATGGTAACAAGCATGTGCTTTTTTCTGGTGAAAAACCATACCTGACTTGGTCCAGGACCAGTTCACAACCAGTTGCTGAAAAGGCCATTCAATGTTGATTGTTTAATGACTGACAATGGCAACGTTTGAATTTGACACTTAAATGAATGGAGCCGTCAAAATGACTGCTCCGGGAATTAAAGGTAGAACTCCTCGTATTTCAACAATAAAATATTATTTCAAACTAATAATGACATATAAATAAACTACAAACGGAACAGTCACATCGTTTTTAAAGTCCAAACCTGAACATACGCTGAGTAACTTCCAAAACAAAAAGCCGTCCAACTGACTTCTGTGAGAGTGTTTGAGCTGAGCTCTGGTCCTAGTGTCTCAGCTCTGGTCCTAGTGTCTCAGCTCTGGTCCTAGTGTCTCAGCTCTGGTCCTAGTGTCTGAGCTCTGGTCCTAGTGTCTCAGCTCTGGTCCTAGTGTCTCAGCTCTGGTCGTAGTGTCTCAGCTCTGGTCCTAGTGTCTGAGCTCTGGTCCTAGTGTCTCAGCTCTGGTCCTAGTGTCTCAGCTCTGGTCGTAGTGTCTCAGCTCTGGTCCTAGTGTCTGAGCTCTGGTCCTAGTGTCTCAGCTCTGGTCCTAGTGTCTCAGCTCTGGTCGTAGTGTCTCAGCTCTGGTCCTAGTGTCTGAGCTCTGGTCCTAGTGTCTCAGCTCTGGTCCTAGTGTCTCAGCTCTGGTCCTAGTGTCTGAGCTCTGGCTGTAGTGTCTCAGCTCTGGTCCTAGTGTCTGAGCTCTGGTCCTAGTGTCTGAGCTCTGGTCCTAGTGTCTGAGCTCTGGTCCTAGTGTCTGAGCTCTGGTCGTAGTGTCTCAGCTCTGGTCGTAGTGTCTCAGCTCTGGTCCTAGTGTCTGAGCTCTGGTCCTAGTGTCTGAGCTCTGGTCCTAGTGTCTCAGCTCTGGTCCTAGTATCTCAGCTCTGGTCCTAGTGTCTGAGCTCTGGTCCTAGTGTCTGAGCTCTGGTCCTAGTGTCTGAGCTCTGGTCCTAGGGTCTGAGCTCTGGTCCTAGTGTCTGAGCTCTGGTCCTAGTGTCTGAGCTCTGGTCCTAGTGTCTCAGCTCTGGTCCTAGTGTCTCAGCTCTGGTCCTGTGCAGATGCCAGACCCATGGGTGTGAGTCGCCTGGACGTCTTCTACAGAAGGCTGCTCCTCACGAAGCTCTTCATCGGAGGATGGGGGAAACCGGACGATCTTAAGCGGTAACGTGCTTCATGAACCATCAGCCCACTGCCCCAGGCAGTCACTCTGACTGCATCATGAACCATCAGCCCACTGCCCCAGGCAGTCACTCTGACTGCATCATGAACCATCAGCCCACTGCCCCAGGCAGTCACTCTGACTGCATCATGAACCATCAGCCCACTTCCCCAGGCAGTCACTCTGACTGCATCATGAACCATCAGCCCACTTCCCCAGGCAGTCACTCTGACTGCATCATGAACCATCAGCCCACTTCCCCAGGCAGTCACTCTGACTGCATCATGAACCATCAGCCCACTTCCCCAGGCAGTCACTCTGACTGCATCCTGTGTCTCTTTCTCTGTAGACTCTTTGAGTTCCGTAAGCTGATCGGGGACCGGGAGAAGTGTCGCAGCCTGGTGCCTGAGGACTATCCGGTTCATATCGACAAGGTGCTGCATGGTTTAGACAATATGTCAAAAATAAATATCTTAAATTTCTACAAAGCCAAATGAGGATTTTATCGTATTCATGAACATTTAGCAACTTTAAAAAGCCCTGATGTTGTAAACTCAGTAATCTGCTGACTAGCAAAGTCCACATGTCTGTTACATGGTTATATTCTATGATGGTGGTTCCTGGTGGTGTACCCCTCACATGCCCGGGTGATGGGGGGGACTCTTTTGTCTCTTTTTGTGGAAAGAAAGCTGGAACTTTTAAATTTGAACCCACCCAAAACCACACAGAAGTCTTTTTGTGCTCTCAAAATCATTCTCCTCGTCTTGTTAGTTGTAGAAAGTTCATGATGTCTTCTTTATGTTGTGAGGTTGTTTTAATAAGACAAAAGTGTGAAGAAGCTTGTTCTGCTACATTACCACATGATTAGACTTCATCAGACTTCAGGTGAAAGTTTACCTCCGAAACATGTGGAAATTAAGCAGAACTAGCTTCTTTAGACTTCTGTCTTTTCAGAAGAACCTTCTCAGCCTCCGTCATACAGTCACAGCTGTGACTCTCTCAAATGTTGATGTTGCACGTAACATAGAGCTTTGTCCTCAACATGAGTGAGGACTACAACACATGGACTTTGTTCCTGCACATTGTTAAAAGAGGCTTGAATGAGGTTCAGTGCAACAGGAGGCAGCGTGGTGAAGGGTGAGTGTCACAAGAGACTCTAAAGCCCTGTTCCTGACGCCGCCGCACCAGTGATCCGTTTACTAAAATTCAGCCACATGACTTTAGTAAAAACCAACGCTCTGCCCTGTGATGTCATATGTCTCATGGGTGGAGTTTTGTGTAAACCTGTGTCCTCTCTGTGTCCTCTCTGTGTCCTCTCTGTGCCTTCTCTGTGTCTTCTCTCTGTCCTCTGTCCTCTCTGTGTCCTCTCTGTGTCTTCTCTGTGTCCTCTCTGTGTCCTCTCTCTGTGTCCTCTCTCTGTGTCCTCTCTCTGTGTCCTCTCTGTGTCCTCTCTGTGTCCTCTCTCTGTGTCCTCTCTCTGTGTCCTCTCTCTGTGTCCTCTCTGTGTCCTCTCTGTGTCCTCTCTCTGTGTCCTCTCTGTGTCCTCTCTGTGTCCTCTCTGTGTCCTCTCTCTGTGTCCTCTCAGACTGACGAACACTCAGACTGCTACATCCACAATGGACACTTCATCTCTCCTCTGGTCCACCTGGTCCCAGGGATCCTACCTCCTGAAGCCGTCAAAGCAAGGTATCTGTTCTCCTCCTCCCCCTGTTCTCCTCCTCCCCCTGTTCTCCTCCTCCCCCTGTTCTCCTCCTCCCCCTGTGGTCCTTGTCACTCCCGTATTCGTCCGGAAGTTCAGTTTGATCCAATGAGCATACGCAGCAGTAGATAACGTCACGGAATCTGGACGGAAACGGAAGTAAATATAAAAACTACCTATTCATGCCTAAACCATAAAATAACCCCAACCCAGCCTTAACCCTAAACTTAACCATCTTAATCAGACGCCTAAACTTAACCAGTCACCACTTAAGGACATATTAAACTTTTTGACATGCGCAAACTGAACTTCCGGACGAATCCGGTTTCCGGGACAAATACGGGAGTGACAGTCCACCCCCTGTTCTCCTCCTCCTCCTGTGCTCCTCCAGTCTTCCCCTGTGGTCCTCCTCCTATGCTCCTCCTCCCCCCTTACATTTTTACATGTTCTCATTGTGTCTGTTTCCAACAGGTTCCAGTTCATTGTTCCCAAAACCTGGAAGAAGAACAGACCGGTGTGTGTCCATCTGGCCGGGACCGGAGACCATGTGAGACTTTAACTGTTGTAATTTACCACAATATTGCCGACTATTGAATTGCTATTGTATTTTTATTTTTGGATGGCTGCAGCTTTTTGACTTTGTTTTCAACTCACTCTTCGGTCGAGTGTTTTTACCGCGTTCAGACACAGTGAACAAAGACGGCTGTAATTTAAACACAAACTGTTTATTGCTCGGATTGTTGTGTGTTTAACGTTTCTATAATGATCATTTTTTGTTATCTTTTTAAATATGTTTTGTGTAGTGAGTTGATGTAGCGTAAACACCTTACATTATTGATAGCATAATAAGTGTGTGTGTCTGTGTGTGTCCAGTTCTTCTGGCGGAGGCGCACTCTCATGGCCAGACCGATGGTGAAAGAAGCCGGCATGGCCTCACTGCTGCTGGAGAATCCATATTATATCCTTCACCTCAATGTTGTCCAAATACAGGCCGCACCTGAATATAAGCCACAGGTTTTTATGTTTAATGTGGCAGAGCGATGACTGTTTTAACTGGACACAACAGGATTTACTGACGAGGTTTTAACATTCACAGTAAACCGTGTCCTGTAGCTGCTAAAACTGGATGGAACCAAAAGTCCATAAACGCTGTGACAATAAACAAACACATATTAGCCGCATCACTGTATAAGCCGCAGGAACATAAACCTGAGATCTAAATGAGTAAGACACATATTTCCACATGTGGAAATGCGGCTGCTGTTTCCTTAACTTTTTTCTCACATGGGCTTCGGAAACCCAAGGACCAGCTGTGAGTCTGACGCACGCACACACACACACACCTTAAACTACGACTCCCAGAGCAGTCCTTTTGACGGCTTCCATTCAAATCAATGGAATTCTGATTCTCCAAGCTTCTTATTCTGAGTTTTTTTTTTCTCCAGTGAACAGCAAGTGCTAGTTACCATGGCAACACACTGTTTACCTGACAGCCGTCCCCTGTCTCATGTCGTCTGTCTCATGCCCCCTGTCTCATGTCGTCTGTCTCATGCCCCCTGTCTCTCTCCTATGTCCCCTGTCCTCAGGCGCTCCTGTCTGAAGAACGTCTCGGACCTGTTTGTGATGGGAGGAGCCCTGATCCTGGAGTCCACAGTTCTGCTCCGCTGGCTCGAGAGGGAAGGATACTGGCCTCTGGGAATGACGGGCATCTCCATGGGAGGATATGTAAGCACGATCCATCATATTAGCATCAGCATTAGCGTTAGCATTAGTCTCGTCTGCTCAAGTACACTACAAGGGGTAAAGTCATGAGCTAAAAAGACTAGAACAATCATTGGAACGAGCAGTATTATATTTTCAAGCAGATAACTTTCCAATTTCTTCCAATAACACCAAAACTCCCAGAGCAGTCAATTGACAGCTTTTAGTTTTGGTGTAATTCCTCCTCTTAACTGTTTTTGTTTTTAGTGTATTTCAGTGTATGTCTTTATATTTAAAGGAATAGGCCACCGTTTTTACATACTGATATATGTTCTTACCTTAGACTAGTTGACATGTACCTGTCTGGTCTTTGTCCGTGCTCTGTCATGCAAACAGAGCACAAACGCAGCCTCTTCCACAGACTGTATAGTACCAAATCACTTCCGTCAATGGAAGCAGCATGAGCGGGAGAGATGTCTATGGGAGTTAGTGCGCGGACGAAGTGCACCTCGTATTATTACGCCTCACAATATAGTACCCCTTTTTATCCACTGAGAAAATCGACATGTTACATTTCTGTGTTACTGTACTTTGTAGTGTAACACGTCACGTAACTGTATTTAAATAGGGAACACGTGGAAGAGTTTGGTAGCTTCTAAAGGGGGGCTGATTTGGTACTATACAGAAGGCGTGGAAGAGGCTGCGTTTGTGCTGCGTTTGCATGACAGAGCACATGGACAAAGACCAGACAGGTACATATCAACTACTCTAAGGTAAGAACATATGTCAGTATGTAAAAACGGTGGCCTATTCCTTTAATTGTCAGTAGTTCAAATGGAGCCTCTTTCTATCGAGACTGGTTCTGTTTCTGGTCCAGTTTGGTTTTTCATCAGAGAAGATTAAGATGAAGAGATCTTTTATTAGTTTATTGGTGGGAAATGTGTTGCATCAGCGGTTACAGAACAGTAGGAATGAGGAGCAAGCAGGTGATTGCTGTAGTTTCCAGATGGCGTCGTTGGCGGTGACAAACTGGCCGAAGCCGATCCCGCTGATACCCTGTCTGTCCTGGTCCACCGCCTCCAGCGTCTTCACCACAGTAAGTGGAGCTGCAGGTTTTCATTCCAACCAACAGCAGCGCACCAGAGTCTGTCTTCAACTGAGTCTGAACCTGCAGACCTGAGGAAACCTAACCCTGCTTGGCTGGAATTGGTTCTGGAAGTTTGACATTTGTAAGGGTTAAAGGAGCTATACCTGTTTCTGCAAGGTTTGAATGTTTAGCACCGCCCCTCAACTCGCTCACAGGCTTCTCATTTCCCCTACGCTCTGATTCCACGGAGCCATCTAGTTTTATTTGCGATCTGATACATTAGCATTAGCGCAACTTAAGCTGTACACCAATCACTGATGAAATGGTACAAAAGCAACGCACTGCTAACAAAATATAAACTGAAAGATTAGCGCTAGTTTCGCGTCCGAATGTAGTCCGAGCATAGATAGTCCGAGCATAGATAGTCCGAGCATAGATAGTCTGAGCATAGATAGTCCGAGGCGGTCCCGCAGGTCTCTCCCTTAGACAAGTCTAGATAGCTATGTTCACCTGGGCTTGATTTCTTCTTTGATCATTTTTTTGCTTTAGTTCCCTCTTCTCTTCCTCACTGTTGTGATGTTTGGGCTGTTTTGCTGTGTATGCAGTTACAGCCAGAGGAGTTATAGCCACCTATGCTAACATGCTACTGTGATTAGCAGCGCTGTAGAGGCTAGAGGACGCAGCCTGTTCTGTGATTGGAGGAGAGTGGGCATCACGCTAAGTTTCTATTCAGAACTTTTTATGGCCTGAATTCATACACAGCTGAATCAATGAGCTCAAGTTTTCAATTAAACTACAGATGATAATACAACTTGTATGTAGTAATAAGAATTTTTATGAACTCAATAGAAAATAAATCGGGTATAGCATCATTAAAAAACAGACCTCATTGCAGTCCTGGAAAACCTGGAAAAGTCCTGGGAACTGATCATTATTCCCTCAATAAGATCAATACAATCAGCATCAGAATCATTGGACAGCAGCAAGACCCAGAGTCACAGACAGCTCTCACACTACAGTCTGCTTCAATAAGAGCACAGGTACAGGTCCCTGAGAGAGCAGGTACAGGTCCCTGAGAGCACAGGTACAGGTCCCTGAGAGCACAGGTACAGGTCCCTGAGAGAGCAGGTACAGGTCCCTGAGAGCGCAGGTACAGGTCCCTGAGAGAGCAGGTACAGGTCCCTGAGAGAGCAGGTACAGGTCCCTGAGAGAGCAGGTACAGGTCCCTGAGAGAGCAGGTACAGGTCCCTGAGAGAGCAGGTACAGGTCCCTGGGAGAGCAGGTACAGGTCCCTGAGAGAGCAGGTACAGGTCCCTGAGAGAGCAGGTACAGGTCCCTGAGAGAGCAGGTACAGGTCCCTGAGAGAGCAGGTACAGGTCCCTGAGAGAGCAGGTACAGGTCCCTGAGAGAGCAGGTACAGGTCCCTGAGAGAGCAGGTACAGGTCCCTGAGAGAGCAGGTACAGGTCCCTGAGAGAGCAGGTACAGGTCCCTGAGAGCGCAGGTACAGGTCCCTGAGAGTGTGTATTTTTCTTGCACTTTTAGTGTTTGTGTTTTTATGTATCACTCTTGCTCCGTCTGCAAATGAAGCTCCTCACGGATAAATAAAGTTAATTGTTGGTTTAGTAAAGTGTTTCCCAAAGTGGGGGGCGCGGGACCAAAACTTGCACCCCAGATTTGACAGAACTGCAGCATGAAGCAGGCCCACATCAGTCAATGAAAGATGTGAGGATTAAAGGTGCCATTTTTTCACAACAAACGTTTACGTTTTTGTTTTTGTTTTCCTATCAGGGAGGAATTTTTTTGACTCATAATGTGTATGTATGTGTACAGTATGTATGTACTGGGTGTGTGTCCTTTTGGGAGAGGAGGGCCTCCTCTCTGGTGGTGAAAGACTGAGGTGTGGTGTGTTTCAGGGCGTCCTGAGTCGAGCAGTGAACTGGACTGAGCTGGAGAAACAGTACACTTTTAACTCTGTCTATGAGGAGGAGATCATCCAGCTGCTCGAATACTGCGGGGTACTGTCTCCTCCTACTTTCTCCTCCTGCTCTCTCCTCCTGCTCTCTCTTCTACTGCTTTCTCTCCACCTTCTCTCTGCTCCTGCTCTCTTCGCCTGCTATCTTCTCCCACTGCTCTCCCTCTGCCTGCGCACTCCTCCTACTCTCTCCTCCTACTCTCTCCTCCTGCTCTCTCCTCCTGCTCTCTCCTCCTGCTCTCTCCTCCTTCTCTCTCCTCCTACAGAGCTGAATGCTCTCTTCTCTGGACCTAGGTGGACTCGTTTAAGATGTCCCAGGAGGCATACAGCTGTGTGGAGCTCAGCAGGAGTCAGGGACAGACTGAAGCACAGAGGGTGAAGGCCTCCTCCTCCTCCTTCTCCTCCTTCTCCTCCTCTGTGACCAGCACTGGGCCGAGCCTCCATGTCCCACAAAGGTTCGAACCATTCTGTGTTGAGAGCAAGAGTTTACATACAGACTCAGACCTCTGTCTCAGATCGATAGATACTTTATTGATCCCTGTAGGAGAAATGCAAGTGTCCAGTAGCAGCAAAAACACATCCATCCAAACAAAACAAATATATTGATCATTCTAAAAAGCTATCAATACTAATAATAAAATGCAAAAGCCCTTCAGGTCGCAGCAGCAGAGGTGGAGCAGCCGCTGAGCTCAGACCACTCTCTCTGCTCTGGTCCAAAGTAAAATGCTAAATGCTTCATTAGCATTCCTCCAGTGCATTTTTGGCTGAGTCGCTTGGTTCGTACCATGAATACTCTCTGCTCTGGTCTGGACCAGTGCATAACATGCAGACTCGGATCAAGGCTTCAGTGTTTAAGAACAAAAATGGCCCACATACAGAGGTGGGCCACATTGGGTTATTGTGGACAAATTTTTTTACTATTTACTATTTACTATTACTATTACTACTATTTACTATTATTGGTTAGTCATTTAGATTTGAGGAGACAGAAGGAAGTACATTTCTTTGGACTGATCCATTGTGGTCCTCATGCGTTTCTTCCTCCCTCAGCGTTCAGTCCCCTGCCGGTCTGAGGAACTCGGGCTCGTCCCGGTCGTCACAGGGCTCGTCCCAGTCCTCGCAGGGATCCCGGCTGCACAGCGAGGCCATCAGCTTCATGAAAGGAGTCATGGACGAGTGCACACACATGGCCAACTTCTCTGGTGAGTCCTCTCCCTCGTACCTTCATCATCACCATAGCGCTGAGCCATGATGTCGCTCTGCTCCATGCTAAAGATAGCTAAAGTTACTAAAGTTTAAACTATTTAGATATCCAATTCATTTACTTAATTCCTCAGCAGTTTAAAAAAGGATCCATTTTCTACCACACAGGACTTTACAAATCTGTTGATTCACCAACAGGAAATATATTGATAAAAACACACACATTGGTCCATAAGTCCACATGTAGACTGGACACGAGTAAAGCCGTAATAAGAGGGAAATAAATTGCCAAATCTGCATTTTTCCCAAAAGCAAAGAAGACTAGATGCATCACAAAGTCAGAATGGTGATATATCTGAACATGTGTCATCCAGCCAACTTCAGCTCCACCAATAGTCATTGTGAAGAACCCCTGGAATCCAGTCAAATGTATTTGTATAAACTGACATTTGTTTTTGTCTCTGTCTGTGTGTGTCTCTGAATCTATCTGTGTCTGTGTGTGTGTGTCTCTGTGTGATTCTGCATGTATCTGTGTGTGTGTGTGTGTGTTTGTCTCTGTGTCTGTCTCTCTGTCTGTCTGTGTGTGTGTCTCTGTGATTCTGCATGTATCTCTGTGTGTGTGTGTCTGTCTGTCTTTCTGTGTGTGTGTGTCTACGTGCGTGTGTGTGTGTCTCTGTCTCTAACTCTCTGTCCGTCTCTGTCTCTGTGTCTGTGTGTGTGTGTGTCTCTCTCTCTGTCTGTCTGTGTGTCTCTCTCTCTCTGTCTCTCTGTCTCTCTGTGTCTCTGTCTGTGTCTCTCCCTCTGTGTGTGTGTCAGTCCCGGTGGACCCCAGCCTGATCATCGTGCTGCAGGCCACCCTGGACGCCTACATTCCTCGCAGCGGCGTGCTCAGCCTCAGTGACATCTGGCCCGGCTGCGAGGTGCGGTACCTGAAAGGAGGTCACGTCAGTGCCTACCTGTTCAAGCAGAACGCTTTCAGGTCGGTACCAGAAAGACACACACTCAGGTCATAAATGGTCATATTCAGGCTCCTTCTGCGCCGCTCTCATTGAAGGCAAGTTTATTTGTGTAGCACAGTTCAAGAGGGTCCTGGATTCGATTCCACCTCCAAGCCTTTCTGTGTGGAGTTTACATGTTCTCCCGCTGTCTGTGTAGGTTTCCTCCAGGTGCTTGGGTTAGACAAATGTAACAACAAGTGTAAAGTGCTACATAAATAATTATTGATTTGTGTGTGTGTCTCTCTCTGTCTGTGTGTGTCTCTCTGTGTGTGTGTGCGTCTCTCTCTCTCTGTCTGTGTGTGTGCGTCTCTCTCTCTCTTTCTCTCTGTGTGTGTGTGTCTGTGTGTGTGTGTCTCTCTCTCTCTCTCTGTGTCTGTGTTTGTATCTCTCTGTGTGTGTGTCTGTTTCAGGCGAGCCATCTATGATGCGTTCGAGCGCTTCTGTCTGAAGTATCCTCAGCGCTCGGACTGACTGCAGATCCCAGACCGTTGTGATGTCACACTCTGATCCGCTGTTCACTAAATGCTGCAAAGATAATTCTTGAACACGTTTTTAAATGAGCTCCACTTCCTCCTCGCAGCAGCTGATTTACATTTACAAAATGTTTATGGAAATGAAACACACTTTTTAACCCTCTTTGTATGAGATGATTATTTTTTTTCAATATTTGCTAAAAACAGAGACGTGAGATTTTAAGAGATCCTTTATTTGTCCCACAGTGAAATGTCAGTGTTGTATCATCAGTTACACAACAATAGAATGAGGAGCGCACAACACAAGATAAATAATCAATAAAATAACATGTCTAACTTTAGCATAATAAAGAAGCAAGTATGAAATCTCTACAGGATCAAACAATCTGAATGAAACCTTGAGCTAGTTTGAGAAAAGGGAACAAGTTAGAACAAGATTACAAAGTCCATTATTACCCACAATGCACTTGGTCTTTGTGGAACGGACACGAGCACAAACTCTCACTTTTCCTTCTTGTTTTTAACCTAATTGCGTGTAATGATAATGTTGTTGTGCCAATGAGATTTCACTGATCACGATGTTGACCTTAAACCAGATGTATGGACCATTTCTCATCATTTCCAGACTGGCTGAATCATAATAAAAACCTGGATGTTGAACGCTGGATGTTTTTCTTTACAGTGAATGAGTTTTTGACCCAAAGCAGAGAGTGAGGATGAGAGAACAGGGTTTCTCCAAACCGACCATAGCCTGATTCAACATTTTTCTCACGTCTCCAGCAATGAACCATCCATCCATTTCCATCCCCTTGGCTTAGTCCATTTCTGGTCCTGATCCTCCTGTAGGAGCGGAGTCCACGGGAGCCTTGATCTTTCAATGGGGGCTTCAGGCAAAGTGGGGTTGAGTGTATTGCCCGAGGACTCAGTGACAGCAGACCTCAGTGGGAGCAGATGGAGTACATAAACAATGAACTTCTCACTAATTGAAATTGGCTCCACAAAAATATTCCTCCTGAGGCTTATGCTTCTTTGAGCTGCTGAGAATCTGACCTCGTTCTTCAAAATTAAACATTTTGGGCCTCTCAACCCAGTTATCTGTAATAAACTATTAGAATAACCTCAGTTTTATCCAGATTCAGCTCAGGGTTTATTTTTCACTGTTTTCCTTTAGAGATGAATGGAGCACTTTCGATTCAGTGACCTGGCTTCTCTTACATATTTTATTTATATCTCTTATTGATTTTTCAAGTCCTGTCTTTTATTTGTTTTCAGAGCTCCCCCTTGTGTCTGTTTCTGAAACGATCTAGTGCCTAAAGGGTGACGGCATCATTCTAGTTTTGCATATTGTGTTTCATCATAAATGAAACCACCGGCATCTGTCACGCTCAATGCAATATATTTGTGTATTGCCCCAAAGCAGAATTGATTAAGTTGTCGAGATTCCCTCACTGTGGGAAGAATAAAGGGTTTCTTATAACAGATAAGAGAATCAAACAGTTCAAACACACAAGAGTTGTTGGTTCATAGGCAGCCGAATGACCACTGTCCAGAAATGTCCAAACCAGGGCTATTTATGTAAACATGATTAGCTTGTTCTATTGAATTTATACATATAAAATGCCAGATCAATTTCTGTCTTTTTCCAAATGGAAGAAACCAATTATTTTCAATGTGAAAGATTGGTTATTCAAAGATCCAAAATTCTCCTCGGATGAAATCTATATTATAAATCTGATTCTAAACAGAGCAAAATTCTGCATTTATCAGAGGAAACTCGGTGATCTGAAACCTGTTTGGCCTTTATCGAAAATTCAACATTTTAACATCACATTTATTGAAAAATATATACTAGTGATGATTAGCAGCTCCCTGTGTGTGTGTTTTATTTTTTATTTTTACATATTGTTTTTTTATGTGCCATCAGTACACTTTAATACTATAACATGTATTTTTTACAGACTTTGAATACAAAAAAAGGGTGCCGTGCCTACATGTGCCCACCAGGTGTCAGTGTTTCCGGTCCGACTGATGACGTATGAATACAAAATGGGGAAAGTCTTGCTTCCGGTCACATGACAGGGGCTTGTTTGTGCTGCAGCGCGCGTCTTTTCACTGTTGGCGCGGTGCTTTCAGACCAGACGTCCCTGGCCGCTTCTCTTCACCCTCCTCTCCATCCTCTTCCTCTTCATCAGACCCTCTGTCTTTCACCCTTCCACCTACCTCCAGAACTTTCCCCTGCCTTCCACCTCTCCAAACCCCGGGCATATCTAGTCCTCTCTGCTCGCTCCTCCAGATCCGACCAGAGTCCCGGGAAGTTCCAGTCATGTCAGACACCGTTGGAAGCCGGCGAGAGCAGAGCAGCCCCGGACACAAGCACCGGTACGACCCCCTCTCTCTCTGGTCTCCCTCTAGGGTCTCTATTGTCTCTGCTCTCCCTCCCTGGTCTCTCTCTGGTCTGCCTCACTCTGTTCTCCCTGTCTGGTCTCTTCCTCTCTGGTCCCTTTTGTCTCTCTTGTTTCTGGTCTCTTGTCTCTGCTCTCCCTGTCTGATCTCTCTCATTTCTGGTCTTTCTCTGGGTTTCTCTGGTCTCTCTTCCTCTCTGGTCTCTCTCCCTCTCTGATATCCCTCTGGTCTCTCTCCCTCTCTGATATCCCTCTGGTCTCTCTCCCTCTCTGATATCCCTCTGGTCTCTCTCCCTCTCTGATATCCCTCTGGTCTCTCTCCCTCTCTGATATCCCTCTGGTCTCTCTCCCTCTCTGATATCCCTCTGGTCTCTCTCCCTCTCTGATATCCCTCTGGTCTCTCTCCCTCTCTGATCTCTCTCTTGTTTCTGGTCTTTCACTGGGTTTCTCTGGTCTCTCTTCCTCTCTGGTCTCTCTCCCTCTCTGATCTCTCTCTTGTTTCTGGTCTTTCACTGGGTTTCTCTGGTCTCTCTTCCTCTCTGGTCTCTCTCCCTCTCTGATATCCCTCTGGTCTCTCTCCCTCTCTGGTCTCCCTCTGGTCTCTCTCCCTCTCTGGTCTCCCTCTGGTCTTTGGCTCATGCTTCCATTGTCCAGTTGGTCTGTCCTGATTAATGTGGGGTCAGCGAATATCCAGTGTTTCTGTAGTTCTTTGCATGAGCCAGACTCTTACTAAACATTTGACCTTTTAAAGAATTTGTGACGTTTGCGTGTGGATCTTGTGCTGAAACGAATAATAAATGTTCCTAAAAGTTACCGACTGTTCAACAAGTGGAATGAATACAAGGACAAAGAGACCTGGCGCTTCTCTGACGTCACAACCCAGCGTCCTGACCTACTTTTCATGGACACAATAAACAAACAGCTATGGCCGAATTCTTATGTTACTCGATTAACTAAAATGCATTCATTAGCCGCATCGCTAAAAACTTAAAAAAGTAGCAACTTTTGTTCCAGTTTTTTAATGTGTTGGCCCCGTTTCCACCAGCCCTACTTGCTCTACTCGGCTCTTCTTTACCTGGTTTCGTTTCCATTATGCACAAGGATCTGGTACTGTATCCTTGCAAACCAGTCAATCTCTGACAGATGGGGTGAGAATTGGCCAAAATTCTATGTTATTCTGATTCTTAACATTTTGCATTACAGCAAATATGTTATTTGATTCTGCATATATTGCAATTTATGTCCCTAATATTATTCAGTTATTACAAAAACTGAGGAAAATAAGATTAACTCAAAAGTCACATTAACTATGGTCTGAACATTAAGTGAAAACATTATCCTTTGAACTTGCTGTTGAATTACACAAAAACAAATCACCGCAACAAGCGCCACCTTGTGGATGTAACACGCAAATGTAAATTACCTCTATTAGTAAACTCGGAAAAATCACAAAAATGTGACATTCAATTAAATTATTATGTGTTACTGCTTTGCTCGACTGTTGAAAATATTTCAATACTAAACAGATTTTTGATTATTTTTTCTCAGTCATTAATTAATACCAGCTCGGCCTGGATAGAACCAGGACCTGGGATTGGTTAAACACGGCCAGGGGAAACTCTCCCAATCAGGGCCAAGTCTGTTGGAAACGGGGCTTCTGTGTGTTGTAGTCCTACTGTGTTTTGAAGCTTGTGGAGATCAAAGTTCATGAATGTTTCCTTTATAAACCTGCAGCTCGTCTCGCTGGTCCCACAGCCGGAAGAGGGGCATCGACGGACACCTGCGGCAGCGATCAGACGATGACAGTGAGCCCAAACACACCAACTCGGACAGAAGACAGGACAGGTACAGATATATATACACACCTGAATGACATCACAGGCTTTTCTGAATAAATCATCCTCTTTACATCCAGCTCGATCAGACTAAATACCAGTAAAAAGATTCTAGAGTTCATTAAACTAGTTTCTTTTCAGCTCCCACCGAAAAGGCATCAATTTGATAAAGTCTAGAATTAAAATTTAAAACTATTGTGTGTCCTCAATTATGCCAAGGACTGGACAATACGGAATGTAAATGAGTTGTGCAATGCATACAACTGATTCTAATTTGTAATATTTTTTGCTTTTACCTCCTGTTTTAAAACCACATTTTAATGAGTTTCAAACCCCATACTTTTATGCTGCTCTGTTTTAATATGAAATAATAGTATATTTCATTGGCTTTTTAATGCATTTTGATTAGTGTTTTTAAATTGCTCTTGTGAAGCACTTTGAATTACCTTTGCACATGAATTGTGCTATACAAATAAATGATTGATTGAAACTGAATGCAGAGTGAAGGACGCCTGTGTGCACATTATTATTATTGTTGTTGTTGTTGTTGGGAGGATCAGGAGTGTGTGTGCTGATGTGGCCTGTGCCGTGTGTTTCAGCTTCACCACCCCAGAGACCACAGGCCCAGTGTCCCGCTGCGGAGCCACAGACTGGGGCAGTCTGGTGGAGGAGAGCGAGAGGCGCGACACACAACCGTAAGTTCTCTGCTCTGTCCACCTCCTGTCACAGCCTCGTTCCACACTCGGGATGTTCCAGGTTAAAGTTGTTGCTTCAGGATGTAATGCCTCCTGAATAACAACATCATGATAACACTAGTAATAATACATTGTTTATTTATAGCGCTTTTCAAAAACTCAGACGCTCACAATTCAGAACACACATACACATACACATTCAGATGGACACACAAAACAAAAACTCTAAAAGGAGGAAGGAAGAGTGCAAAGCTGAAATTAAGAGTTGTATGCTTGGAGGATGAAGTGAGTTTTTAGTTGGGATTTTCCTGGTGAACAATTTCATTTGAATCAGTTCAGGAAAAACTACGTCCTGACTTGTTCTGCACAACTGAGGGCGGGTGTACAGAGCCATGTTTGGTCTATAAGGGGCAAAGACTTTAGAGTCCATAAATGTCTTTGAATGTGGAGTGTCCTGGATCATCTCTGTCCATAGAGCCTCTCGCATCAGAGAAACAAATTTTACAAAATTCAGAGAAAGTTAGAAACCAAGGGGGGGAAACCATCCGCAGGTGTCTCGATATTGCCATGTGGCATTATTTAAACTTCAAGGAAAAGCATCTCCAGCCAAACAACTACATCGCCCATGATCCTTTGGGCGAGCAACAAACACCCAAGCCCCGGGTTTCTGAGGTGTCACATGACCATTCTGACCAAGTGGAGCTCTGTTAGTGTTTAGGTTATGAGGCACTAGCGACCAAACGGCGCAGAGAGATTACTCCCTTTTTTGTGTTTTTGAAGCTAAAAGTCTGTTTCTGATGCTGCAACAATGTTCAAAACTCTAAAGTTGGATTGAAGTCTGTGTAGATGCAAATCCAACTTTCCTAGTACCTGATTTGGTGGTTGCATGCGTTTGTGTCTTGTGTGTGTTTGGAGACGATTGTGAGAGGCTCTGACAGACTGTGTGTCCAGGTACAGGCGCAGGATACTGGGCTCAGACGTCGCCCACAGAGAGAGGAAAGCTTCGTCTGGCTCATCAGGAAGGTGAGCCGCAGGGGACACCTTTTATACAGTATCTGACGGGACGCAGGATCGGATCAGAAGGGCCCCAGCGGTGAAGGGTGGCGGGTGGGAACTGTGACGATTCGATTGCATTTCCCAGCGTGTGATTGTAAAACTTTGTGAGAGGGTTGACAAAAACATGTGATTTTTGTCCTGATATTCTGACTGTATATGTTCAAACAGTACCATGAGGCCTTCCTCTCACGTCTCTGAGGGAAACACGTAAATGCAGTATTTCAGAGTCACGTGCCTGCTCCAGTCACATTTGCATCACCATTATTTACAACATGTTTCTCTCTGATTTGGAACCTTAAGATCAGATTGTTGGTTCTACATGTTCGTACAGACGTGTGACTTAAGGGATCCTTTATTTGTCCCACAGTGAGGAAATTTCAATGTTGCAGCGCACATACAGGACAGTAGTAAAAGCACACAGGGAGCACACAAAACAAGTGTGTAGCTGCTATGTTTCTTAGCTAGCTGTAAAAGCTTCAATACCAGTCCTTCTACAGATGGATGGATAGTGCAGAGTTATATACTGTACATATAGGGCAGAGAGTAGATAAAGTAAAGTGATATTGTTCAATGGACATTCTGAAGTTGCTGTATTGCACATGATTACAGTATTGCCTTTTTTACATATGCTTTGTGTTGTGCAGCTGTGACTCCAAAGAGGGAGAGCCTCTGGAGACGGACGAGGCGGTGTTGCTTCGCAGACAAAAGCAGATCAACTATGGGAAGAACACACTGGCCTACGACCGCTACATCAAGGAGGTTCCCAAGTACGTGAGGCTCCTCTGCAGGCTGCGTTATGGTTTCGGCCCTGAACACGAGGATTCTCACAATTATGAAACTACGAGAACTTTTTTTTAACCATTACTCACTTTTGATAAGCACTTAAACTGGTGAATATAATTTGAGACGCAGCAAAAAGACTACCTAATGCTAACCGCTAAGTGTGTTGCTATGGTAACCAGCACTTGCTCTTCTCTGGTGGAAAAACTAGTGGTACCAGAACCAGTCCAGGACCAGCTCCTTGAAAAAGTCTTTTAAAAGTAGCAATATGTAAGATTTTCATTTAAAGTCATCATCAAAGGGCCCTAATCTGTCAAAAGGCATTAATAAAACATTCTTTTTCAAATACTTCTTAAACTGATAACAGTAGTTCAGAGATATTTGGATTTCAAATTTATTTTTCCAGTTCCTAAATCTTTTTGTTGTTTTTATTTCAATGTCCCGCCCTCCACCATTTCACCAATCAGAAAGTCTGTGATCTGGGCGCCAGAACTCACTGCACCGAGTTAGTCTCACTGGTAAAGTACCTTGTGGCTGCAGAACTATAGGTCTCATTATGATTCTCAAATCATTAACGACTCTTGTCTATTCAGCTGTTATGGTCCTAGCTGGATTTGTCTGCATATCTGGCAACGTGAGTCAGGGAAAGTGGGAGAGGCTGCAGTGCCACTTTTGGCCAGATTTATACATATGGGTCCTTTTAAATGCCATAGAAAGAAAGTGGCCGATAAATGAACATAGTTAAAGTTACAAATCTTCTCAGTTAAAGAAATAAAAGACTATTTCCTGACGTAGATAAACTACATATAGAAACACGTTAAGAGGACCAGAAAGGTACATGCACAGAGTAATTCTCTGTGAGTTGTTGTGTTGACCCTGATCAGTCTTTATCATTAAGTGTGTGTGTGTGTTTCCAGGCACCTGCGGCAGAATGGAGTGCACCCACGAACGCCAAACAAGATGCGGAAGTACAGCCGCCGCTCTTGGGACCAGCAGATCAAACTGTGGAGGGTCAGTCTGCACATGTGGGACCCCCCCGCGGCAGAGGGCCAGCAGCCGGTCTTGGACCACATGTGAGTCCAGTACTTCTGTTACTATGTCCCAGTCTGTAGCCCCGTTTCCACCAGCCCCACTCAGCCTGAAGTGTGCCGTCAATGGGAATGCTTTATTCCTTTTCAATGTGTGATTTTAAACATCTGAAACTAAAAGATAATTTAATCTTTCATTGTGACCATGGACTTTGCAATACATGTTTAGTGTCAGAATAATACTTTGTATTTTTTAAAGACTAAAGCCTTTTGTCTCTGTGTCGTGAACAGGACGGAGATGGCTCTGGACGATGTGATGGACATTGAACTGGACTTCCCGGTTCTGGTCGACCCCTCGGAGCAGAGCTCGGCGCCACTCTGCATCTCTCTCAAAGTACAGCTCCAACAACCTTTTCTCATCCTTTTGGCCTTTGGGTTTTAAACATTATACTAAATGATACTAGGAAATGTATTTAAACTCAAATGTGTTATTCCATATTATTATGGTATATATGCAACATTTCATTTCATTTTTCATTTCATTTTCAACCCCTTTGTCCATTTCTGGGTCGGGGGGGTGGCAATGAGAGCTGCCATGCAACATATTATGTCCAAAAACTCCACTGTAGTCACTTTGTCGGCCTTAGCTTCTGCTGGACCTCCAAACTCACAGATGTAGGTAATTTAATGAATGATTATTCACGTTAAACAGATTCAATCAGTTTAACGTGACAAGTATGTAACTCTGCATTTAAATGCAGTCCTTCATTTAAGGCGGTGCACCTAAACCACTCACACAAAAAATAAATACAGAAAAATATTATAATATTAATTATTATATATAATGATATATATAGTATCATTAAACTAATTATTAGGCTAAATGGGCTGCAATATATCATTTATATTATAGTTCCCGGTAGTTATTGGTAAAGACACACACAAACTGATGGTTATCGTCGTGACACTTGTGTGTTTGTTCCAGGAGGACTGTGAGGGAACTCCAGTGAAGCTGCACAAAGCGGACACGGACTGAGGCGATCAGACTGCTGCTTTTATTTGCTTTTATCGACCTGTTGTTCGCTGTTTAGAGACTGCTGTTTATGAGGTTGTTTTTTATTCACAAGGCTTTTAGTTGAATGTTCTCAACGAGCCTCCAGAATGTGTTCTTTGATTTTGGCTTTTGTTTGACAGGTTCCTTTGTTTTGTTGTATTTTTTTATAACATTTTCCACAAAAGCAAATAAAATATCAGTGCTTTGTTCTAAATGCTCAACAGATGTTTAAAAAATATGTCGCAGTGAAATAAACAGAAAAGTGATCAGTCGTTGTGTCCTTAAAGTGTGTACCATGAGATCCTCATGCAGAGACTGGAGGACTGGGTTGGTGTCACTGGCACAGCCCTAGACTGGTTTAGGTCTTACCTGGAGGATAGGAAGTACTTTGTGGAGATTGGAGACTGCGTCTCACATCATGTGGCCCTGACCTGTGGAGTACCACAGGGGTCGATCCTGGGACCTCTCCTATTTAATCTCTACATGCTGCCGTTAGGTCAGTTAATACAAAGAAACAAAGTGTCCTACCACAATTACGCTGACGACACTCAGATCTATGTCTCACTAACTGCAGGAGAACATGGACCACTGGATTTGCTCCTTCACTGTATCCAACAGATCAGTGAGTGGATGCAAAATAATTTCCTCCAGCTAAATGCAGACAAAACCGAAATCATTGTCTTTGGTCCCCAGAAACAAAGAGAGGGCGTCATTTGTCAACTTCAGTCTCTCTCCCTACTTCCTTCAGACAAGGTCAGAAATTTGGGGGTAATACTGGACTCAGACCTAAATTTCAATAGCCACATAAAATCAATAACATCAACAGCTTTTTACCATCTGAAGAACATTGCCAAAGTTAGAAATATAGTGTCCAGGGCAGACTTGGAGATTCTTGTCCATGCATTTGTCTCCAGCAGGCTAGACTACTGCAATGGCCTGCTTACAGGTCTGTCCAAACAGACCTGTAAGCAGCTGCAGTACATCCAAAATGCAGCAGCTCGAGTCCTGACAAGAACCAGGAAGTATGACCATATTAGTCCGGTCCTCAGGTCCCTGCACTGGCTTCCTGTGGCTCAGAGAATAGACTTTAAAACAGCTCTGCTTGTGTACAAGTCTCTCCATGGCCTCGCACCAAAATATATTAGTGACATGTTAGTCCCATATGAACCGGCTCGGACTCTGAGGAGCACAGGGACTGGCCTCCTGCTGGTGCCCAGAGTGAAAACCAAACATGGGGAGGCTGCGTTTCAGATCCATGCAGCTAAGATCTGGAACAATCTCCCTGAAAATGTGAGGGAGGCGTCTACTCTGTCAATGTTCAAATCCAGGTTAAAGACTGTTCTGTTTGCCTGTGCATACAACTGAAGGATTTTATCTCCATTTCTAATGCACTGTTGTCATTTATTTATTTATTTTTTTAAATTTCTTGTGTAATTTTGAAAGTTTTAATGGTTTTATTCTTTTGTGTGATTTTAATGTTTTAATTGTGTTTTAATCTTTTGTGTGATTTTAATGTTTTAATTGTGTTTTAATCTTTTGTGTGATTTTAATGTTTTAATTGTGATTCTGGTGTTTGTTTTATGTGATGATTTGTGATGTGGACTGTGAAGCGCTTTGTGTTGCCCTGTGTATGAAAGGCGCTCTACAAATAAACTTTGATTGATTGATTGATAAATAAGTTACTTGTGTAACTATAGTTCTATTAACATGTGTGTAGATTTTACATATTCTTAAGAAACTACGCTTTGTGCATTGACATTAAAGTTTGAGACCACAAGTGGCCCGTGGGTTTGGGACCACTGCTTTACAGTGTAAAATTCAGATCCAGGACTGATACTTTTCTTTGACCACAAACAGTAGAAGCACGTGACTGAAAGCCTCATTGTTCGTGCCATTGTGTCCTTTTTGTTGAATAAACATGTTTTTATGCAGCTAGCATGCAACACCATGGATCTATCTCTGATCTATCTTCTTGGCAAAGTTCGACGCCAAAGAACCAGTCACACGTTTATGGGCGGGCTTTATGCTTTTGTCCAATGAAACACTAGCGTGAGCTCGCGGAAGGCGGAAGTAGGCCATGTAAACAACATGGAGACGCCGCAGCTGAGCTTCACTCTCGGGTACTGGGTGTTCTGCTTCTGCTTTGTGCTCACTCCCAACGAGTTCCGCTCCGCTGGACTCACAGTACAGAACCTGTTCTCCTCATGGCTGGGCAGCGAGCACCTGGGCTTCGTCCAGTACCACATCCGGAGGAGCAGTGTGACGCTGCTGGTCCACTCAGCCATGCCCCTGGGTACGACTACAGCTGTGTCTGTCTATGTGTGTGTCTGTCTCTATGTGTGTCTGTCTATGTGTGTGTGTCTCTGTGTCTGTCTCTATGTGTGTGTGTGTGTGTGTGTGTCTGTCTAATGTTTACAGCCTGTGGTCTGGACACGACACGTCAACACACTGGAGCTACTACAAGGTGTACTACTGCAGGACCACTGCCAAATGTATTGCTGCTATTACTATTACTATTACTACTACTGTTTCAATGACTACTGTTGTGTCTGTTTGAACTGAACTTATTGAATGTTCCTTCTCCGATTACATTGTGTACTCAGACTCAGATTCAGAATAGTTGATAACACACACACTCTTAAAAGTGGGCACAGACGGTGTCAAACGTGTCCATTTATCATTTCATTTTGAATATGTAAATGTATGGAAGAAAATCAGGAAGAAAGTAGTTTTAAAATGACATGACACAGACAAGGCAAGTTTAATTCGTATAGCACAGTTAATGCACAAAGCAACTTGAAGTGCGTAACGAGAAAAGAGAATGGTTACTGCAGCTAAACAGAACTGTTTTTAACCTGGATTTGAACTACATTGTTAGAGAAGATGCCTGTCTCACATTTTCAGGAAGACTGTTCTAGTAATGGGTTGATGAAGCTTCGTGAAGTGTTGGTCTTGTTTTCTGAGTATAACTTTCAGACATTTCACAGAGCAGTCCATGGGGTACAGATGTTTTATGAAGGGAAAACATTTACCATCCATGAACTTTTCAGTTATTGGTAGTTTCTGGTCGTGACGCTTACAGGTCATAGATTAGCAGATATTACAAAGGTAGTTTCTGCCTCCTGTGAATCCAGACTGAACCAGGACTGGACTCAGTCTAAACCAGGTCTCATCACAAGCAGTTAATTAAATTAATAAAATAATTCTGACGTCAGGACCCAGCGCTGACATCATAGTATAGTATAGATATAGATATATAATAGATCTTTTGTTGCAGCCTTCCGTGTAGAGCCGTTGACCTGTGTCTGTATTTGCAGGTTACTACTTGGGCATGTGTGTGGCTGCTCCTGAGCTGCTCTCAAAGCCCCTGTTGGAGGTGAGCATCACATGACTGTAAACAAACTCATTGGATCACTCTCCAAACAACGATCTCTTCTATATCCTGTCGACCTGTCGCTAGAATCTGTTTGAACTTACTCAGAGTCGAGGCCTACACACTGAGCAGGGGTGATGTGTTCCATGCAGAGACAGCAGACAGTACATTAATCTGTGACGCACACAGCTGTGAATGTGTCGCTCGCTCGGTTCAGCGACAGAAAGATGTGACATCATCAGCACTGAGTCCTGACGTCAGGTCAAAGCTGTGGTGCAGTCAACATATCTTGAGACCCGGTCCAGACCGGTTCTGGGTCGGAGTCTCTAGATATGTAGGCACATTAAGAACGTGATTTTCATCAGCTTCAGTCTGTTGATTAATGACACCTGAATGTGATCATTACATTTGATCACTCTCTATAATCCAAAGAACCAGTCTTTGACGACTGGATCAGCAGGTCCCAGAGCAGCAACAGCCGACCCTCTCCTCCTCCGAGCACAAAGCAAAGCCTCTGTTGCCATGGTCACCTCCTAAAGCTCAAAGTCCTGTTTCAAATGGGATAAAGCACGTGTCTCTCTGAACAGGGTCAGAGATGTCGTCGTTTTCTGGGACTTTAGCCCAAAGCTGCTGAAAACAGTTTCCAATAAGTGAATGCGCAGACTTTAAACACAACATTCATTACCACAGTGATTCTCTTAAAGAATCACTTTTTTTATAATAGACATTTAACCATATCAATGCTTTACACTCTATAGCACCAATTCACAGCAGCAGTCGCCTCAGAGGACGACAACAAATCAAACTTACAAACTTATAAAATATCTAATCATGTCCTGTTTTTAACAGTGCTGTCAGTTTAACACGTTAATAACAGTGATAACACAAAAAGTATTTGGATATTGGATAGTATTTGGGTAGTATTTGGTTGTCTGGGTACCTTCGACAGCCCGCTGTGTGTGCAGGTGGAGGACGGCTGGCACATCGTCCTGTTGGTGGCGCTCTCGCTGCACATAGGCTCCTGGACGTTGGTGGGGTACTGGTCCTTATGGAAGTGGGAGAACCACCCCATCAGCCTCACCCTCCAGAGACACACCCCTGCCGCCCCCTCGGGCTGGGGCGCACTCGCTTCCCGCCTCAACACTGAGTTTCGCGCAGTGGACAAGTTCACGGCGGGCATCCACGGAGCGCGGGTCATCGTGACGGACAGTTGGGTGCTCAAGGTGAGAAGCTCTTTTATGGTTGTTATATTTTTCTGACTAAAACAACATTTAAAACATTAAAATATGACAAATAACTGCATATTGTGCAAAAAACTAAATTCTATTTGCAGATTGGGAAAGACAAGGCATGATTAAGGCATGATTATTAGAGGATATTCAGTAGCACAGTTCATACACCAGACAATTCACGGAAGACGTTAATCATCATAATTAGTCACAGAAGATTAAAAAGAGAGAAGATACCAACCCTCAGTTGTATGCAACAAAAAGGAGGGCAGTCCCTGTGCTCTTCACAGTCCCAGCAGGAGGCCAGTCCCTGTGACTCTGAGGAGCAAAAGGTCTGGCCTCCTGTCAGGAGGGCTAAAATCTGGAACAGTCTTCCTGAAAACAGACTTCTACTCTGACAATGTTCAAATCCAGGTTTTGTGATTGTTTCTTGTGTAGTTCATCCCTTTGTGTTGCCTTGTGTATGAACTTGTGTTGTGTTTAGGTGAACACGTACAGTGTGTCCATGGCTCTGCAGAGCCAGTGTCAGCTCAGTGTGGTGCAGTCGCGACAGCACCACTTCTCTGCAGACTCCGCCTCCCCCACACAGGTGCTCACTCTGAGAGTCGACAGCACCAACCCAGGAGCGCGGCCTTTCCACTTCAGGTACTGTGAGACCAGAGCGAGAGACCAGAGCGAGAGACCAGAGCGAGAGACCGGAGCGAGAGACCGGAGCGAGAGACCGGAGCGAGAGACCGGAGGGAGAGACCGGAGCGAGAGACCGGAGCGAGAGACCGGAGCGAGAGACCGGAGGGAGAGACCGGAGGGAGAGACCGGAGGGAGAGACCGGAGGGAGAGACCAGAGGGAGAGACCAGAGGGAGAGACCAGAGGGAGAGACCAGAGGGAGAGACCAGAGGGAGAGACCAGAGGGAGAGACCAGAGGGAGAGACCAGAGCGAGAGACCAGAGCGAGAGACCAGAGCGAGAGACCAGAGCGAGAGACCAGAGCGAGAGACCAGAGCGAGAGACCAGAGCGAGAGACCAGAGCGAGAGACCAGAGCGAGAGACCAGAGCGAGAGACCAGAGCGAGAGACCAGAGCGACACAATTAGATGATGTGATGTCCTATGAATGCTTCTTAAATGTCTCTTTTCTCTGTTCCTTTCTGTTCCTTTCTGTTCAGGCTGCACTCCACAGAATATGCAGACCTGCGAGATAAGCTGCGTGCGCCCATCAGGAACGAGGCCAACGTGGCAATCTACAGAAGCATCAGCGACGTCTTCCTGGACACGTTCAGAGCTCACCTCCAGGACAACCCTCCGTACAGCCTGCCCAGCGGACAGGTCGCCCCCACTCGTCTGTCTGCTCCATAACACTGGCTCACATAGACACAGTAGACACAGGAGAGACTTCATCGATCTCTGTCGGAGAAAAATAACTGTTTATGAGCGACTTTTGAGCTCTTTTCAGTACATTCAAAAGGCTCTGTCCTCCTCTGTCCTCCTCTGTCCTCCCCTCTGTCTTCCTCTGTCCTCCTCTGTCTTCCTCTGACCTCCTCTGTCCTCCTCTGTCCTCTTCTGTCCTCCTCTGTACTCCCCTCTGTCTTCCTCTATCCTCCTCTGTCCTCCTCTGTCTTCCTCTGTGCTCCTCTGTCCTTCTCTGTCCTCTGTCCTCCTCTGTCCTCCTCTGTCTTCCTCTGTCCTCCTCTGTCCTCTTCTGTCCTCCTCTGTCTTCCTCTGTCCTCCTCTGTCTTCCTCTGTCCTCCTCTGTCCTCCTCTGTCCTCCTCTGTCCTCCCCTCTGTCTTCCTCTGTCCTCCTCTGTCCTCTTCTGTCCTCCCCTCTGTCCTTTGTGGTTACTCTGTCTCTGTTTGTTCAGGAGCTGGAGCCGTGTATCGGCTGCATGCAGGCCCCAGCCAACATTAAACTGGTCAAACTCTGTGAGCTCGAAGGTAAATCTGTTTTTCAACTTAATTATTTTTTTGGAGTGGAGTAGAGTGGAGTACAAGTAACTGGTAACACAAGTTATAGATTAAAGTACAGTTATTGTTCATTTGTCTTGTGCTGTGTGCTCCTTGCTCCTACTCTTCTGTAAATGTCACTTTGGCCCCTGTTTGGTGTGTTCCAGACTCGGGGGTCCAGGACGGGGGCCACCAGGACGGGGACTGCCAGCGCTGCATGTGTCGCCCCATGTGGTGTGTGTCCTGTATGGGTCGCTGGTTCGCCAGTCGTCAGGACCAGCAGAGACCTGAGACCTGGCTGAGGAGCAGAGTGCCCTGTCCCACGTGTCGAGCTCGATTCTGCATTCTGGACGTGTGTGTGGTCCACAGTCCCTCCTGATCCTGGACCTGTGTGTGGGCCACAGTCCCTCCTGATCCTGGACCTGTGTGTGGGCCACAGTCCCTCCTGATCCTGGACCTGTGTGTGGGCCACAGTCCCTCCTGATCCTGGACCTGTGTGTGGGCCACAGTCCCTCCTGACCTGCTCCTCAACCTGTACTGGACTTTTCAAGGCTGTTTCTTATCTTATTGGCGTTCTTTAGTGACGGATTACAGCCTGGAGTGATCTCACATGGCAGTTTAGGAATTCATTCAAGATGACATCATCATCATGATGTCTCATATTTCTCTTGTTCTTAAAGGTCCCATACTTCGCTCTTGTTCATGTTTCACAGTCCGTCCTAATCACATGAGTGGTGATAATGTGTGATGCACCCATAGACCACTTAAACATTAACAGACGTAGTCACAACTAAAACTCCTCCCCTCGGCATTGACAGCATCTGGAATGTAGCGTTGGGTCGACATTTTGGACAGACCCTAATTATTTATTTACCAAAGTATACGGCAAGTTAGCATCACTGTACTTACAGATTTATGCTCCTCTTTAGCGTCTTTTATGTTGGGAATAACACTGGTCCAGATCAGCTTTTGAGTGGATGCATTTTCATAGTTCTGGAACAGTCTGTGGTGAAAAGTCACTTGCAGAAAAAACAGATACATCGTCCGTTTCAGAGACAGATCCTTTGAATAAAGTTGTGCCACATTCGCCTCATTCTTTGTCTTTGGGCCAACAGTGTTGAAAAGCGTAATATGGGACCTTTAATTATTGTGTTAACACTGGAACCCCCAGAGCAGTCAATTTGACACCTTTTACTTTAGATACTTGTTCTGTATATGTAGTTTATTGCTTTATAATTATATTTGTCTGTTGGTCACCAATATTCTATGGCAGTTAAAGCCATGTTTCTCTGATGTGCTGTTTCTGGTCTGGTTATGGCTTTCCACCAGAAAAGTGCTTGTTACCATAGCAACATACTGTTTACGGTCAGCTGTTTGCAAATTGACTGCTCTGGGAGTTGAGTTTCAGAATTTACATTGGGGTCGTTTTGCTCAGTTATCCCAATGTGGTTTTACTGCTAATGGCAAATAAACTGAATCTTGAATTCTGGGAGTTCTTGTGTTTATGAACTAAGCTTTGGAGAGACGAGAGCGAGCAGGGAGAGCGTGGTTCATTTCTTTGGTAACAATGCCATGTCTAACGTTCATGTTGATCCAGAAAGTCACATTGACTTGACAAAAGATTTAAAATCTATACAAGATTTTGTCAAATCTTTTCAATAACAAATCAAAGAAAGAACCATTCACTTGAGATGAATTGTAAGGTTTAGTAGTAACATTCTACACATTTGATTTCCCATTGACTTCCATGAACTCCTCGACCTCTGTCTCATTCGCCAAATCATGAATGAGACTTTATTTTACCGATTTATAAAGAGCTGAAATCTTTGTGAATAAAAAGAAATCGTGGTTTAATTTTTTATTAGGACGATACAAGTGTTATTATCTAAAGCAGGGCGTCTGACTTTATAGTAAAGGGCCATTTTTTTCACAAGTCACCAGGGCTGTCCACATGGATAGTTAAGGTCAGTTGTGATACGTTTCTTGGCTTTAAAAGTTTATGATATGTCCATATTGACTCACCACAAATCTATATATAAAAATAAAGTTGACGACTGGATTCCCAAGGTTCTGAGTTTTACAACAAGGTACAGCATGACTGTACTGTTGGAGATGAAGTTGGCTGGATGACACTGTCAAAGTGCCTCAATGGCTGCTTTTTTGTAAGCGACAGAGGGCCACATAACATAGCACAGCGGGCCGTATATGGCCCAGGAGCCTTGATTATGTCTGATCTAATTGATAAAAAACTGTATAGTGTGTGAGGCATTTCGTTTGAATAAAAATGCAAAGACATCCCAGTCCGCCTTTTTTCTGAATTGTATCAACTACTGATACTTAGCAGGAGCATGCTGGGTGGGGCAGTGACCTTCCCCGGCAGTAGGGGGCGCTCCACGCTTCCATACTGACAGCAACGATAAAAGACCACATCCAAATTCAGAGACAACACCTTCCTTTTTCGCTTTTGCTATTCGTTTTGGCATTAAATAGTCCAACAAATGCGTTTTTACAGTCTTCTTTATATATTCAATATCCCTTGATCAGATTCCGGAGTTGATTTATTCCTTGAAAAGTAAAGGTTGTGAAACAAGGAGCCAAAAGAGAGGACTTATATTTTGTGAATTTGGATGCGGCCCATGACTCAGGGCCACACTGTCCTTGTCTCAGCGGTCCTGTCTCGGTTCCTGGTCTCGGTCCCTGGTCTGGGTTCCAAGTCTCGGTCCCTGGTCTCGGTTCTTGGTCTAGGTTCGTGTGGAGTACAGTGGTGGTCGTGATCATGCTGAGGGCCTGTGTGAGAGGGGCCAAGAACACCGCCCGGGTAAGAACCGCTCTGTGACCCAAAGGCGATGATAGCAAAACGCCCCCATAACTCTCTTGCAGACCTGACGCTAACCTTAACCCAATGCATTGTTCATAACTTATTAACCATGATCTACCATAGCATAGTGACGCAGGTGTGACCGCAGTGTGGCTGGGAACGAATAACATAGCTACTATCTCTGCCATTTTAATATTTATAGTCTATGTTCTATGCATGCGGCTTCAAGCACACACTGTTAGCACCTGCTGAAAATTACAGTAGAATACCATTAGAAAAAACCCACAAAAACCTAGATCTAATGGGAATATGGACCATAGCAGGACAGCTCCCATAGGACAGCACCTATAGGAAAGTAGTTGGCACCATTAGTAAAGCTCCATAAGAAACCTTTAGATACCATTAAAATGACACCATACAAAGCTATTAGAACAGCACCATTAGAAACCATAAGGACTTAACCCGACTCTACTCTGATTAATAGGAGCTTGGAAACTAGGAGTAGGCTATACAGTGTATGTGACTGTATAAAACCACTGTAGAACGGCAGGCTCTCTCCCCTCACCTGGCATAGGCCTGTTTTCTGTGTTTATGATGCTTCTCCTGTATTTCCGTGTATTGTTTTTCTTTACAGTTTTTTAATTGTGATGCGCTTTGTGATCCTGTTCTGTAAAAAGCGCTAGACAAATAAGCTTTACTTACTTAGATAAACTATCTAACGAGTCAATGTCATCGTTATTTACTTTTTTGGCTGACAGATCATTTTAAATATTATGACTTACAAGGATTTCTCTTTCAGTGGAACTATGGAAAAACACCTTTTAACAACCTCCAGCCGCGGCACTACACCACAGGAGAGACCAGGTATCGTGAACTTTGTCATCCCAGGACCCTCTCAAATGTATAGGACCCTTACAGTATGAACATATGTGAACGTATGTGTTTCTGCCAGCCCTGCATTGAAGGTGGCGACTGCTGCTCTGGTCACAGTGGGTGGCGCTGTCGGGGGAACAGTGCTCTATGCCAGCTGGGACCCCAAGTTCAGGTCCTCAGTGGAGAAGAACGTTCCATATTCAGACGGGCTCCTCAACATGGCGTTAGGACCGGCTGTGCAAACATTGCCAACAAAGAAAAAGGTGAGAATGCAGTCATCCCAGTTTCTCCAGTGTGAGGGGGGGGGTCTCTCTGTCTGTAGCTCCGACAGAGGGCTGCTGCAGGTGATGGGAGACTTTTCAAGGAGCTGTTTCTTTGGGATCTGTTCACTTTAAAGAGCTGCAGAGAGTAGAGCCGCTGCTGCTCAGTTTCAGTTTTGTTCTTCTTCACAATATCACACATTTACTCATACATTAAGCTTGTAACCATTTTTCTTGGGTGAACAATATGGACACCCTTGGAAGCTACATGGGGTCCAACAATACAGAAATAAACAAAAATGGAAAGCATGAAAACAGAGATTTGGTTAAATATGAATAAGAAAATGTAGAAAGTAACCAGGTGAAGCCTCTGTGGAATCTGACCTCCATGTTTTGGACTTAGCTCAGATACACATGAGGAAAATGACAAAAGATGCAGAGGTCTGGCATCTTATTTTTGGTAAAAAGATTTGACCAGAGTTTTGCTGCGTGATTTTGGTTTTATTGAAGACAAATCATGGACACTCCTTTCAGCATCTGCCACTGCGCCAATGGAAATTTTAGCTTTGATCTTCAGACCATAAGGAGAGACCAGGGGGAGACCAGGCACACTCTGCAGGAGCTGTGTCTCAGCAGGGAACTGCTCGCGATTCTCCCAGATGAGCTGGAGGAAGTGTGTGAGGAGGGGCATGTCTGGCCGACTGCAACCCGGCAACTGATAAAGCGGAAGAGGATGGATGTTGGGCAAATTCGGAAGTCAGACCTTTGAAGCTAAGCAGGGCAGGGCCTGGTTAGTACTGTGATGGAAGACCTCTGGGAACACCAGGTGCCACAGTGGGCGGCTGCAGCTGTAAAGTGCCAAACTCTCATTTTGTCCTTAGGCAAGACACTTCACCCACATTAGAACGAGTCTGGTGTGTGTGTGAATGGTTGGTGGTGGTTGGAGGGGCTGATGGCACAAGCTGGTTGCCTCGCCTCAGTCAGTGTGCCCCAGGGCAGCTGTGGCTACATTAGTAGTTTATCATCGCTATGTATGAGTGACATGTGAAGTCCAAAAAGTACATATAACCGTTACAAATATACATTGAATTGTTTTGCAGAGTGAGAGTCAGGCACCGAGCATGATGGAGAAGACCCTGAAAGAACCTAAACCTGCGAAAAAGGTGAAGGACGTGACAGAGCCCAGCGAGACCCCTTCAGCAGCTGCTCAGACCATAGAAGGTGAGGACTCTCCGCGCACACGCACACACATGCACACGTACACACACACATTCTTCTACACTGTGCTTTCACTGTATCTACGCACTTGACGAGTTAAGTTTGTTCATGGATGTACCCAGTTGTTAAATTTGGGTCAGGCTGGTTTATTTGTATAGCACAGTTCATACAAAGTGCTTAACAAACAAGATGTAAACAATCACACACAGAGACATTCAAACCCTAAATAATCACAGCACATTAAATAGAGTCAAGATAAAATCCTTTTTAACCTGGATTTGAACATTGTCAGAGAAGAAGGCGGTCACACATTTTCCGGAAGACTGTTGCAGAGCTGCATACATCTACATTGAACTCTAACACTGACTTGTTGCTGAAAACTTTGTTCATGAGACAAAGTCGTTTTTAAAAGTGTTAAAAATTTCCCATTGTTAATTCAAGTTTTTTTTTTTTTTTTAAATGGTCAAACTCCAGATTCCGTTGTTTATGATCAAATCAATCCTCTTTTCCAGAAGCGTCTGCTGAAGCCACACACATCATTTCTGCCATGAGTGAAGTCCAGTCCGTCCCAGCGCCACACGACACAGAGCCACCTGTTCTCACAGGTAAAGACGTAGTGTAAGGCATCAATCAGTGAGGGCAGGTTCCGGCTCCAAAAGGTCCATGACCATGTGCGACAATCTCACTCCTTACTGGTGGGGGTGTACCCAGAAAGAGACTCACCCAATGATTTTGTGCTTGTTAAATTATTGGGTCTAGTGCCAGCTAACACATGTGCAAATGCGTTTTTTCACATTTTCCGGCCCTTGGCCATTTTGGAAAAATCCACAGAAGGTAAAAGTGTTGGCACATTAGTTTCAGCGGCGGAGATGGACGTGACTACGTACTTTTAATATTTACAGTCACTGGTATAGCACATAAACAAAATAACTCAAAGTGCTTATCAAGGGTAAAAAGTCACAGTACAACGATACAATGTTTATCTGCTGGGAGTAGCACAGTTAGACCCTGATCTTGTGCTGATGTGTTTCAGAAGCCCCCACAGAGTGTCATGAGTGTGAGGCTGCTCCTCTCGCTCAGGACGTAGAGGCGAGCCCGGAGCCTCTGAAGGAGCGGCCTGTGGAGGAGGTCACTGCCAGACTTGCCGAGCAAGACGAGGCCGAGAAGAAGATTCTAGAATGTAAAACTAATTTCTTCGTCACTTTTCTGCATGAAGATGATTCCCTGTATTCACACTCGTCTTCTCGTCACCAGCCATTTCAGCAAACCTGGACGAGTCCCTGTCGAGCTCCGCCAAAGCCACGCTCACCGCCATCGGAGCGCAGGAGGCCGCTCTACAGGCCATTTCACAGCACACGCTGAAGCTGAAGGAGGCCATGGAGGCCGAGGTGCGCCTCAGAACTACTACTGTCGCACAATTTAGTCCAATTCAATTTATTTGTGTATCGCCCTAAATCACAACAGTAGTTACTCAGAGGACTTTACAAAGCTGACAATTCCCCAACACAGATCAGAGAATCAAACAGTTCAAACCCAGGAAATGCAACGATAGCAAACACATAGACATTAGTCCGTAAGAGACAGAGACCAATGTCCATAAATGTTGGTGTCCTGGATCATCTCTGTCCTTACAGCCTCCTGCCTCATTGATTGAGGGAAGGCTGTTAATCCAGGACTTCATTATAATAATAATAATACTACATCGGTTTCATATAGCGCTTTTCAAAAACTCAAAGACGCTTCACAATTCAGGACACACACATTCAGACAGACACACAAGGACATTATAGAATACACTACTGGTTGTGACAATAACAGCGTTTTATCTTTGACAACCATAAATTACCATACTTTCTGGACTATTAGGTGCACTTTTATATAAGCAGCTTATTAAAAGAAAGTGAATGTTGTAATGTAGCAGAGACGACTGAGTCCCTGAGTGCCAAAGTCTGTTTCTGCAGGTTCCGTCTGAAGAGAAGTCTGCGCAATGGAAGGATCTGGAAGCTGCTCTGATGAACAGGAGCAGTGCAGTGACTGATGCTCAGGCAGGACTCAAGAGCGCTCGGTGAGTCTGGATCACAAACGCTCTTCTGGTTCTGGTGGACAGATGGACTTTAGTTACCTGTGGTCTATGTTTTACCTCTGTCTCCTGAAACCAGACCTGGACCTCAATCTTACCCAACACCAGATGCTTACTATAAATACTACAACTACTGTTTATAAAAACCATGATCATATTGCTTTATTGGTCTCACAAAGGTGTGTTTCTTTGACAGGGAAGCTCTGGACGCTCTCAAAGCAGTGATTGATGAATCCAAGGGCCTCGCTGTGGCGCGGCCGCTGGTGCTGGCGGCTGAGGAGAATCTGCACAAAATGGTGGTGGACCTGGACAAAGTTGTGACTAAGGTACACTTTTATTTCCACTGATAATGTCTCCATCTGAGGACTGAGTAACATTTATACAACATAAAGTTTGTTGAGTATTGGCCTTTGGGCCTGCATGTTGTGGGTTCGATCCCCACACAAGACCTACTCCCACTGATGTCTGCTGCTGTTGTGTTCATGGGCAAGACACTTAACCCCACTTTGCTTGAAGCCCCCGCTGAAAAAAAGCAAGGCTGTGTCAGAGTAGCCATGCTCCTGTGGACTCACCTCCTGACCACCTGGAGGAGGATCAGGACCACCACGTAGAATATGTACAATAGGTCCAGCATGCTCCTCCATCGCGGTGTGGAGGGAGAGAACAGAGGCCCACGAGTGTAAAGCGCTTCTGTCTGTGAAAGGCGCTATATAAATAAAGATGACTTACTACTTGCTGATGTGTTGGTTTTCTCTGTTGCAGGTGCAGGCAGCGGAGTCTGAGGCCAAAGTGGTCTCTCAGTACAGTGAGCTGGTCAATGAAGCCAAGCTGCAGTTCCAGAGGGAAGTGAGCAGTCTGACTCCTGAGATCCAGGCCAACTGGAAGAGCCTGAGTACGAGCACATGACTCACAACTCTCTCCTCTCCTCTCTCCTATCTCTCATCTGTCTCCTCTCTCTCTCCTCTCTCCTCTCTTCCCTCTCATCTGTCTTCTCTCTCCTCTCCTCTCCTCTCTCTCCTTTCCTCTCGCTCCTCTCTCTCCTCTTTGGTGTATTCTTCTTTCTGAATGCATGTTGGCTCCTGTGTGTGAGCAGCAGAGTTCCTGTATTCCAGTGAAAGACTGTAAAGACGATAGATGTAAGCGAGGGGCAGAGAGGTTGTGATGGACTGGATGTTTGTGTTGTAGCGGGTAAACTGAGCACAGACGACCTGAACGCGCTGATCGCTCACGCTCACCGCCGCATCGACCAGCTGAACCGGGAGCTGGCAGAGCAGAGGGTGCGGGAGCAGATCCACATGGAGTCCGCTCTGGAGCAACAGAAGCTGGAACATCAGAAAGCTTTGGAGACGGCTGTGGACAGTGCGCTGCAGCACGTGAAGGAGGACGCCCGGCTCGAGCAGGAGCGCAAGGTACGTCTGCGCTTCCATTTATTTGTGTAGCGCCATAAATCACAAGACGTCGTCTCAGAGGACTTTCCAACTTGTGCTGTAACTTTGTGTGTGTGTGCGCGCGCCTCCCTTTCTCTCACTGTGTCTGTCTCTCACTGTCTGTGTGTGTCTCTCTCACTGTCTGTGTGTGTCTCTCTCACTGTCTGTGTCTCTCTCTCTCACTGTGTGTGTCTCTCTCTCACTGTCTGTGTCTCTCTCTCTGTCACTGTGTGTGTGTCTCTGTCACTGTGTGTGTCTCTCTCACTGTCTGTGTCTCTCTCTCTGTCACTGTGTGTGTGTCTCTCTCTCACTGTCTGTGTCTCTCTCTCTGTCACTGTGTGTGTGTCTCTGTCACTGTGTGTGTCTCTCTGTCACTGTGTGTGTCTCTCTGTCACTGTGTGTGTCTCTCTCTCTCACTGTGTGTGTCTCTCTCTCTCACTGTCTGTGTGTGTCTCTCTCACTGTCTGTGTGTGTCTCTCTCTCACTGTCTGTGTGTCTCTCTCCCGCTCACTGTCTGTCTCTCTCCCGCTCACTGTCTGTGTGTCTCTCTCCCACTCACTGTCTGTGTGTGTCTTTCTTTCTCTGTGTGTCTCTATCTGAGCCTCTGTGTCTGTCTCTCTGTGTCTGTCTCTCTCTCTGTCTGTGTCGAATCGAACCTTGACATTTCTGAATGGTTCCAGTCCTGTTGTGGTTCAAAGCCTCCTGTTGAAGTGTGTGTGTGTGTTGCAGTTGGCCGAGCTGCGGGAGGTGATGGAAGCCGAGATGAGGACTCAGCTGCGGCGACAGGCGGCCGCTCACACAGACCATGTTCAGGACGTTCTCAAAGTGCAGGAGCAGGAGCTGAGATCCGAGGCCCAACAGGTCACTCCTCACTCACTGCTCACAACCTTCGCTCCGGTCCAAAGTCTTTCAGCGAGTTTTACTAATGCACTAACACTGATTCTCCTGCACACACATAACACAACAGACGGGACACACACATTACTTTCAAACAGAGGCCTCTGAGGGCGGCAGATGAGGGACTGTCAAATCCTTAACTCAGATCAAAGTCTCTTTAAAAGTGCATTTTCAAAGGTACCATTTCTGACGTAAAGAGAGGAGTCAAAAGTTCTGTACCTCCTGCTTTTATTTTCACGGTAGGAGCTCATACTCCTTCGTTTTTCACAATTGAAAACAATATGTAGAATCCAGAAAAGGACTGACTGCTGCTCACTGTAAACAGCTGTGGGTTTGTGTTGCAGGTGTTGGGCAGTAAACTGCTGGAGCAGGAGACTCTGTACCGACAGCTCACTCAGGAGCAGCTGGATAACTTCACTCTGGACATGAACTCTGCGTACGCTCGGCTCAAGGGCGTGGAGGAGGCCATCGACAGTGAGACCATTAACACACACTCATTATACTGTTTTAGTGAAACTAATGCAGTGTCACTGACCTCTGTGACTGTGTCAGCCTCTGTCTGTGTCTGTGACTGTGTCAGCCTCTGTCTGTGTCTGTGACTGTGTCAGCCTCTGTCTGTGTCTGTGACTGTGTCAGCCTCTGTCTGTGTCTGTGACTGTGTCAGCCTCTGTCTGTGTCTGTGACTGTGTCAGCCTCTGTCTGTGACTGTGACTGTGTCAACCTCTGTCTGTGACTGTGTCAACCTCTGTCTGTGACTGTGTCAGCCTCTGTCTGTGACTGTGTCAGCCTCTGTGACTGTGACATGTGTGACGGTGTGTTGCAGGTCATGTGGTGGCAGAGGAGGAGGCGCGTCAGGCTCACCAGCTCTGGTTGGCGGTGGAGGCTCTGGCTCACACTATGAGTACAGCTGAGAGCGCCTCTCCCACAGCTCCTCTGGAGAGCTCTGCTCAGGTGGTGAGAGAGAGCTGCTCAAACAATGAGTTTGCTCTGGCACTGGCTGCAGCTCTGCCCAAAGAGTCTCTGGAGCGTGGCGTCTACAGCGAGGCCTCACTGCGCAGCCGATTCTACTCCCTGCGGCCGCTGGCTCGCAGAGTGGCCCTCATCGACGAGTCTCACAACTCTCTGTTCCAGTACTTCCTGTCATACCTACAGGCCGCCCTGCTTTTCGAGGCCCCCCAGCAGGCCCCCCCTGCTCAGCTCGCCACTCAGGACCTGGATCCCTTCAACCTCTTATCGTACGCTAGCTACTGCCTGGAGCACGGAGACTTGGAGCTGGCAGCTAAGCTGCTGAACCAGCTGCGAGGAGAGGCCCGGCGTGTGGTGGAGGACTGGCTGACAGAGGTGAGGCTGACCCTGGAGACCAGGCAGGTGGTCAGTCTGCTGTCGGCCTACGCCAACGCCGTGGGTCTGGGAACCAGCCAGGCTTCTTAGACTCTTCAAAGGAAACTGATGTGAGATCAGGGACGGCTAATGTTTGAAACTTGTTATATTTGAGGAAGAAGCAGACGTGGATCCACCTGTGGCTGTGAGCTGTTGTTTGGAGGAATCTAATCTAAAAGTGTATAGCGAATTGTACTATATTGAGTACGTTGTTTTATTTAAGTGCACATAATGTGTCATGTAAAAACCTACTAAAATCTGCACATCAAGAAAATAAAGGAAAAGGAAACCCACAGAGCAGCGTGTGAGATTCTTACGAGCGATGAATGGGAAGCAGCTGCTCCGAGACTCTCAGTGAAGCTGAGGATACATTCAAATGTTTACAAACTTTTTGAACACATAAACATAGAAAGGGGCAGATTTACACTTTAAGAACCAACTACTGCTACTTCAATCAATTTATTTGTATAGCACAGTTCATACAAAAAACTCAAAGTGATTCACTTTGACAACATTTAAAAGCAAAAATCTATAAATTAAAATGTGACAACAGTTTAAACTGGAACAACTTTAGTGTCCTGTGTCTGTTGATGCAGTGGTACCATATTCAGTCAGTGTGTTTGTGTCGTTGTGATAGGATTCATTGTTGTCTCGAATCAGTTGACCCAATGGCAACAGATATTGAAAAGAAAGGGGCCCATCATTGATCCTTGGGGCACCCCATTAAGGCCATGTGGTCTGAGGTCCAAGTCCAGAGTTCTGCAGAGACTCATACTCGTGGCAGGAAGTGTGTCATGGACATGGTGGGGGCCACGCGGTTGCCTCTCTTGGTCTTCCCGGTTTTTCCGATGCCGATGTACATTCCCGGATGTGCTGCCGACTCGTACGTGTTGTAGTTGTTGGCTTGAAGTTTTTCTTTGAAGTTACATTCCTCCTGGTAGTGGTCCTGAGACGACAAAGGGTTCATCTTTAAATACATCTAACTATACTATACATTAGATCTGTATTCTAATGTATAACTGTTAGACTAGTTTAATATTAACACAATCAACGGGATTTCAAAACAATCTTTTAAATGTCAGTTTTCCACCAGTTTGTTAAAAGTAACTTAAACTGCTTTGTGAAACTTGAATTACTGTAAAAACAGTTTGTTGAAAGAATCCTAAATGCTGTAAGTAAAGTTTCTATAGTAGCTAGCGCTTCACCGAGTTGATTCCATCTAGTACCAGAGACCGGTCGGGTACCAGAGACCGGTCGGGTACCAGAGACCGGTCGGGTACCAGAGACCGGTCGGGTACCAGAGACCGGTCGGGTACCAGAGACCGGTCGGGGACCAGAGACCGGTCGGGGACCAGAGACCGGTCGGGGACCAGAGACCGGTCGGGGACCAGAGACCGGTCGGGGACCAGAGACCGGTCGGGGACCAGAGACCGGTCGGGGACCAGAGACCGGTCGGGGACCAGAGACCGGTCCGGTCGAGTACCAGAGACCGGTCGGGTACCAGAGACCGGTCGGGTACCAGAGACCGGTCGGGTACCAGAGACCGGTCGGGTACCAGAGACCGGTCGGGGACCAGAGACCGGTCGGGGACCAGAGACCGGTCGGGGACCAGAGACCGGTCGGGGACCAGGAGATGCTGTATCCTCCATAGATTATATGATCATTTCTTGTGTTACATAAATTAAAGAAAATGACATATAAATGAACATAGAGAGGCAGATGTGTCCTCCAGCAGGGGGCGCACTTACAGAACCGTAGAGTTTCCCGCGGGGGCTCATGGCGATGAACAAACCGCTCCTCACTCCAAATAAAGTCACGACGCCTCTGGACACGGGCGAGATCTCCACCTGCGCTGCTCCAAACACACACACACACACTGTGGATCAGTCCCCAGAAACACAACAGTACATCAGAGCTGCAGTCAGAGCTGCACCCAGTACACAGAGCCCCTCACTGATCCTCCTGCTGAGTCCTGTGGACTCAGCACCTTACAGAGCAGCAAAGTGGGGTTGCCCAAGGACACAACAACAGTTGTCCTCAGTGGGAGTCGTGAAGTAGGTCTTACAGTGGGCTCGAACCCACGACCTTCAGGCCCAAAGGCCAATGCTCTACCAACTGAGCCACTGTTGCCCAGATTTTGATATTGCAGATTTATTCAATACATTTCTATATAACTATAAAATGTTCTTTACAATTTGATCAGAAAAAGATCTTGCCTTTTGCACAGAGACTGATAAATATTGGAAATGCAGTTTTAAGGAAACAAATATCGAAGTTTGATTTAGTCGAGCCTCTGATTGGTCACTGAGCAGAGTCCCCTGAGTGTTAGCAGCAGTACTCACTGTAAGGGCCCTCATCGTGAGCTCCTGTGATCTGTCCGTTGGGAGACACCTGCAGGTGGAAGCCGATGCCCACGTTACAGTACAGTCTCCGGATCCGCTTTATTCCCAGCAGGTAGTCCTGGTCCCACTGACTGGCATCTCGTTTGTCCCAGGGGCCCATGATGGCTGACATGAAGGGCCCCTGGCTGTGTGTGTGTGCTCTTCTGCTACTGTGGACACAACCAAACACACAGCCCAGGAGCACTGAGGACCAGACCCACGGGACCTGAGGCCCCTGGACACACGCTCTGAGCCTCATCGTCCAAGAAGGAAAAGTGGAAAATGGTTTTGACGTCAGATCAAAGGATGAAGGAACAAAAAGTTGTTTTTTGTCAACATTTTCCTCATTTCTAGTCACAAGAACTGAGCTTGTAGTTTGATTCAATGGGAGCGCGGGTCCATATTTATGTGCGGTGTGTGCCTACATCACAGAGGCCTGCTGTGTGTGACATCACAGGGCTCTGAGTCAGCTCCACGTCACTCCGCTGCAAACATGGACTCCAAGTTTATATCAGACACAAGACTAGAAAACTAATCCTGCACTGCAGAAAGGGATGAATAAAAGGTCAAACATTTCTCAAATTTGGCAAAATGTTTGTTTTCATGAATATAAAATTTTTACAATTTCAAAACCATTGTTTACAAAGCCATTGTCATTGTTGCATTTCCTGTCTCTGAACTTTTTGATTCTGGTGAATATAACAATATAAATATTCCTGTTCCAAATGCTGTCAAGTAAACCGTGTGTTGCTCTGGGACATGAGCTGAGGATTTACACTTCCTACAGCAGTCACATTGACTGCTGTAGGAAGTGTAGGAAGTAGAAGAATTTTTACAAAGCCAGGGCGACAGTAGCTCAGTTGGTAGAGCATTGGCCTTAAGGCCTGAAGGTCGTGGGTTCAATTCCCACCTTAACACCTTCTCCACCGACTCCCACTGATGACTGCTGTTGTTGTGTCCTTGGGCAAGACACTTAACCCCACTTTGCCCAAAGCCCCCACTGAAAGATCAAGGCTATGCTCACACTCAGAGAGCAGCCGTCCTCCTGTGGACTCACCACCTGCAGAGGGTCAGTGAGGGGCTGGTGCTATGAGACTTGGGTGGCATCTCTGACTGTCACCCCCCTGACCCAGAAATGGATTAAAGGGTAGAAAATGGATGGATGGATGGGTTTACAAAGCCTATTTTATAAACGCAATAATAAACTATTTAAAAAAATATTTCCTAACTTAATAAATGCAACTTTTTATTTGTTGCGGTTCCATGAGTTCCTGAGGTCAAACACAGATCCACAGGATACAGCATCTTTACCGTGCACCTGTGCATCCGGCGCCACGTCCTGAGGCTTTGTTTTATTATTGTTCATCTCAAAGAAAACTTCCTCGCACCGGTCCACAACATGCAGCGTCCTTTTGGGCTGAACACATCGAAACAAACCCACAGGAGCAAATCTGTCCTTCACAGACCGATGCATGTGCTATGTGACCATAGATCTACACCAGAGGAGTCAAACTCATTTTGGGACCCAGAACGTTTTTTGACATGACTTTTATGTGACGTGAGTTTCCCTGTTATTTTCAGGTTGATTTTCCTCAAAACAAAATGTGTTTCTTGTTTAGATTTAACTAAAACCAAATATAAAGTTACTCACATTGTTTCATATTTAACTTCTGATGATGTGTTGGATTAACATTTTAGAATCAATTAAATTTGTTTTTTCCCTAATAAATTAAAGGTGTATCACATCCCTTGGTTGCCCATTATCATAAAAAAAATGTAGGGGCCACGGCCGAAGAAGCTGTTTTGTCTCACTTCACATCATTTCTATTTCTCAGAAGTTTCGAGTGAATGAGGTAAAAATTCTGCGTGGGGTTCGCCGCAGAATTGAAAACGCTTCTCGAACTCTAAATAAGTCTGATTGGATGAGATGTGGTCCACATTGTGTCCACAGGAGACAGGACATGATGCAGACGTCCCGCTGCTGAGAGGGGCCAAACATCACAGCAGGCTCCCACATGACGCACTGGGTGTCAGGAGCAATCACCTGCACTGAGGCACCAGCACCACGGCCACGGGAGCCACAGGAGCCACGGGAGCCACAGGAGCCACAGGAGCCACAGGAGCCACAGGAGCTGACACTGTTAGCATGTTAGCATCGACAAACTACTGAATACCATGCAACAACCCCAACTGGTTTCTATCAGATCTAGTTCCAACACGTATCACTTCTCATTAACACTTTATATAATTAAATGTATTTACAGCATAGTTCAGCTCACTTCACCGCCGTGCATGAAATGTCTGTAATGTGACATGTTTTGAGTGTTGTTTGGTGCATCACCCACATTATTATCACACATGTAGAAGAGCGACGTACGGGACAAGAGCGTGGACACAGGAGCTGCTTTCACTGGGGCCTCGAGCTCAACACCGAGTAGACTTTTGTCCAAGTGAAAGCCAAACCTGACCCAAACCCGACCTGCTCCTTAGTCTCAGGGACCTATCCCCACATGGTCTGGAAGTGCCTGGTCCCTGCTCCCCACTGGTCCTTCTGTTGAATGACTTTAACACACACATGGTACTGTCTGTGAGGGAGCACCTTTACCAAGTGCAACAGTGCATTAGAACCCCCATGAAGTATTTTCCTTCATATTTTTGTCATTTGTACAGATTTTTGTTTTTGTTTCTGCACTGGATTTATGTGTTTGAGTGTTTGTGTGTTTCTGTGTTGTCCATGTTTGTTGGACTTGAAGGAACAAACATAAACATGACATCATCTCCATTAGTCATGGAGCTGCCTGCTGAGGACAAAGGACGCAGGGGGCAGGAATCAAACCAGCAACCTCCATGATTACTCACTGCCTCAAAGACTGGAGGAATGAGATGTGGGCTCCATCCGTTTGATCATCCTTCTGTTTACAGTTGTTGTGTTTTAGTGCATTGAAACAAAGTTACAGAAGTCAAAGCAAAGTTCATTTCCCTTGTTCCTCTCTGTTCTTTATGTTTATTGTTCTAATTCAAATCAACTTGATTTATTTGTGTATTGCCCTAAATCACAACAGTAGTTACTCAGAGGACTTTACAAAGTTGTCAATTTGCCAACACAGTTCAGAGAATCAAACAGGTCAAATACAATAAATGCAATGATAGAAAACACAGAGACTTTGGTCCATAAGGGGCAGAGTCCAACGTCCATAAATATTTATAAATGTGGAGTGTCCTGGATCAACAGGTGCCTTCTGTATCAGAGGAAGTACTCTAAAAACTCAGCCAGGACTGAGGCTGTAGATCCAGGACTGAGGCTGTAGATCCAGGACTGAGGCTGTAGATCCAGGACTGAGGCTGTAGATCCAGGACTGAGGCTGTAGATCCAGGACTGAGGCTGTAGATCCAGGACTGAGGCTGTAGATCCAGGACTGAGGCTGTAGATCCAGGACTGAGGCTGTAGATCCAGGACTGAGGCTGTAGATCCAGGACTGAGGCTGTAGATCCAGGACTGAGGCTGTAGATCCAGGACTGATAATGTAGACCCAGTCCAGGACCAGCACATTGGAAAGAAGAGGCTTTAAATTCCATAGAATATTTGTTGCAAAGACTCTGATAAGTCGAAATGTGCTTTCAAATGAACGCTCTGGGAGTCCCACGCACATGAAACCCCCCCCCAAAAAACAAAAAAAAAACATGAAAAGTTATGATCAAACATGTGCATGAGCAGTTGTTACACTTCCAAAACTATAAGCAGTCAGATTGACTGCTCTGGGAGTCAGAGTGAAGGCTTCAGCAGGTGGTGTGGCACGTGACCAAACGGTCGGGGATCGCTGCTTTACTGTGACGTATTTACCGAAGGAGCGTGAGGCGGAAGTGACGTCAGTGCCAGCGCTGTTGTTTACAGCTGAGCTTAAGGCTAGCACAGAGGCTAGCACTGTAGCTAGCACAGATCAGGTGTAAGAGCTGGACAGGAGCAGACAGGAGCCCATGGAGACCACAGGGAAGAGGACAGCTACCCGCCCCCGTGACGACCTTCTACAACGCGCCGATTGGCTGTGAGAGCGTCTTCATCATGTGGCTCAAGCTCCTCTTCCTCAGCCTCTACCTGCTGCTGCTGTTCGTGCTCGCTCGGCTGCTGGAGGCTGGGGCTGGGGGGGTGCTCGCCTCACAGCTGGTGGATCCTGTCACTCTCAGTTACCACAAGCTCCGGACCATCCTGGAGGCGCGGGGCCTGGCCTACTCCCGCCGCGCCCGCAAACAGGACGTCCAGGAGCTGGTGGAGAAGTCAGGTACAGTCCTGCACAGAACCAGGCCTGGACCAGCACCAGGAGAATTACACTGGTCCCACCGCGGGCCTCAGCCTGACAGCAGCACACAATACCACTTAACTCCAGAGCAGTCTCTTTGACGGCTTTTCGTGTTGGAAGTGTCATTACTGCTTATGTACATTTTGGTCTTCATAACTTTGTGACTTTTCTGTTTCTAGATGTACTTTATTTAGCTAGCTTTGTAGTTTATTTAGCCAGCTTTGCGATTTTTTGAGATTTTTTTTGGAGATACGAATAAAGGACCTCTAATCTTGATCTTAATAGTTTCAGAAAGTGTACAATTAGAATAGTGTACTACTGGAGTCTTGTAAGTAATGTTATTCCAAGCCCCAAGTTTCTGACTATAGCCCCGTTTCCACCAGCCCTACTCCTACTCCTGGTCCTTCTTTAGTGCCTCTTGGTCCTGGTACTGGTACTATCCAGGTCGAGCAGGTATTAAAGTGTTCTTACTGTCAGTGATTGGCCAGAGTGCTGCTAGAAGCCAGGGTTACCAAGGAATTTCCCCGGGTACTGGTTTGTTGTGGGTAGGTTACTAGGATATGGTACCAAATGCTAAAGCGTAATGGAAATGAAACCTGGTGGAAATGGGGCTATTGAGCACTGAAACAATAAAGTCACATTTGGGTGCAATGGAAATGACTGCGTTGAACCATAAAACCATCTGGAGAGACCATCAATCATATGTTGTTGTATTTTACTCAGTGGATATATTTATACTTGGATTGCAAAATTAACAGCAGAGCAATAATTTGTTATAGAAATCCCTTTTCCACCAAAGTACTGATTCTGGGCTGTTTCCGTGGATGTTTCTAACCCTCGTCTAAACCGGTGCCCAGTAGGATGTGGTTTTTATTTATTGTTTTTTCTGTCTCATTAATGTATGCAAATATGTGGTTATAGGTGATTTGTCGCAGGCGGAGCTGTACTCTGCCGTAAAGAAGGAGAAGGAGCCTGAAGCAGACGGCGTCACTGACTTCAGTGGAGAGCTGCACTTCTACGAGTTGGTGGAGGACACTAAAGACGGGATCTGGCTGGTTCAGGTGAGGCCGGCTCAGCTTCCTGTCCCATGGCGGGTTCTTAGATAGACACAAAGACAGATACATCGATACATAGATATGGTCCCATTATTATTACTGCATTATTACATCCATCTGATACCTCTGCCATTCACTAGTCACTTTACCTACTGATATTTTGTACTATTGTTTATTCTGTTCATATTCTCTGCTGCTAAAGTACAATATACACATCTGTAAATACTTCTGAACCAAGTGCAATTATAGCCCCAGAGTTTTATATTATTTTATTCTATTTTACCCTCTTATTATTTTGATTCTATTGTCTATTATCCTAAATGATAGACTCTGTGTGCAATCTGAGTGCTCTAGTTCCTTCTTTCTCTGCTGTAATGTGCAACGATGAAACTGAAATTTCTCAGTGTAATTGTAAAGAGGTCTCAGGATGGACCTCTTCATCACTCAGGTCTCTCTCACCTCCTCCTCTTCATCACCCAGGTCCCTCTCTACTCTGTTCTCTATCCTCTGTGAGACGAATACTGGAATATCTTACATAGATGGATGGATACATAGATACATAGAGAGAATGATGACAGATGATGATAGATGGATCCCTGTAGGAGAAATGAGGGTGTCCAGCAGCAGAAACGCATCCATCCAAACAAAGAATTACATAAATGTCTAAGTGACTAACAATAGTAATAAAGCAGCAGCAGAGGTGGTGTAGCCGCTGAGGAGCCGCTGAGGAGCTGCTGAGGAGCTACTGGTGTCTGAGTCTGTGTTGGTGCATTTGGCTCCATCACTGTTGGTCTGACGTCTCTCACTACAATTATATCAACCACAAATCCTTTTAAATGGTAATAATTAGGCTCAGTATATTGTGTGATGTCACACGACCACCATGCTAACTGTGTGATGTCACATGACCACCATGCTAACTGTTCTGTAGGTGGTGGCTCAGGGCAGAGCGGCGCTGCTCGGTCAGTCCAGCTGGAGGACGATGGTGAAGAGAGTTTCTCAGTTTGGCATCAGAACTGGAATATTCAACTGCTCTAATGATTACAGGTACATGTCGTTTCTATATCTAATAATAATTTATAATAGCAATAATAATCCATCCATCCATTTTCTACCCCTTAATCCATTTCTGGGTCCGGGGGGTGGTAGTCAGTGATGCCACCCAAGTCACATAGCACCAGCCCCTCACTGATCCTCTGCAGGTGGAGTCCACAGGAGGACGGCTGCTCTGTCAGTGAGAGCAAAGCCTTGATCTTTCAGTGGGGGTTTCAGGCAAAGTGGGGTTAAGTCTCTTGCCCAAGGACACAATGACAGCAGACATCAGTGGGAGTCAGTGGAAAAGGTCTCATGGTGCGCTTGACCATGACCTTCAGGCTCAAAGGCCAATGCTCTACCAACTGATCCACTGTCGCCCCATAGTAATAATAATAATAATAATAATAATAATATTATATATTTTATTTATGATGCACATTACACTCCCTCCATAAACACCTGTGCTACAACTGCTTTATTTGAACTCAGCTCTGAAGCAACAGCAGCTGTTTTTGAGGACTCTACAAAGTTGTTGATTTGTCAACGACAGCTCAGAGAATCATACAGAGGAAATGCAATGATATCAAACACATGGAGACCACTGTCACATGACCACTGTCACATGACCACTGTCACATGACCACTGTCCTCTGACTCCTGTATGTGTGTGAGTCCTGGTGTGTGTCTCCTTGTACAGGTCGTGTGTCTCCGGTGGTGTGATGGTATGTGTGTTTCCTGGTACAGGTGGTGTGATGGTATGTGTGTTTCCTGATACAGGTGCTGTGATGGTATGCGTGTTTCCTGGTACAGGTCGTGTGCGCGCCGGGGCTGGCACCGCTCCACCCTCATCATGTCGGTGCCTCAGACCTCGGCGTCCAAAGGCAGGGTGGTGCTGAAGCAGTACAGCGGCGCCTCCACAGACGCGGAGCAGACGTGGCGCTGGCTCACGGAGCAGCTGTCTCAGCAGATCCTGACTGTGAGCAGCTCTGAGCAGCTGCTGCACCAGTGGCACTCGGACCAGGACGTCAAGATGTTCCTGTTCGCTCCTCTGCCGCAGCCGCCCGCCTTCTTCTCCTCGCTCTCCGTCAGGTTCACGGGTCGCATCAAGTTCATCTTTGTGAACGTCTGCTGCTGGAGGAACCACAGCCGCCTGGCCGAGATCGGAGTCACGCGAAGTCCTGCGTACGTCCTGAAGACGCCTGAGGGGGTGTACTGGTACGGGAGCAGGTAAACACACTGGACACGCAGGACTTTTGTTACAAGTGCATTATAAACGTATCTACAGTATATGTGTGTGTGTGTGTGTGTGTGTGTGTGTGTCTCTGCTTCAGTCCTGGGGAGATCCTGTCAGTTTCTGCTATGGACACGTTCCTTCGATCCATTCAGCCTGAAGTCAACGATGTGTTTGTGCTCAGTCTGCTGCTCATCAACCTGCTGGCCTGGATGGACCTCTTCATCACTCAGGTCTCTCTCACCTCCTCCTCTTCATCACTCAGGTCCCGCTCTCTATCCTCTCTCATCTGTCCACTCTCCTGTCCTCTCTTCTCTTTCCTCTATCCAGTGCTCTCTTCTCTCTTCTCCTCTCTCCTCTGTCCTCTCTCCTTTCCTCTCTCCTGTGCTCTCTCTTCTCTTGTCTCCTCTCTCCTCTGTCCTATGCCCTCTGTCCTCTCCTCTGTTCTCTCTCCTCTCTCCTTTGTCCTCTAAGTCACATACATTGTCTTGCCAAACTATTCACTGCAAAACATGATAAAATATGAGGTAATAATAGTTTGAATCCAGTGTTTTAACGTAGTAAAAATCAGTTATTACCTGTTTTTGCAAATGAACATATAAAAATGCGATACTATTGGGTTACTGCTTGAACTACGGCATATTGTATTGTGTTACAACCACAAAAATATTTTATTTTCCATATTATACTGAAAGACCACGAGGTCACACAACTGTGAGGTGAAAGCATAATGCTGCACAATTTTGTTAGTAAAATAAACGTTGGGTACACTAGGAGTTAGTATTGTGTAGAAACCCCAGCTCCTGATGTCCTGTGTTTGGCTCCCCTTACCATCAACTCTTCCCTGTCCCTGCTGAAGAAATGCAGCCCAATAACATGATGCTACCATCCCCATATTTGATACTGGAGATGACCAGTGTTCGTCTCAGCAGCTTCTTCCACATATTTTTTCTTGTGGCTTTATTTCAACACTGACTTTCTATTTCCCACTTTGTCCAGTTGTGTGTAGTGTATTAGTTGAGCTCTGGATGTCTGCTGCGCTTCCAGAGTAACCATTGGCCTCGTGTCTGCATCAGTATTGTTTGAGGGCAGATAGAAGAGTCTTGGCTGATTTGCAGTGTCCCATTCTCTTCAATCAGTTACTTGGAAATGGAAGCATCTGTGAGATGTTCAAAGCTTTGGAAATGCTTATTAAAGTTATCCATGCTTCAAATGTTCCAAATTATCCTCTCTGACCCCTGACCTCTGTGGTGTCTCCTTGTCCTTCATGATGCTGTTTAGTGACCACTACACTCTGAGGCCTCCCAGAGCAGCTGTGTTTATACTGAGTAGGTCACACACAGGTGGACTCTGACAGTTGTGAACATTCAGCTTCATTGCGAACGTTAACTTAAACACACTCAGAAACACGCTGCACTTGTCTATGTTTAACAATAGACACTTCACAGTTGCTTGTGTGTGAATTTTCAGTAAAAACATCCAAATAAACCATAAAATCTTCATGTTTCTGGCTGTAAACTTTACAGACTGTTCTTTCCAGAGTCACTGTATGTTCTTCATCTTGTTGCAGGGAGCGACTGTCAAGCGCTTTGTGGTTCTGATCCGAACACTCGGGACGTACAACTGCATCCTCCTGGTGTCGTGGCTTCCAGTTCTGGTATGTTCTGTCTCCTAACGTCGCTCTGACGGCTGCTGAGCATGAATGTTGTCTCAGTTGCATTCATTCATTCAACAGTAAAGCCTCAATCAGGGTTCGAATTAGTTGTTTGATTTAAAAAAAACCTGAATGTTTGTCCTGCAGAAACCGCATTAAAACAAAAACTACAATAAGCCCCTCCCCCATCGACCTGTGTATTAAATCCAGTGCTGTCTGTGCTGTGTCCCTAGGCTCTCCTGCAGCTGCCGTACCTGGACTCCTTCTACAGCTACAGTCTGAAGCTGCTGCGATACGCCGACACCACACGGATGGTGTGTCTGGTGCGCGCAGACTGGACCTTCTACTCGTCTCACCCCACCCTCTTCCTGTCCACGTACTTGGCCCATGGTTTATTGGTGGATTTCTTTGAGAAGAAGCGTCGCTGTAGCACGAGGAGCCAGGAGGAGGGCAGCACAAACCTGGAGTGGTTAGCGAGTCTGTGGGAATGGTACAGCTCCTGCCTGCTCCCCATCACCTCCCTGCACTCCGACTCCGAGTGGGACGAGGACACCAACTTCCTGTTTGAACGATTAGCCTTTCCTGATCTTTGGTTACGCCCTCTTGTGAACCTTGACTATATAAAACATTTGCCTGTGTGGAGGTTTGCGGGTGCTCCCAGTGTAGACGCACACACTGCAGAGGACAGGAGCTCCGGCTCAGAGTCTGAGGACTACCCCCAGCTCTGTGATTGGTCGGTTTGGCCCCAGAATATTCTCCATTGCTCAGAGTGTGTTGTGTGTTTAGAAAACTTTGTGAATACAGAGCTGTTGATGGGTCTCCCCTGTGGCCACGCCTTCCACGAGAGCTGCATCGTGGTGTGGCTCGCAGAAGGTCAGCACTGCTGCCCCGTGTGTCGCTGGTGCAGCTACAAGAAGAAGAGGGCGACAACAGCTCCCTCCACTGTCCCCTCTGAGCCCCCCCTCTGTGGCCACCTGACCCCCCTGACCCACCTACCACCTGACCCACCTACCATCTGACCCACCTACCACCTGAACCACCTACCATCTGACCCACCTTCCACCTGACCCCCCTGACCCACCTACCACCTGACCCCCCTGACCCACCTACCATCTGACCCACCTTCCACCTGACCCCCCTGACCCACCTACCATCTGACCCACCTTCCACCTGACCCACCTACCACCTGACCCACCTACCATCTGACCCACCTTCCACCTGACCCCCCTGACCCACCTACCATCTGACCCACCTTCCACCTGACCCCCCTGACCCACCTACCATCTGACCCACCTTCCACCTGACCCACCTACCATCTGACCCACCTTCCACCTGACCCACCTACCATCTGACCCACCTTCCACCTGACCCACCTACCACCTGACCCACCTTCCACCTGACCCCCCTGACCCACCTGACCCCCCTGACCCCCCTGACCCAGCAGCTCTTCTACCTGTAGTAGCTCAGATTGATGGTTACATTTTTGATACTAATTTATCTCTATTTGAAACGTCTTATTTGATCTTTACATAATTCTCCGTCGTGAGCTAAATCGCTGTGAGCATAAAGACCCTGTACCTGGAAAAAACACTGCAGTCTTTTCTTCACCGCAATGAATAAAGTTCCTGCAAAGTGAAGCTGAACGAGGGGTTTCAATAAACAACAACAACTGCAGCAAAGGATAATAATGCATCAGTTTTATAAAGCACTTTCAGGATAAACTACTTCTGTAGCCACAGCTGCCCTGGGACACACTGACAGAAGTGAGGCAACCAGTCTGTGCCATCGGCCCCTCCCACCACCACCAACCATTCACACACACACCAGACTCATTCTAATGTGGGTGAAGTGTCTTGCCTAAGGGCACAATCACAGTTTGGCATTTTACAGCCACAGCCGCCCCACTGTGGCACCTGGTGGTCCCAGAGGTCTCCCATCACAGTACTTACCAGGCTTTGCCCTGCTTAGCTTCCAAAGTTTCCCATCACAGAATTAATTTCAATGTATTTGTGTATCGCCCTAAATCACAGCAGTCGTCTCAGAAGACTTCACAAAGTTGTTGATTCACCAACTTAGATCAGAGAATCAAATGGTTTGAATTCAGTAAATACAATAATAACAAACACTTAGAGCCATAGGTCCTTAAGGAGCGGCTCGACCACTGCATCTGTTTACAGTTTATGTCACCGTCATGACCAGCAATTTGGACACAGCCCTGTGTTTGTGGATCATCTTCATCTGCAGCAGGTCTTTATAGTTTTAAGCTTTTTACAGGTATTTGCACCTGTGGACTGGTCTCCAGGCCAGTCCTGGGTCTCCAGCCTCAGTCCCGGACCTACAGTCTCAGTCCTGGGTCAACAACCTCAGTCCTGGGTCTACAGCCTCAGTCCTGAGTCTACAGCCTCAGTCCTGGACCAAAAGCCTCAGTCCTGGGTCTACAGCCTCAGTGTTATGATGATCCAAGACCAGAGGATGAATCCAAACCAAACCCTTCCATGAGACCAGAATGAGTTTAATCTCATCCTCTTCACTGATGTCACTGTCAAATCATTCCAATATATAACAAATTATATATTATATATATATATATATATATATATATATACACAGTATATGATATATTATACATATATGCGTAGCGGAGGGGTCCGCCCTGAAGGTACTAAGAATATGTAAGGGATAATGTATATTACGCAGGTCATTATCGGAAAATAAGTACCTTAAGGGTGAAGCGGACTGCTTACGCCCTGAAGATAATGCCCTGCGTACTACATTATCCCGCTTATTATACGTGTTTGTACCAACAGAGCACACAAAATAAACTTCAGTCCACTTTTATGAATGTCAAAAGGTTTATTTAATGACTGCAAATAAAATAAGTAACAGTTAGGCTAGCAACAGTTAGGCTAGTAACTTCAAAACTAGAACTCTGCATGAAAACGGAACAAAGAATTCTGACCATCAGCGGTGAGTGACCCAAATATAAACTTAACCTAAATCCATAATGTGATTCTCTGAAAATTTGTCTTAAAATGTTTAATTTATGTTAATGATTACTTCCGGGTTTACCGCTGCTGCTTTTTGTCACATTAAAATAGTATTTTTGTCATGAAAACCTTAACAGATAATTCTGAAAACCTCTGTGCATGTGTGTTAAGAATGTATATGTATAATGTATTCTCCGATTAACATTTAAATGTGTGGATTGAGCGTGGCTAGCTCCGATAGCGTCTCTCACAGAGACAGTAGCGATGAAGTGGCCGGAACTACTTGCGGAGTAATCTACACATCTGAATTACAAGCAGAGGGTGCGTTGCCAAAGGGCAGCGGTCATTGTTTTGAGAGGTCGGTTATCACGAAATAATGACCGGTAGAACGTTTTGAAATTATATTCAAATCAATGGAGCGTTCTACTGCTGCTGTGAGGAGCTGTGTAATAAATATATATACATTATTATTATTATTATAATTTTCAGAATTAACGTATTTCCTAATTACCCAAATTCTGAGAAGTCACGGAGTACATTCTAAAATACATTTGAGGCACGTGCCATTTCTCTTTTCAGACATGCACAAAACCTTACTCTGTATTTATATTAAAACTAACTAAGAAAATAAAAACAAAGATGGAATATTAGCAACATAGAGAGTAACTACACACACGCACATAAACTACACACATGCACATAGACTACACACACACACACACACACACGTTTTTGTTACCTGGTGGGTCCCTTTGACAGGGCCGTTCAGAATGGGACCCATAGACATAATCTTTTTTTACTGGGACTACTTTAAGTAATACAAAACAGTCAATAGAAACCAAACAACTATTTTAAAGGAATTTTATTTTAGATTTTTTTTTCGAATTGCAGTGATTCTATTTTTGACATAGAATTTAATGCCACTCCATGTCCGATGTCTAAGGTCATCTGGTGAGGCATTAATGCAGGCCAGGCAGTGAGACTTCCCAGGGACCTTTCCAGTCTGTATGAAAGGTGTCATGGTCTTCTCCACAGCCTTCACCTCAGATGCAGACCATGGCTTTCTTACACGTTCTAGGGAGAGAAATACAAATATATTAGCAATATACACTCCCAGGGTTAGGACCAAGCAGCCTGGCTGTAATCCCCCACCTGGTACACTTACCAGAAGGGGCACTGCCACTACCATGGGGTGCATCTGGATGAATGGTTGAAGGTTCTCCGCTTGAAGTTTCTTTTAGCCCGTCCGTTTGTGAGAGGATCTCTACTGCTCTCCCTGTCGCACAGAAAATAAAAATACAAGTGGCCTTTAGGGGAAAAAAATCATACATATTTTAATAATATCAAGAATTACCTTCAGGCTCAATTTGTATCTGGTCGAGGCTCTTTCCTTTGAATTCCGTCACTCTTCCCTGCTCCATGGCCATCAACACTTTGCTGATTTTGGCCAGCTCCAGTGTCCCCTCTGGTAGTCTGTAATATTGCCTGTGGATGCGAATGTCATGGCCGAGGAAGTTGGCAAGTATGTCCATCTCATGCTCTTTCATATTGAGAACTGTAGACATAGTAGCTATGTGCTTTCTAAGTTTGGTTGAGGATAGCATCTCTGGATGCACCGCACCACATTCTTTGGCTACCTGGCGTAGGGAGTCTGATCCCCTGATGTGGGTGTCTGCGCCCGGGCGGGAAAAGAAGTATGGGTTATGGTCAGAGATGGAACAGGCCCTTCTGTTTTCCACCAGCACCTCCATCCAAGCAATCATTTCAGGAGTCAAAAGAACCGGCACTTTCCGACTTCTTTTCCCTTTAATTTCAATGCGTTGAAAATGCTGACACAGCTTTTTCTCAAGTTGGGACAGTCCCAGAGCAATGTCAGAATGGATCCCAGTCTTACTTCTTAAGGTAAAGGCTGTCAGTGGCATCTTTGAAACCTCACCTTCCCTTCTTCGATTGAAAATAATGACCTCACAAAGAGTCAAAACTGCCAGTTTAGACCAATGCTTAGACGGTGGCTCACTTATTAGGGTTTGCACATATTCAGGTCGACATACCTCAATATGTGCATGCATGGCTCTAACGTCCTCAGTCAGAGGGAGCAGGTCCGGAGTGTTCCACTTGGCTTGCCGGAGGGTCTGTAGGGCAGCAGAAGAAACACAGACGTCCCACCTCTTCTCAAAAAGCAGCCGGCTTCGTTGGAGGTTTTTAATAAATAGTTCATCAACACAATGCTCCATTTTTGAGTCACATTCAAGAATATCTGCTAGCTTTCTGAGGCTATGGCCGAGTTTGAGGGCCAAGGATGGAGTCTTGTATTGATTTGTTTCCTCATCATATCCAGCCACAGACCTGACTGCATCAATCACATGGTTAAAGTTGGAAGGAATAAAGAAATCCTTAATTGTTTTCAGTTTCCCTGCAGTTTTTGCTTCGTTAATTAACCTACCGACTTCTCTCATTTTCTGCCTAATGTAATCATGCTTAGTCTTATCATGCCCGTGTTTTAAGTACATGTGCTCTCCGAGTCTCAGAATCCCCTTTTCTGCTTTGACAACACCCGTGACCTCATCCTGATGCATTGCCGAACTTAAAGACCACAGCTTTTTGCTGATGCCCTCCGGTACAGGCTGGGCTAGGGAGCAGAGGGACTGGACCCTACTTCTACCTGGTTTAGCCTGGGCATCTTTCTGTGAAAGCCGGCACCTGGCCACATGCCTCCACAGCGACTTTCGCTTAAGCAATGCCCCACAGTCTATACAGTGCAAAAACTCACTGGATTTAACTGGGGAATTTGGCTGTTTAGCTGGGACTAAAGTTCCAATGCTGGCCTTTAAAACCTCAAAATTGTGCTCACGGTTTCCACTATTCCTGCTATCAAATCAAACTGAAGTTTACGTGCTTTAGATTTCACAGGTAGAGCCAATGCTCTGGCTACGTCACTTTCATTTCCATATTTTGTGTGTGTTTGTGTCTGTACGTGTGTGTGTGTGTGTGTGTATGTGTCTGTACGTGTGCACTTGTTTTCAACTCCTGGTGGGTTCCATAACCTGAGATTCCACTCACGTCATGGGGACTGGTTTTACGTGGTGGGGCCCGAACACCGGACCCCACTGGTCCAAGCTTAATAATCAATGGGTAATGCTTTTCTAACGGTCCTTATGCAGTCTCTGTAAAAATATGGAAAGGACCCCTGGAGGTTTACTTTCCTGAAAAAAGTGTGTTATGTGTCGGAACCCTGGTGGTGGGTTGCGGGATATCAAGGAGGGGCACACTGGGGCAATTTCAGTCCAGCAGGCTGGAGCCAATCATGGAGCAGCACAACAGAGGAAATCAGGTGTCAGGCTAGAAAAAGGTGCAAGTGTGTGGTTCATTAGGCTGCAGCCAATCACAGAGCAGCACACTGAAGCGCACGCTTACAAACCACTGGTAAGTGCTGACTACAAGTCATGACTTCAAATTGTTATATAGAATGATTACAAATTATTTGTCGTTTGTGCAGCTTAGTCAAGAGTCCCTAATTGATGAAGTCGACTCAGATTCTGACAATTTAACTGTCAAGAAGAAACCTGTAAAAAAGTATGGAAAAAGAAAAATCAAAGACACTTTTCTTCAAGACTCGGAAAGTGACGAACCAAAGGCAAATAAGATTGTTATCATGCAGCTGCAAAAGAAGAAAAATGGGGGGCGAGTTTATAGCAAGAGACACTTCTGCCTCTACTGTTCAATGTCCTGCCACAAAATGTCCCGTCATTTGACTAGAAAACATGGAAATGAAAGTGACGTAGCCAGAGCATTGGCTCTACCTGTGAAATCTAAAGCACGTAAACTTCAGTTTGATTTGATCAGGAATAGTGGAAACCGTGAGCACAATTTTGAGGTTTTAAAGGCCGGCATTGGAACTTTAGTCCCAGCTAAACAGCCAAATTGCCCAGTTAAATCCAGTGAGTTTTTGCACTGTATAGACTGTGGGGCATTGCTTAAGCGAAAGTCGCTGTGGAGGCATGTGGCCAGGTGCCGGCTTTCACAGAAAGATGCCCAGGCTAAACCAGGTAGAAGTAGGGTCCAGTCCCTCTGCTCCCTAGCCCAGCCTGTACCGGAGGGCATCAGCAAAAAGCTGTGGTCTTTAATTTCGGCAATGCATCAGGATGAGGTCACGGGTGTTGTCAAAGCAGAAAAGGGGATTCTGAGACTCGGAGAGCACCTGTACTTAAAACACGGGCATGATAAGACTAAGCATGATTACATTAGGCAGAAAATGAGAGAAGTCGGTAGGTTAATTAACGAAGCAAAAACTGCAGGGAAACTGAAAACAATTAAGGATTTCTTTATTCCTTCCAACTTTAACCATGTGATTGATGCAGTCAGGTCTGTGGCTGGATATGATGAGGAAACAAATCAATACAAGACTCCATCCTTGGCCCTCAAACTCGGCCATAGCCTCAGAAAGCTAGCAGATATTCTTGAATGTGACTCAAAAATGGAGCATTGTGTTGATGAACTATTTATTAAAAACCTCCAACGAAGCCGGCTGCTTTTTGAGAAGAGGTGGGACGTCTGTGTTTCTTCTGCTGCCCTACAGACCCTCCGGCAAGCCAAGTGGAACACTCCGGACCTGCTCCCTCTGACTGAGGACGTTAGAGCCATGCATGCACATATTGAGGTATGTCGACCTGAATATGTGCAAACCCTAATAAGTGAGCCAACGTCTAAGCATTGGTCTAAACTGGCAGTTTTGACTCTTTGTGAGGTCATTATTTTCAATCGAAGAAGGGAAGGTGAGGTTTCAAAGATGCCACTGACAGCCTTTACCTTAAGAAGTAAGACTGGGATCCATTCTGACATTGCTCTGGGACTGTCCCAACTTGAGAAAAAGCTGTGTCAGCATTTTCAACGCATTGAAATTAAAGGGAAAAGAAGTCGGAAAGTGCCGGTTCTTTTGACTCCTGAAATGATTGCTTCGATGGAGGTGCTGGTGGAGAACAGAAGGGCCTGTTCCATCTCTGACCATAACCCATACTTCTTTTCCCGCCCGGGCGCAGACACCCACATCAGGGGATCAGACTCCCTACGGCAGGTAGCCAAAGAATGTGGTGCGGTGCATCCAGAGATGCTATCCTCAACCAAACTTAGAAAGCACATAGCTACTATGTCTACAGTTCTCAATATGAAAGAGAATGAGATGGACATACTTGCCAACTTCCTCGGCCATGACATTCGCATCCACAGGCAATATTACAGACTACCAGAGGGGACACTGGAGCTGGCCAAAATCAGCAAAGTGTTGATGGCCATGGAGCAGGGAAGAGTGACGGAATTCAAAGGAAAGAGCCTCGACCAGATACAAATTGAGCCTGAAGGTAATTCTTGATATTATTAAAATATGTATGATTTTTTTCCCCTAAAGGCCACTTGTATTTTTATTTTCTGTGCGACAGGGAGAGCAGTAGAGATCCTCTCACAAACGGACGGGCTAAAAGAAACTTCAAGCGGAGAACCTTCAACCATTCATCCAGATGCACCCCATGGTAGTGGCAGTGCCCCTTCTGGTAAGTGTACCAGGTGGGGGATTACAGCCAGGCTGCTTGGTCCTAACCCTGGGAGTGTATATTGCTAATATATTTTTATTTCTCTCCCTAGAACGTGTAAGAAAGCCATGGTCTGCATCTGAGGTGAAGGCTGTGGAGAAGACCATGACATCTTTCATACAGACTGGAAAGGTCCCTGGGAAGTCTCACTGCCTGGCCTGCATTAATGCCTCACCAGATGACCTTAGACATCGGACATGGAGTGGCATTAAATTCTATGTCAAAAATAAATAATAAAATGGGCGGCACGGTGGCTGAGTGGATAGCACTCTCGCCTCTCAGCAAGAAGGTCCTGGGTTCGAATCCCGGTCGGACCAGGGCCTTTCTGAGTGGAGTTTGCGTGTTCTCCCCGTGTCTGCGTAGGTTTCCTCCGGGTACTCCGGTTTCCCCTACCACTAAAAATATGTCCAATAGTTCTAGCATGTGCCTCCTGTACTGGCCCCGCTCCCATCTCTGTGTGGAGTGAGAGACAAATGCCCAAAATTAACAATTGTAAACCGCTTTGAGACTCAGATCTGCAGTGAAAAGGCGGTATATAAATAAAAACTTACTTACTTACTTACTAAATAGAATCACTGCAATTCGAAAAGAAAAATCCAAAATAAAATTCCTTTAAAATAGTTGTTTGGTTTCTATTGACTGTTTTGTATTACTTAAAGTAGTCCCAGTAAAAAAAGATTATGTCTATGGGTCCCATTCTGAACGGCCCTGTCAAAGGGACCCACCAGGTAACAAAAACGTGTATGTGTGTCTGTGTGCGTGTATGTGTGTGTGTGTGTGAGTGTGTCTGTATGTGTGTGTGTGTGCCTGTGTGTACTTGTGTGTGATGGCTTGAGTTTGTGTGTGTGTGTATGTGTGTGTGTGTGTGCTGGTGGGTCCAGTAGAACCAGTGCAGCAGGATCCACAGTGATGTCATGAGAGTCTCACAAACACAGGCTCAGAGTCATGTGCCTCTGGGTCTGACACAATAAAACAAATGTTCATTTATGTAGGACACCATTTGACACCATCAACACCATCAACACCATCGACACCACCCGAGGACCATGGATACGGGACCAAAACCATTCAGATAAACAGTTACAGTGAATGAGGCCGTGCTGGGAGTGGGACAGCACTGAGGTGGATTACACAACACTTCAAATATTCTTGTTTCTGGGGATGCACCAATAACACTTTTTCAAATTCAATACGAGTACCTTCATTTGAGTACTTGCCGATACCAAGTACCGATACCACGTACCGATACGGGTACATTGTGTTATCCCTGGGAATTCATAAAACTCCATCCATCCATTTTCTTCCGCTTCATCCGTTGCCGGGTCGCGGGGCAGCAGTCTAAGCAGAGACGCCCAGACTTCCCTCTCCACACACACCTCCTCAAGCTCGTCCGGGGGGACTCCAAGGCGTTCCCAGGCCAGCTGAGAGAAATAGTCCCTCCAGCGTGTCCTGGGTCTTCCCCGGGGCCTCCTCCCGGTGGGACGTGCCTGGAACACCTCCCCAGGGAGGCGTCCAGGAGGCATCCTGAACAGATGCCCGAGCCACCTCAACTGGTTCCTCTCGACGTAGAGAAGCAGCGGCTCTACTCCGAGCTCCTCCCGTGTGACCGAGCTCCTCACCCTATCTCTAAGGGAGCGCCCAGCCACTCTGCGGAGGAAGCTCATTTCGACCGCTTGTATCCGCGATCTCGTTCTTTCGGTCATTACCCAAAGCTCATGACCATAGGTGAGAGAGGGAACGAAGATTGACCGGTAAATCGAGAGCTTTGCCTTTCGGCTCAGCTCCCTCTTTACCACAACGGTCCGATACAGCGACCGCATCACTGCGCACGCTGCACCGATCCGCCTGTCAATCTCACGCTCCATCCTTCCCTCACTCGTGAACAAGACCCCGAGATACTTGAACTCCTCCACTTGAGGAAGGACCTCTCCACCCACCTGTAGAGGGCAAGGCACCTTTTCCGGTCGAGCACCATGGCCTCAGATTTGGAGGGGCTGATTCTCGTGCAGCAAACACAATGCAGACTTTGAGATCAAAAATACAGGTTCACGGTGTCATCCAGCCAACTTCAGCTCAGCCAATACAGACATGTTATAGCTCGTTCATAAGATCTATAATCCAACCTCCTGCAAAAGAATTCTTCTTTAGACACAGATTTCAGCCTCGTCTACACAACACCACATGTCCGCCAACAAACTCAACATAACCTCAGAATTCCTCAGTTGTCGTTTGTGTTGGAAATCCTTTTGGACCAATTTTTGTCCTGATCCAGATGTGGTTTCACAGATCACACCAGGTCTTGTTGATCCGGCAAATTGGTATTGTCTCCTTTACTTTATATAATTTCTGGTATGTATCCTGTTTGTACTGTATGTGTGTCTGTGTGTGTTTGTGTGAGTGTGTGTGTCTGTGTGTGCGTGTGAGTGGGTGTATGTGTGTGTGTGCGTGTGCGTGTGTGTCTGTGTGTGTTTGTGTGAGTCCGTGTATCCATGTGTGTGCGTGTGCCTGCCTGCTTGTGTGTGTCTATGTGTGTGTGTGTGTCTGTGTGCGTGTGCGTGTCTATGTAAGTGTTTGTGTGTGCGTGTATGTGTGAGTGTCTATGTAAGTGTGTCTGTACGTGTCTATGTATGTGTTTGTGTGTGTCTTTGTATGTGTGTGTACGTGCTGTGTATGTGTATGTATTTCTGTGTGTGTGTGTGTGTGTGAGTGTATATGTATTTGTGTCCTCACCTGTGTGTCCTCCTCGGACAGGCCGCACTCAGCTGCAATCAGCATGAGTGTGGTGCCGTCCGGGTGTTTGCTGACGTTGGTGAAGTTCTGCTCCAGAGTCCTGAGCTGCTGCTCCGACAGCTGCAGGGGGTCTGAGTCCCGCTGCCCCGACATGCTCCCCGGGGGGTCCACAGAGAGGGTCTAGAGAGAGGGTCCACAGAGGGTCTTGGTCTTCCCACAGGTCTATGGTCTTGTGTGTGGACTTTCAGAAACTAAGACTGAGTGAGGAGGAAACACAGGCTCTGCTCCACTCCCTCTAACCCACACCCACACAGTCGCACACACACACACACACACACACACACACACACACACACACACACACACACACACACACACACACACACACACACACACACACACACTCACTCACACACACACACACACACACACACACACACACACACACACACACACACACACACACACACACACACACACACACACACACACACCACACACACACACACACACACACACACACACACACACACACTCACACTCACACACTCACACACTCACACACTCACACACTCACACACTCACACACACACACACACAGCCGTCCCTCCCTCACACACCCCTCCCTCTCGCCGCACGTGCTCAGGAGCGTGGAAAAGCCCTCAGCAGCAGCAGCTCTGGCTCCACACTCACTGCTCTGTGATGGAGGAGACACTGAGGCTCTGTGCAGCCTCGGCTCCAGAGAAAAAAGTCTAAAACTCAAAATATTTGTTAATCGCTTTAAATCACAGCAGTGGTTATCTTGGAGGACTTTACAAAGCTGTCGATTCGCCGACACAGATCAGAGAATCAAACCGTTCAAACACACAAAATGCAATGATAGAAAACACACAGAGACATTGGTCCATGAGGAGCATAGACCAATGTCCATAAATGTGGAGTGTCCTGGATCATCACTGAGAGCTGCAAATTCAGGACTGAGGCTGAAGATCCAGGACTGAGGCTGAAGATCCAGGACTGAGGCTGTAGACCCAGGACTGAGGCTGTAGATCCAGGACTGAGGCTTTAGACCTACAGACCAACAGGATCCAGGACCAAGAGCCATAAAGCCCCACAGGACAGAAGGAAAAAATCCAGTTTCCATGAGTTTCAAAATGATCAAGAATGAGATACTTTTGAGCGGGGAACAAATCCAGAAATAACAGGAAGAAAAGAAGAAAGACATGAACAATACAAAGTTCATATCTGTCCTTTTTTATGTTTCAACAACTGCCAGAGAATGAGCTAAAACACTGACCACAGCCACACGGACAGATATCACCAGGGCTTTTTTATCTTGATTATGAGAGAGGGAGAGAGAGAGAGAGAGAGAGATAGAGAGAGAGCGGGGGAAATGAGTGAAGAGAGGAGAGGAGAGGAGAGGTGGAGAAGAGATGAGAGGAGAGAAGAGATGAGCAGAGACAATAGAGGGGAGAGAAGAGAGAGAGAAGAGAGAGAGAGGGGAGGAGAGAGAGAGAAGAAAGAAGAGAGGAGAGGAGATGAGAGAGAGAGGAGATGAGAGAGAGAGAAGAGAGGTGGAGAGAGAGGAGAGAGAGAATGAGAGAGGAAAGGAGGGAGTAGAGGAGAGAAGAGAGGAGAGAGAAAAGAGTAGAGGAGAGAAAGGAGGAGGAAATAGAGAGAGCCAAACAGAGAAGTGAAGGAGAGGGGAGAGCAAAGAGGTAGGAACTCATCTAAATATAATATATAATATAATATAATATAAATATAATATATTTATAATATAATATAAATACAAACACGGAAACATCGAGTTGTAACAAGTGTGGATGTTTTTTTAATACATTTCACATTTTGATTTGATTGTGCAGTATTCGGAGTCGCTCAGACACACGGAGAGTCTGCAGTGTTATGTAAGAAGTGGGAGCAGAGGAAGGAACAGTTGTTTTCCTTTTTGATCCCTGTAAAAACTCAAACATTCTGGTCATCTCTTACTCCATTTCTGATGTTTATCCAGATTTTTGATGCTTATTTCTTTCCACACGTTACACATTTATTGTTAAAGTCAATGTTTTTTTATGCTGCACTTTTAGCGGCAGTAGACATCCGCCTTCGACAGCGGTGACACATAACGGTGACGTGTCAGACTGACCCCGCCCCCTCAGATTGGCCACGCCCTCTCAGACTTACCCCCCAACCTCAGATTGACCCCACCCCCTCAGACTGACCCCGCCCCCTCAGATTGACCACGCCCTCTCAGACTTACCCCCCAACCTCAGATTGACCCCACCCCCTCAGACTGACGCCGCCCCCTTAGACAGACCATGTCCTTCCAGACTGACCACGCCCTCTCAGACTGACCCCGCACCCTCACACTGACCACGCCCTCTCAGACTGATCCCGCCCCCTCAGACTGACCGCGCCCTCTCAGACTGACCCCCCAACCTCAGACTGACCCCGCCCCCTCAGACAGACTACGTCCTTCCAGACTGACCACGCCCTCTCAGACTGACCCCACCCCCTCAGATTGACCCCGCACCCCACACTGACCACGCCCTCTCAGACTGACCACGCCCTCTCAGACTGACCCCACCCCCTCAGATTGACCCCGCACCCCACACTGATCCCGCCCCCTCAGACTGACCGCGCCCTCTCAGACTGACCCCCCAACCTCAGACTGACCCCGCCCCCTCAGACTGACCACGCCCTCTCAGACTGACCACGCCCTCTCAGACTGACCCCACCCCCTCAGATTGACCCCGCACCCCACACTGACCACGCCCTCTCAGACTGACCACGCCCTCTCAGACTGACCCCACCCCCTCAGATTGACCCCGCACCCCACACTGACCACGCCCTCTCAGACTGACCACGCCCTCTCAGACTGACCCCACCCCCTCAGATTGACCCCGCACCCCACACTGATCCCGCCCCCTCAGACTGACCGCGCCCTCTCAGACTGACCCCCCAACCTCAGACTGACCCCGCCCCCTCAGACTGACCACGCCCTCTCAGACTGACCACGCCCTCTCAGACTGACCCCACCCCCTCAGATTGACCCCGCACCCCACACTGACCACGCCCTCTCAGACTGACCACGCCCTCTCAGACTGACCCCACCCCCTCAGATTGACCCCGCACCCCACACTGACCACGCCCTCTCAGACTGACCACGCCATCAGACGGATCCCGCCTCCTCAGACAGACCGCGCTCCCTCCGACTGACCACGCCCCCTCAGTTCCATTCAGTGGTGGGTACTAGCGGCGCCATGTTTACATCATTAGGTAGGCATCTAGATTAGTAGGTAGGCCAGCTAATTTGCATGCAGGGGGGGCGTTAATGTGTTTTTTATACATTTTTAGCAAGCTGTGTGTTCTTCTTATTGCGTGGACACTACACCCCCGGCCTCCCAAGTGACAAGACAATAGAAGCTTGTTCTGACTGTAGCACTTCTGCAGATGTTGAACGTGTTTCTGTCCAATCCGCGCTTTGTCTAAAATGTTTCTGAAAGATGGCAGCATCTCATCAAGTCTTTTTGTTTCAGTCTTTGAGGTTTGACCTGAAGTCTTTGGAGTCCAGATTCAAGGTCTGAGTTTCTGCGGTGGACAATCTGCTCCTCGACAATGTTTTTGTTCTGAAATAGTTAAAACAGTGTAGTTCGCAGCCAGTGTAGTAACTGTTAGATACATTTACACATAATTTCATAATACATACATAACACATTTTCTATTGTCTACTACTATGATACAGACTGTTACTATGGTTACACTTTACAGGATGGTCCAAAAGTTGCTCTTGGTCCAACACTACGTTCCAGATGCTGTTGATGCTGAAGGGAGTATTGTTTTTTGGACCAGTCTAGTTTAGCCGCTGTTGACTTTTGGATTAACGGCATGTGTCAGGCTCGTGCAGCTAAAGCGTGCGCACATGATACAGCCTCCGCTCCGAAAGGGTTTTTTCACATTATACTGATAGAGGCTGGTCGCGACCATTTTGAAAAACTCGACAGGAGGAAAAAGTGATCAGGCATACGTTTCAACGCCGGAGAAAGGCGTCACTGTGTTCGTTAATATTTACAGTCTGAATAAATCACAACTCTGAGGAGGCGGGGCTTATGTAAGCTTATGAGGGGCTTCGCTCTGAAGAGGAAGTACCTGTCGCTGATTCTGCTGTTATGGTCAACACTGCAGCACAAAGACCTGAGGAGACCGGGTTTAAGATCCTGCAGAGGAAGCCAGGCCCAAGAGGAAGCAACACAAAGCCTCTACACAGCAGCAACACAAAGCCTCTGCACAACACTGGACTGAGTTATGAGGCCACACTCACAGGGGCCACACTCACAGGGGCCTCGAAAAACAAGGGACACTGTGGGAGTGGTCTTCAACCAAAACATAGCCCAAAGTTGTCAAGATTTGGAAAACTGGAGACATGCATAATTTCTGTCCAGATGTTTTTGTTTAATAATATTATTTAGAATCAACAGTAAAACAATCCACGATAGTAGGTCAGCGCCCTGTGTGTGTGTGTGTGTGTATGAGTGTGTTTGTGTGCATGAGTGTGTTTGTGTACGTGTGTGTGTATGAGTGTGTTTGTGTATGTGTGTGTGTGTGTGTATGTGTGTGTTTGCTGGGCTTTGTTTTGTGCGTCCGGGTGACTCACGTCCGTGTCCCCTCATTGTTTTCCCGCCTCCCGAGCTGCTGTGAAAGCAAAGGGTGCGTTCTGTTTTATTTATAGAGAGAGCTTCACACGCAGCACTGGTGTCAACACAGGGGCGGGGGGTGTGTGTGTTTCAGTGTGTGTGTTTCAGTGTGTGCGTGTGTGTGATGGGTGCGGCTGCAACCTGAGCGACATTGATCCTGTGCATTACACACACGACGCTGTCATTTTCCCTCTTTTCGAATAATCAAAATGTAAAAAATTGTTATAATTCAGGCTCCTTCTGCACCGCTCTGCACCTCCGCGCTGAGTCCTGACGTCAGATTGAAGCTGAGGTGTGTGTGTGTGTGTGTGTGTGTGTGTGTGTGTGTGTGTGTGTGTGTGTGTGTGTGTGTGTGTGTGTGTGTGTGTGTGTGTGTGTGTGTGTGTGTGTGTGTGTGTGTGTGTGTGTGCAAAGCCCTGTTGGTTCAGACCTGGTTTTAACCGAGTACGGTCCTGGTTCAGAGTCTCTGGATCCACAGGAGACAGAACTCGCGCACCAAGAGTTTGTTGGGTTGTGCTCCTGACACTTGTTGCGATCGTCTACGTTTTCAGAAGATCCAACACAATACTCCAAAGAACAGGATTGTCTGATGGGGAAGCAACCCACCTGCTGGGGTTTACCTGGGAGTTCAAAATAGGGTGTGCATTTACTATGATTCTTATTTTTGTCATGTGACCTGTTACAGAGAACACTTATCAAACATGTCTCTTAGAATGTAAATAATGCATACTGTCCCTTTAAGAACTTAAAGAATGTGTTTGATTTGTCATATTTACAGATGATTTCATTAGTTTCCACATTAGCAAAGAAACTTTCCACAATCTCTGATATTAATCCCAGTTAGATCAGGCGGATCAATACATTATGTCATGTATGATTAGTTTTTTTGTGAATGGAGTTTTCGTTATCCACATGTTCGCTCGTGTTGTGAAAGAACTGTCACGTAGAGTAGTTTCAGTTCTTGTTTTCATGCAGACTGCACCGTTTTTGTAAAGTTGCTTAACATTCTCGTCAAACTGGCGACATTTCTTCAGACCCACATCGTTCTCAGAAATGTATCAGACTCATTCACGAACGTTAGAGTAAGTCATTCAAACCACACAACAGCTCTGCTTCTCTCTGGACAGTTTTACAAAATGTAGTCTTCCAATTGTTTTTACAAATGCTTCCTCCTGCAGCGTGAGAGTGTGAGGAAGAGTCAGTTATAATGGACTCAAACTTATATTTTAACAGCCACAGCAAATCAGTGACATCTGCAGCTGTTACCACTTCAAAAACATGATCAGAATCGAAAATCTAGTTTCTAAAGCAGAGTTGGAGCTGCAGTTCAAAACACTGCAGCTTGAGTCCTGACTAGAACCAGGAAGTAGCGTCACATCAGTCCTGCTCTCAGGTCTCTGCTCTGGCTCCTGCTGGGTCTCTGAGGTGCACAGGGACAGGAACAATCTACCTGAAGAAGATGACAAAGTCTGGGATCGTGTCTTTGATTCAGACAGAAGACATGTTTTATTGTCGATGGTAGAGACAACACGAACACGAAAAAGATTTTACAAAATGCCAGTGATAATATACAGCGGAGGAATGGAGTCCTCTAATCAGCATTTGCCACAGTGCAAGTAGCTTCAACCTTGAGATAACCAAAACATGCAGTGGAAAAGTACTGGCTCGTGCATATGTTAGAACGATGAGTTAGAACTTTAACCACAGTTGCTTCAAAGTGTCATGAAATACCTAAATTCCCTCAAATGTGAGACAGGCTTCTACTCTGTCAATGTCCAAATCCAGGTCAAAATAATGGACTGCGACAATGCAAAAATAGTTGGAACAGAAGAACATAAATACAAAAGATGGATACAAGAGGCGATTGAAATCAGGAAGCGGAGCGCATCGACCATCAACGGAGACGAGGGGGCTTTCACCTTGGCTCACACTTGGGATTCACTTCTCCAGAGACCACAGCGAGGCGGGGGACGCGGTCAGTCTGAGGGATCTGTCAGACTGACCACATCTACGGCCGAAACATGTGGTAATGAAGCAGTACGAGCTTCTTTACATCCTTTGTCTTATTAAATAACCTTCAAATCCAGGTTAAAAACAGTTCTGTGTGTAGTCACTCTTTGTAAAGTGACTGGAGATGCTGCCATCTTTCAGTGTCTGGAGTTTGTCAGAAAAAAAGAGAGAGAGGTACTTGATTTGAGAAAAAAAAGGACGCAAGCTCCTCCCCCTTCCTTTCTGATTGGTCTACGTTTCCATAACACTTTTAAATGTTAATCAGAGAACACATTATACATATATATTATTAATACACATGCACAGAGGTTTTCAGAATTATTTGTGAACGTTTTCATGACTAAAATAATGTTTTAATGCACAAAAAAAGCGATCAACGCAAAACCCAGAACAAGCTATTATCATGAATTGAACATTATCATCTGCAGAGGATCTGATTATGGATATAGGTTCAGTATATAAATAATAATTATAAATATAAATAATTACGTCGTGCAAGGACGTGTCTTAGTCCGCTCCTGCTTCTGAACGGCTTGCTATCTCCTGTTTTTGTCTTTTTTTCCTGGAGTTTTGCCACAGACAACTTTAACAGAATGGAAATGATTAACTGGTCCCTCAACGCAATTGATTCTATCTTTTCAACACGTAAGCGCGGGTCTGGAGAGCCCGTGTGCCCGGACGGGACTTCACCAGCGGGGTATACGCTTGACAGCTGGAACAAGTTTCAGCCCCTCTGTCTGTCGACCCTGTCCATTGAAGATTCGGAAGACGTATATATCTTTGGCATTTTGGTGGTGGGGATCCTCCTGTTTGGGTTTGGAGCGGTTCTTTCTACCACAAATTCGGAGGCATGGCAGTTCGCAAGATTCACGACCTGCTGGCCGAAAAAATTGATGGGATGTACAAGGAGCTTAACCGAGTCGTGGTTGAGAGCGCTGTGGCTGGACAACGAAGAGTGGTGTTAGTGGAACAGTTGATCAAAGATCTCGCAGCTCGTTCACTTGATGGTCATAAGACTCTGGAATTGAGATTGAATGACATTGTCTGCCAGGCTTGAACTCTCTGACCCGGCTTGGATTTGCCCCTGTGTACGGGGTCTGAGGGCGCTGTAATTTGGTCTAATTGGATTTAATAGAATATCTGCCTGTTTTTGACTGCTAAACTGCATACAATATTGTCCCTCGTTACAGGAGATGTGTTCTCTCCCTATTGTGTCTTCCCTCCTCTCTTATCTCACATTCCTCGGGCCAAGGCCATCATAATAAATCTGGTCTCTACAAAAATTTCACACTCTTTCAGTCTTCCAGTTTGGATCCCGCTCCCCCCGCCTCCCTCTGATCTCTCCCTCCCCTCCCCTCCTTACTGTGTTTCCGACTCACCCCCTCCCTGACCCCGCCCCCCTCTGACAGCCACATTGGACCGGCAGGCCGGAGGTGCTCATCCCGTGAAAAAAATCCGTGGTTTATACAAAGCACAATGTTTTCTATCCAACTGTCTGTTGTTACCTGAATGTTATTGCTCTCTGCTGTTTCTTGCTGCACACAGCGCCGCAAATGGCGAAGTGGCACGCTCTCTGCCAAGACAATTTCCAAGTGATAACTTTGTTACTCACGTGGCAATAAAAATGATTCTGATTCTAAAAATGATTCTGATTCTGATTCTGATTCTGATATAGGTTCAGTATGTAAATGATTATGGATATAGGTTCAGTATATAAATGATTATGGATATAGGTTCAGTATATACATAAGTAACTCAGCGCGGATGTTCAGAATTCTTTGTTCAGTTTTCATGTTGTTCCAGAGCCTAATAGAGGCTCGATTCGGAGGTAAAACAAACAACTGAGCATGAGCAGCTGCGAGCATCAGCGCTGATGATTGACAGCCCTTGGCATCACTTGATTGGTTAACTTCGACGGCATTGTGGATTTTGATCTATAGCTAAGAGAAGGGAATGCAGGACTTACCTGTAATATTATAATTCATAAAGTGACTTATTTTATATCTCTCTATATATTTAAGGCCAGGAGGTCCATTTAATACAATTGTTAAAATGTGCAATTCATTTAGAGTTCCAGACTATCACTTTAATGTACTGTGATTATTAATTTTATTTTGATACCTTGTGTGATTTTAACGTTTCTTTTCTTGTTTTGTTCAGCACTTTGAGTTTCCTTGTGTATGACCTGTGCTATACCAATAAACTCGGCATGAAGCAGAATGCAGTAGGGCCAGTTCTCCCTGTGTGCAGAGAGTGAGCTCAGCTGCTGTTGACACCTGGACTGTGGCTCCACTGCAGCTGCTTTAGCTCCATCCACACTGTTATCACTACACCCCCGCCCCTTCTGTCTAAATGCTGTTTTCAAACTATGACAACACTGTGACACATACTCAGACGGCTCACGTCATGGACAGAACCGTCTAAAACAAAAGTGTTGCCTCTAAATAGTTTGCTGCACATCTCCAGTCGTATTCTAGTAAGTAAGTAAGTAAGTGAGTAAGTAAGTTAGTGAGTGAGTCAGTAGCCATTGTCTGTTATTAAAGGTTGTTGTGTATCTGCTTGTCATTCAGAGCTGTTTCCCGCCTGCAGCTCAGAGGAAATGAGCTCGATCGTGTTTATCTTTTTCTTCAGCCGATGCTTTGGATAAATCCTTTCCTCAACATCTGGAGGAGGACAGCTCTGAGTCCTCCCCTGACTTCCTCCTGCAGATACTACAGCCTCCACATGACCTGGAACAGTCTTCCTGAAACACAGGCCATTCAAATCCAGGTTAAAACACTTCTGAAGGATTGTATCTTTACTCTTTTTAACGTGCTGTGATTATTTTTGTGTGTGATGGTTTCTTTCTTGTTTTGTTAAGCCCTCGAGTTGCCATGTAAACTGTGCTATACAAATAAACGTGCCTTGCCTAGCTTTTCCACAATGGATCAGTTGTGTTTATGTTGAAGTCTCAGAACCTGAAATATCTTTTTCCCACACTTTTGGGAATGAAAATGCTGTAGGCTTGATTGTGTAACTATGAAATAAGCATTTTTCTTGCCAAGCAGCTGCAATCAGCAGACTGTGCGTTTCCTTCTGGACCACAATGCACTTCTCTGTTTGAAAAGACACACACCTCTGTCCTCTGCCAACAGAGGTGTGTGTCTGTCCTCTGCCCACAGAGGTGTGTGTCTGTCCCCTTTCCACAGAGGTGTGTGTCTGTCCTCTGCCCACAGAGGTGTGTGTCTGTCCCCTGTCCACAGAGGTGTGTGTCTGTCCCCTGTCCACAGAGGTGTGTGTCTGTCCCCTGTCCACAGAGGTGTGTGTCTGCCCACAGAGGTGTGTGTCTGTCCCCTGTCCACAGAGGTGTGTGTCTGTCCCCTGTCCACAGAGGTGTGTGTCTACCCACAGAGGTGTGTGTCTGTCCTCTGCCCACAGAGGTGTGTGTCTGTCCCCTGTCCACAGACGTGTGTGTCTGTCCTCTGTCCACAGAGGTGTTTGTCTGTCCTCTGTCCACAGAGGTGTGTGTCTGTCCCCGTCCACAGAGGTGTGTGTCTGCCCACAGAGGTGTGTGTCTGTCCTCTGCCCACAGAGGTGTGTGTCTGTCCTCTGCCCACAGAGGTGTGTGTCGCTCCTCTGTCCACAGAGGTGTGTGTCTGTCCTCTGCCCACAGAGGTGTGTGTCTGTCCTCTGCCCACAGAGGTGTGTGTCTGTCCTCTGCCCACAGAGGTGTGTGTCTGTCCTCTGCCCACAGAGGAGTGTGTCTGTCCTCTGCCCACAGAGGAGTGTGTCTGTCCTCTGCCCACAGAGGTGTGTGTCTGTCCACAGAGGAGTGTGTCTGTCCTCTGCCCACAGAGGTGTGTGCCTGTCCTCTGCCCACAGAGGTGTGTGTCTGTCCACAGAGGAGTGTGTCTGTCCTCTGTCCACAGAGGAGTGTGTCTGTCCTCTGTCCACAGAGGAGTGTGTCTGTCCTCTGCCCACAGAGGTGTGTGTCTGTCCTCTGTCCACAGAGGGGTGTGTTTGTCCTCTGCCCACAGAGGTGTGTGTCTGTCCTCTGCCCACAGAGGTGTGTGTCTGTCCCCTGTCCACAGAGGTGTGTGTCTGTCCTCTGCCCACAGAGGTGTGTGTTTGTCCTCTGCCCACAGAGGTGTGTGTCTGTCCTCTGCCCACAGAGGTGTGTGTCTGTCCTCTGTCCACAGAGGTGTGTGTCTGTCCTCTGTCCACAGAGGAGTGTGTCTGTCCTCTGTCCACAGAGGTGTGTGTCTGTCCTCTGTCCACAGAGGTGTGTGTCTGTCCTCTGTCCACAGAGGTGTGTGTCTGTCCTCTGTCCACAGAGGTGTGTGTCTGTCCTCTGTCCACAGAGGAGTGTGTCTGTCCTCTGCCCACAGAGGAGTGTGTCTGTCCTCTGCCCACAGAGGTGTGTGTCTGGGAAGATTTCTACAATATCTGCTCATTCAGTTCAAAGGCCTGTTCTCATTGGCTCAGGCTTGACCATGTCCCAAACATTAGCGCTGGTTCCCCTCAGTTAACAATGAGCTCAGACTTTAACAACAAAAGAAGCAAATGCAAGAACACATCCAGTTCATGATTTCACTCTCAGGCCAAAAGACTATGGAAGCATTCACTCTTTCAAACAAAATGTATTGATTGTTTAAAAAAAGTGGTCTGTCCAACCACCCCCAGGTCCCCTATAGACACAACCTCTTCAGGAACATCTTTAAGTGGCCTACATCCACTGCCAGAGGAAAAGTGCCAGGAAAAGTCCTTACAGCCCATGTGGATTTAAGCTGCAGTACCGCAGGTGGCCTCTAGTCCAAGTGGAGACAGGTTCAACATGACTTTGTACATGGTGATGGATAACCAAACTCTGAAGTCTGCAAAGTGGTCCACCCTTTGGCACCTCAAGGATGTTTTAAGAATCGGACTTTAGAGACAGAGCCAGTGAACACTTTCTGGCTGTTTTGTGTGTTTGTGAGCTTTTCCCGCTCGAGATTTATTTAGTTTACAAAAATCTAGACGGTCAGTGCCCCTCTCCCACATGTTTCCACCTAAACCTGTGGACTGTGGTCTCCGACGCCAATGTCCACTTTGCACCTAGACTTTTATGAGACCATTTATGAAGCTTTAAATAAAGTGCAAGTCCTGTGTGTTCCCGGTGTTGTGTTCGTGTGTGTGTGTGTGTGTGAGTGTGTGTGTGTGTGTGTCCCTCCCAGGCTCCTAGCAGCAGCAGTCCTATGACACAGCAGCTCACACTTCTGCACAAGGACGGCTTTCTCTGCTCAAAACACACAGGGCCTGTCTTTGCCTGGGAGAGAGAACAGAAAATGCCAGTTTAAACATCAGCACTGGAAATATTATGAAATATTATGGGTGATTTGAATGGGTAGTTTATGATTCGTTTTTGTTAGCAAAAATGTTTTCTTTCAAATTCCACGCTAAAAAAGAGAATCAGATTTCCATAAGAGTCTGTAAAGATTTTTTTCTAATTGGCACAAAAACTTTTGGTGTTCAATAGTGTCTACCTCTTCTCAAAAGTCTGAACTGCTGCCAGATAAGCTCTCTCCGTGTCTTTGAGCGCTGAGATATTAGCTTTATATAAATGCTTTGAATAATAGATTACAAAACCTTTTTTAAAACATCAGAGTTTGCATTTTTCCTGCATAACTCTGATAAATCTGTCCTGTGTCAGTGGAGTCCACATCCGCAGATCTGGAGACCATCTGTGGAGAGCTCTGTGATCCACCCAGAACCACAAATATGTTCTTGATATGCGTCTCCAATATTAAGCAGAATTATGGATCCAAACATGGCGGACCGGCCGTGTCTGACCGCTGCCATCAGGAACATCAGCAGATTCTTACCAACTAAAAACAGGATCAGGAAAAACATAGTGTCTAAAGCAGAGTTGGAGATTCTTATCCTGCATTCGTCTCCAGTGTTAGCACCCTTTAACAGCTGCTCACTGGTTTCTCCGAACAAGGTTTGAAACAGCTGCAGTGTGTTCAAAACGCTGCAGCTCGAGTCCTGACTAGAACCAGGAAGTATCACATTAGTCCTGGTCTCAGGTCTGTTTGTTACTGTTCTGTTCTGTCTCTCCAGGGCCTCGCACCAAAGTACATCTGTGACATGTTAGTGCCATATGAACCAACTCTGGGGAGCACAGGGACTGGCCTTCTGCTGGGACTCTGAGGAGCACAGGGACTGGCCTCCTGCTGGGACTCTGAGGAGCACAGGGACTGGCCTCCTGCTGGGACTCTGAGGAGCACAGGGACTGACCTCCTGCTGGGACTCTGAGGAGCACAGGGACTGGTCTCCTGCTGGTCTCAGAGTCAGAACTAAACATGAGTAGGGGTGGGAACCTAAGGGTACCTCACGATACGATACGATACGATACACGATACAAAGCTCACGATAACGATAATATCAATATCGATTTTAGCACGATATGACGATTATTGATATATTGGTCAGAAATATACAATATGCCAATTTATGGCATAAAGAAAAAAAGAAAAAATACTCTTTATTTCATGATAAATAGAATGGAGATGCGTAATGTATCCATATATTGAGTATCGATACCAATTTTGTTTTTTTAAATGTAAAAAAAAAAAAAAATCTAAATTTTTTCTAAATCGATATCAATACTTGGCAAATGCATATCGATAATCGAATCGCGGGAGAAAGTATCGCGATATATCGATTTTTCGATACCCCTAAACATGAGGAGGCGGCCTTTCAGATTCTCGTAGCTAAAATCTGGAAGAGTCTTCCTGAAAATATGAGACAGAGACTTCTGTGACTGTTCAAATCCAGGTTAAAACAGTTCTGTTCCGCTGCAACAACTGAGGGGTTTTAGCTTCTTTTTAACGGACTGTGATTATTTATGATTTCAATGCCTTGTGTTGTTTCAATGTTGTTTTTTCAGTACTTGGAGGTCCCTTGTGTAAGATAAGATAAGATAAGATGAACCTTAAGATGATCCCTTGTGTAGGAACTGTGCTATACAAATAACTTGCCTTCTAACTGTCAGTGATTGGCCAGAGTTCTGCTGGAAGCCATGGTTACCAAGGAGTTTCCCCGGACACTGGTTTGTTTTGGGTGGGTTGTTACTACCATACACTAATAATGGAAACGCAACCAGGAAGAGTATAGTAGAGTAGAGTAGAGTAGAGTAGAGTAGGGCTGGTGGAAACAGAGCTGTTTCCACAAGAGACAAGAAACAAGAGACTGAAATAATAACTAAAACTTTTGTCAACCAAATGTGCAAAAGTAAATTAGTTGTAGCTGTATGTGTGTGTGTGCCTGTGTGTGTGTGTGTGTGCGTGTGCCCGCATGTGTGTATGTGTGTGTGTGTGTGTGTGTGTTCAGTTTTCGGAGTGTGCTCCTCTCATGAAGGAGCTGCTGTCTCAGTTGTTTTGGCTTCTCTCGAAGTGTCCACAATGGGCTATTGTTGGACCGGAAGTTCTTTACATTCAAGAAGTCCACTGAGGCCACACATACACACACACAGACGGACACGTACACACGCACACACACACATACATAAACACACACAGGCACACACGCACACACACATACATAAACACACACAGGCACACACACACACACACACACTTCTCTTTATCTGCTGGGTCTTTACTGTCTTTGTTGGGATGGAGTCTCTCATTGTTAAAAACAATAGTTTTTCGCTGCAGTAAAAACCAGAGTTTGTGAAAATCAGTTGGGAGTGAATTGAAAATGACCGAACAGCGAACATCTAGAGTTACTTTACTGTAGAGACTCTTCTGAAGCCCGGACTGTGTGTGGAGCTGAGGCTGATAACCTATCTGAGGCTGACACACACATCCTGACCATCCTGACTCTCACACCAACAACAACTTTTAACATCACTGTTCCCTCTCTCCCTCTCACATGGTCCCAACAGAATCCACTCAGCATTTCATGTTTTTAGACTGAATGGATGAATAACAGACGAGAATGCACAAGACTCCCATCTAGTGTTCAAAGTGGGACAATACATCCTGCTCATACATCAGTACAGTTTTCTATTATCTGCAGTTTGCTGTTTCTACAGATGTGTGATGTCACATGGAGGCTGTTGCTTTAAACCCATCTCTAGGTGGACAAGAGGCCGCCTGCTGTACAGCTGCTGGATCCTCAGACCTCAGTGTGAACTGAAACACTGCAGCGACAGGAACTACAGGTTCATGGGGATCTCTTTTCATAAAGAACTCTTCTCTTTTGAAGGCCACACGTTGGAGTCAGTGAACAGGTTATTTATACTGAGTTCATGTTGGTCAAAATGTTACGAGAATAAACTCAAAGTTTCAGGTCTTGGACTTTATTCTCAGAGTGAGCCCTGTGCTCCGCTGTGTATTCTATATTGGTGTATAATATCGTTGAATTATAGTGATGTCACTCTGCTGCCCTCTGCTGGTGGGAGAGAATAAAGCAGCTCTGCTTTTGAGCTGCCTTGAGTATGAACTGTGCTATACAGAAAAACTGACCATGCCTTTCCTCAATGAGAGCACGAGACAGTGCTCATGAGCACAAAAACAGTTCTGTTTCTCTCTTTACACTGAAAACATATGACCAAACACAGGGTACTTCAATCATGTGGTTTTATCTTGAATTGACAACATTTTGGCTTTTTCTCAAAACCAGAGGTGTCAATGGAACAAAAAGTCTTTTTTCATCTTTAGTTGTAATTTATTTCTCATTCCAAGAGAGATATTAAGATATGAGATAAGATCAACTTATCTCACAATGGAGAAATGTGCATATATCTGCTTGTCCCATTGGCAGATGCAAGCTTGCTTTAAGGCATGTAAAATCCTCAAAATGAGGCCGAATTCAAGAAATTTGTTTTTGTTACTTTTTGTAGCAGAATAACGAAGGATAGTTTTCCTGAAGCGACAGAGGTGAGTTTTGAATCCTCATTCTGGGATAAAACAAATTGAAAACGTGTATTCAGCAACAATAGAGAAGAAGAAAAGGTTTTCAAATAGATAATATCCGCTTCTTAAAATAAATCTAAAACAAAATGTTATGTTCAGTTGGAACCAGAGCAGCAGAGGGCGACACGGCTTCATCTGTGTTTAGAGCAGTGCTTCTCAATCATTTTCATCGCTGTTTGAAGCGCCTCTCATCCTGCAGGCGGGAACCGCTGTCAATCACCCTGCATTGGCTCCGGGGTCTATGGTCCATAGATCAGAATGTCTATTGTCAGAACCAGGTCAGACCGCTGCGGTAACAGAGGATGTAGACTCTACACTTATTAGTGACACACCAGCCAGAAAATACACAAACATGATCTGACAAAGCAACCTTGACCACGTTTACATTTGACACATTCACGGCGTTTGTAACTAACAGGTCTAGAGTGTGTCCTCTGCTGTGGGTGGGGCCACTCACGCGCTGAGTGAGACCAAAGGATTAAAGTATAGAACTCAGTTCTTTTACATTTCTGTCAATAACATTATCCACATGTTTATTAGAATCACCTTTAACTAAACCATCAAAGTCTGTGCATAACTGAAAGCAAGAACACTGCTTCAGGGATTAGTTACTTCAGTTATTAATATTTAGAGTAACTAATTACTTGAGTTACAACACTGTTCATTATGGGACAACTGTAAGAGTCAAGTTTTTATTTTATTAAAGGATCAGACAAATATATAATATGTATATAACATAATTACAGAATACAAAATACAAACGGTTCAGATATTTACAGAAACACAGGGAGCACCGAAACATAAATAATGAAGATGGCGCTGGGAAGGTACCTGTTCCACTGTGTCCCAGCAGTTTGTGTTATTCATGTTGTGTTTGTTGTGTAGACTATGACTTTGGCATTTATCGTGTGTGACCATAATACACAGTAAAAGTGTTTGGGAAACACAGATGTTCAAATAGAGTGATTTTATCTTTGGGTGATAATAATAAACAAATATTATTTGTGATGTTTTGTTCAGCACTAGGAGCTCCCTTATGTATGAACTGTGCTTTCCGTGAACACATAGTATTTTAGAATATGTTTCACTTTCACTTATCAGAAAATCCAACAGAAGCAAAATGTCTTTAACTCATAACACTCCAGAACTCCCCGACCCTCATCACATTTGTTGTTCTGACTCATTACAACAGTTTGTGCCAAAATGTGGAAAGTACTTTTTCAAACCTCAGTTTATAGAGGAGTATGTAGTGCAGTAAGTACAGTCCAACTGAGCGGGTGCTGCATGTGTAGAGCAGGGGTGTCCAAACTATTAAGACAGTCCAACCCTGCACCACATCTGCACCGGGGCCATTCTGAGACAAACACTAATGATTATTTGAATAAAGTTAATGGCAGAATTCCAGAGATTCTGAGCTTCACGAGGTCCAGCATGACTATACTGATGGAGCTGAAGTTGGCTGGATGACACTGCGCCTCAATGGCTACCTCAGTCCTGGGTCTACAGCCTCAGTCCAAGATCTACAGCCTCAGTTCTGGATCTACAGCCTCAGTCCTGGATCTACAGCCTCAGTCATGGATCTACAGCCTCAGTCCTGGATCTACAGCCTCAGTCCTGGGTCTACAGCCTCAGTCCTGGATCTACAGCCTCAGTCCTGGGTCTACAGTCTCAGTCCTGGATCTACAGTCAGTCTGTTTCGTGCTAAATAGTTGTGTTTTAACAGTTTGATTCTCTGATGTTGTTTGGGAATCAACAACTTTGTAAAGTCCTCCGAGACGACTGCTGCAGTGAAATTGTAAATGTATAAAGTCAGAGCTGTTCTTTTCCCTCGTGAACCACAAAGTCTCATTTTTAGAAACAAAATAAAAAGTTGTCCTTCTGATGAAAAGCACACATCTCCATTCCCATATTTTGCTCTTGTTCTTTTCTTCTGCCTCGACTTCAGCAGAATCCGTGAGTTCTAGCGAGTCCGAAGTCTCAGGGTGATGTCACACATTCTCCAGCATCCTCTCCATCTGCAGCACATCAGGATCATCACAAACAAAGAAAACACTGACAATGTGTTCAACGGTCACACAGAAAGAAACACAAACACACACTCATTCAACCCTCACCTATTGTACATGTTTTTAGTGGTAGGGGAAACCGGAGCACCTGGAGGAAACCTACGCAGACACAGGGAGAACATGCAAACTCCACACACTTTCACTAATCATTTGGGAAGAAATGAATAAAGTTTAATTTGAATATAATAAAGAATAATGTAATCTTTGATGTTTGTCTGAAGGTTGAGCAGAGAGCAAAGGTACGAATCTTCCTCTATAACAGAGAGCAAAGGTACGAATCTTCCTCTATAACAGAGAGCAAAGGTACGAATCTTCCTCTATAACAGAGAGCAAAGGTACGAATCTTCCTCTATAACAGAGAGCAAAGGTATGAATCTTCCTCTATAACAGAGAGCAAAGGTACAGCTGCTGCTGTCTCACTGTCGATCCTCATTTAGAAGTGCTCAAACAGATGCTCTGAAGCTGGGACTGTTGTGTGCATATGTGTGTGCATATGTGTGTGTGTGTGTGTGTGTGCGCACGCGCGCGTGTGTGTATCTGTGTGTCTCCACTCGCGTGCTTCCCCTGCCCTCTGCCCTTCATGGCGCCAGCTCCACTTCCCTTCAGCTCCAAACATCTGGCGTCTGGGACACACACGCTGAGCTCTGTGCAGATTCTGCTTCTTTTACTATGATTATGATTCTTACAAATATATTTGTCTGTTTGGAAACATGCGGCCTCCAGAGTGAGGTCTACCCGTGTTTATAACTATTATGTTATTATTTTTAAATTAAAACTAAAGATTAGATTACTGTGAAAAGAGAAAATACATTTTCACATTTACTTTTAACACCTGCAGAGACCATTACACACAGACACACACACACGTACACACACAGACACACACACATGTACACACACAGACCTTCTTCTTCTTGCTGCGGCCCTCTGCCTGCAGAGTGTGGGTGCACTGTTCCACACAGTGGGAGAAGTTCTTCTTCTGCTCTGAGCTGTAGTCACAGTCGGCGAGCTGAGCCAGGGACAGGATGTAGTTACAGGCGATACGCAGAATTGCCAACTTGGAAAGTTTCTGTCCATAGGAGTAACATGGCACCTGTGACACAGGATACAACACTGAGAATGCTGCATTGGTTTGCTCACTCACCATGCTTTGAAATTAGTTTGTTTTTGGTGGAAATGACAATGTTGTGGAGTTGAAAAGTATTGGCAGTATTGGCTAGGTGGCAGTAACAGTACTGCCACCTAGTGGAATAACTTGGGGCAGCTCTCAAACCGTGAACAACATTTGTGGGTCACCACATAGGCCCCCCCACGGGGGCTGGTCCAGCTGAAGCGGTTGGCCGAGGTCTTTTATGAGCAGGTTTAAGGCGGTCTATTGCCACCCACTCTATATGTCCACCACAAAGTTCTTAGGGCCTGCCTCCAGGACACGGAAGGGTCCGTTGTAAGGGACCTGCGGTGGAGCCCGATGGCCATCATGATGAATGAAGACGTACTTGGCAGTTGGGAATGCTTTGGGCACTACCGACCACGGATTTGCAGCGTGCAGAAGAAATTCCACCAGGACACGCAAAGGTTGGCCATACACCGCTCTGCGGATGAGGCCTGTAGATCCTCCTTAGGTGCAAGGGCGAAAGCCCAGCATAATCCACAGGAGGCGGTCAACCCAGTCAATGCCCTTCAGACTGGTGTTGAAAACCTCCAGGTTGCAGGCACCAACGGGTGAGGATCGCCAGTTGAGACGTTGCAGAGCAGGGTAGCGTTGGTGGCATCAAACACCACCTCTTGCACACGAAGAGCTGTGGGGACCGTCCGTAACTTTGGACCTCAGGGTCCGCGACTTGGCCCGCTGCAATGTCTGCCCTAGAAAGGAAGCCTGTGACCACATTGTCGATCCCCGCTACGTGTTGAATGCCGTTGGTGCACTCCAAGATCGCTGACAGTTGACGTTGCTGACGGCCCAAACACGACGCGTGGCAAGGAAAAGACTCAAGAGCTCCATGTCAAAAGTGCTGCATTTCCTCTCGTTGTCACAGAGCTTCTTGCTGAAAAAGGTCACCATCACCATGGTGAAAATTCACCATCCCCAAGAACTCCTGCAGGGGCTTCACAGCGTTGGAGCGCAAATGTAGGTGCATTAGTTTGACCAGGCTACCGGGATGTCGTGTTCTCCGGTTGTCCATCAGGCACTGAAATGTCTGTGCTTCCCCTTTGAGACCGAAAGGCGTCCCAAGAAATTTAAACAGGCCAAAAGGTGTGATGACAGCAGTCTTGGGAACATCCTGCGGGTTAACTGGCACCTTGGAGAAGATAGTGAGGAGAGGAGTCCTGTATGTGCGGCACCAAGCATCAGTCAGGGGCAGAGGCATTGTTCAGTCGGCGAAAATCTCCACAGACACAAACCACCATCAACCTCTGTAACCATATGCAAGCCGTCTACTCCTCTCGAGCGTCGACTGGGGGGCTGCTGTAGTAATGGGGTGCTACAAAGGTGAGAGCATGAGAAAATCCACTCAAAGCTGTGGGGTAGACATCCATGGATGCATCCATCCATCCATTTTCTTCCCCTTAATCCATTTTTGGGTTGGGGGGGTGGCACCCAATTCACATGGTCCCAGCCCCTTCACAGAGCACCAGCCCCTCACTGACCCTCCTGCAGGTGGTGAGTCCACAGGAGCCTTGATTAAGTATTGTGAAGGAGGTCTAGTGGTGGGCTCGAAACCACAACCTTCAAGCGTCCATGCGGGGGCCGTGTTCGTTGGCCAGGGTGTAGCACCCTGACACAGTGTCATTGATGCGGCCTGGAGTCATGGTCAAGTCATGGCTGACGGGCCGCCACTGCAGCTGGGGTCTCAGGGACGTCCTCAGGAAACAGGCGTGAAACTACAGAGTGCAGATGGGTGGGGAGAAAAAAAGCTCAAACTGCTGCTGATTTGCCCAAAAAATGATAGTCTTTAGAGGAGAGGAGAACCGGCCAAGGCAGGCGCTGGAGGCTGACGCAGAGATGTGTGAGTGAGAAGAAATGTGGGGCCTGCTGTCCCCATGCTATGTCTGTGTGTGTGTATTAGGGCTGGGCGATATGGCTGAAAACTATATCACAATATAAGTAATTCATATCGGTCGATAACGATATATATTGATTGTTTTTTATTTATTTTTTAAAACGTAAATAAATACATTTGTCGTGTTGACTAACACATGTTAGCAGCCTTGTTTACAGTCACAGGGGAATGAGGCTGGAGCCAAATGTTCACAAGCAGTCTCCCCCACTTTAGTCCTGGTTTAATCCTGGTTAAGTCCTGGTTTAGCACCTGTTTTGCCTGTTTTCGAGTGTCCTGTGTCCCCGTGGCGGCTCCGGAAAGTTAATCTCTTGCTTTTGCCGAATGCATCGAGTCTCTGCCTCTCCCGCGCCGCACCATTGACACGGCACTGAGACACGATCTTTAGATCCAGGGCTATTATAATAGATCCATGATCCATGGACGCTACGCATGGTAAGTAAGTAAGTATTTATTTATATACCGCCTTTCACAGACCAGAGTCTCAAAGCGGTTTACAATTGTTATTTTTTTTTTGGGCACTTGTCCTCTCACTCCACACAGAGATGGGAGCGGGGTCGCCGAACAGGAGGCGCATGCCAGACCTATTGTACATATTTTTAGTGGTAGGGGAAACCGGAGTACCCGGAGGAAACCTACGCAGACACGGGGAGAACATGCAAACTCCACTCAGAAAGGCCCTGGTCCGGCCGGGATTCGAACCCAGGACCTTCTTGCTGAGAGGCGAGAGTGCTATCCACTCAGCCACCGTGCCGCCCACGGTGCGGTTGTTGTTTTTCATTCCCAGAAGGTTTTGCAGTTTGTAGTCGGCTGTGATAGGTCGAGAAGTCTCTGCCTACATCCCCCAGAATGCCGCGCGATTCTGACTGGGCTTTACTTCCTGTGTTTCGTTCCTGTTTTTTCGAACGGAGTGAAGTTAAACTATGGAAAGTTCTATCGACCCCATTTTCTATTGATATCGAACACGTGTCTATCGCGATATATATTGTTATCATTTTATCGCCCAGCCCTAGTGTGTATGTGGGTTTCTGCGTGTGTGTGTGTGTGTGTGTGTGTATGTGAGTGTGTGTGTGTGTGTGTTTTCCAACCTGTTTCCTGAGGGCCTCAAAAGCCGCGCTGATGGTGTGTACTCGAGTGCGTTCGCGGGCATTAGCGAGGAGCCTCCTGGTCTGTTGCAGGGCCCTGACTTCAGGACCGTGGCCCCCGCCTTCAGCCCCGGGCCCCAGCCTCACACACGCCTGCATCAACAACACACTCTGTGAACCAGGACTCTATAAACCATTGAGAGACAGGGCATCGTGATAAACTAACTAACCAGGCCCTGCTCTGCTTAGCTTCAGCTTCAGGTCGGACATGTTCACATTCAGACAAAGTCAATGACAGAGATGAATAAGTCTTGAGCTCCATAACGAGGTAACGTTTGTTCTGGTGGAGATGAAGTTGGCTGGATGACACAGTATGTATGTTTGTGATTGTTTATGTTTATGAAGTTCTTCACCAGGATAACGTTATACATCCTTTTAAAGTAAATTACTATTATCAACAGAGAACAACTTTGAACCCGAAACGTAATTATTAATATTTCAATTAAAAGTGTAACTATAACAGTGAGCGATGTCCCAATCCTGGTTTCACTTGATGACAGAGGAGACTTGTGCTTCCATGTTGCATGTCCTAATGCTAGCGTAGCATAGCACTGCATAGATAGGAACATCAAAAAAAGGATGATAATGAAAACAAATGTGCAACAAGAAGTTTAAAAGTCTATTCGATCATTTCAAAAACTTTTCAGGATGCACCACTGATCTGTTCCACTTTTCTCACACTGTGTTTTTAGAGTAGTTCCTCTGATGCAGGACTGAGTGCTCCATTGAGCTCCATTTACAGGTGGGAGGGGTTAACTCCTGCAGATTGAAACGATTGGATCTGAGTTTACCGCGACGTATGTAACGCGCCTGAGTAAGTTGTTAGCATCTAGCCTAGCCATCTCCTTTGCCGCTAACGGAGAACCGTGGGGAGTAGCGCCACAATCTTTTCCAGCGATTACATTTGCTAAACATTACCCTTGCTCCGACTTCAATTTCTTGATAGAACCAGACCGGAATA